TCTCTTTGATAGTAATGATAGTGAAGCTGAAAAATGTGTTAAGGCCCTTCATTAGTCCTTCTTTGAGAGCGATGATCTACTCGAGTTGATGCTAGATCGTAGGTTTGGAAATGGCTCTCTTTCCTCATCGCAAGTAGAAGTCGATGATTACTTAAATTAGTAGTTGGTATAAAACGACAATATATATTCTTGGCTATTTTAGTCGTGTTTAACGTTTTTCTTTGATGTGCAATATCTTAAGCATGATTAGAATTTGATGCTACTTCGTTGAATCCTACTCGGGTATCATATACTTTTAATTAAATAATTAACATGTTTCTTGATCTTAAAATATTTTTAATAAGTTTTTATTTGTATATATATATTGATTTTCAAATTGTGCTTTTGGTAGGTTCGCAATGATGGTAATGGTCAAAATACTCCTTCTCCTAATCGCTCATCACAATCAAGTCATCTCGTCAAAATGAAAAATTTCCATAAAAACATGATTTTTTTTTTTTTTTGTAAACGTTAGCCACTTATTTTAAACTATATTTGGAATTTTGTTTATGTATTTCAAACAAGTGTTTAATCCTTTTTTTTACTTGTGAATGTTTGACAACTCTTTATGTATTTGGAATTTGATATTTACAAATTTAAGAATATTTTGTAAGCTATATAATTTTTCTTTTATTTGCATTCAACAAGATTAACTTTTTTTTTTGATTTATTTATTTATTGACAAAAAAAAAAAAAACAATTGAATTCGAAGGTGAATTATAAAATTCGTATAAATTTGGAATAAAATTTATTTATTCCACACGAATTATAAAATTCGAAACGTAGAGGTGGTTACAACCACCTCTACAAATTATGAAATTTATAGTTTGGGGCGGTTTTGAATTTGCAAACTTTCGAAACGTAGAGACGATTCTAAATCTCCCAAAAAATTATGTGTCAAAAAACTTTGACGATAATATTGGTATCGTAGAAGCGATTTGAACCGCCTCAAAAATATTTTTTTGAGCCGGTTTGAATCGCCCCAAGTAACCGCCTCGAAATCCCCGGTGGTTGCCAAAACCGCCCCTAAATCGTAGAGACAAGTGGCATTGCAAGAGGTCTTGAGGCGGTCTTGAAAACCGCCTCTAGAAGCCAAAAAAATCGCATGCAATGCCCTTTTTTTATGTAGTGATTATTGATCCTGCTCATATTGTTTTTAATTTTATATATTAGGTGGCAGTGAAATATTAAAATAATTTTATATGTTAGGTGATGATGGAATATGGTAGGTGGGATAAACATAATTTTACGATGTTATTGTCGTTGGTATATAATGATAAAAATTATAGTAATCAATTCAACTAAAATGGTTTCAAATGTTATAAATCTAGAATACACCTTGTTGTTTATACTCTTATTTTGGATGAAAATGTCATGATCATCTCAAAGAATCTCACCAAAACGAGCAATAAGCAGGTTGAAAAATTGAACAAATCTGTTTGCTAGTTGGCTAGGTAATTTCAATTTTAGAATTGACCCAAAGAAAGTCAACTTGATGAATTAATTTGGGACACTAATCGTAAAATAAAAATACAGGGCACAAAAATGATCGTAGCTTGCTAATAAAATAAAGTTACATAGCTAAATATGTAATAATGTACGTAATTTGTAACAATACCAAATGATATATGTCGAGATAGATAAAATAAAGTTAAGCAGCTAGCTAAGTGCTTGTTTTTTTTCCCCTTTAAGTAGGGTCTTTTTTTTTTCATCCAAACCTTTGGCTCAGTTTTTTCAAAGAAATTGAACATTTATATTTACAGATGAATATTATTCAATTTAAATTGAAAACCAAATCGAAATAAAGATTTTGATTTCATTTTTGTTGGCTTTTTTTTTTTAATTTTCTCTTAAAATAGAATAGAATTTAATTTTTTTTTGTTCAATTTCCACTAAAAATGAAATAGCATATATAGATATATATATATACATACATTTTTTTGTATATATACATTTATTTACATATTAATATTAGTGCCTGTGTTTGTTTCTAGATATCTATATATAATTTAACATTAAAAAGCTATAAAACTATCACCCTATTAATTAGTTTACCCTTTACTTATTTTTTCATTCCTTTTTTTGGTTGGTTGTTTTCTAAACAAATACCATGTTAATTATAATGTATGTGTTATTTGACTAAGATATTTGATGCTATTTTGTAATTGATTGGAATTTCAAATGGTATTGTTTACTTTTTTGTGAACCAGAACAGTAGCCGAAAAGCCACATCGGTACAAGGTACATGTGATGAACGGTACGTACGCTTTTACTCCAACCCCTTTTAGTCCTCAAAGAAATTAAATAAATATCATTTTTTAGATATTGCCTAAAAATAATAAATGAATTCATTTTCTATCTTAATAGTTAGGATTCAAATTCGAAACAATAACCATCAGTAAAAATTTCAAATTTCTGTAAAAATTATATTAAATAAAGATAATCTCCTTACAATCTGATTATGAGTTATTTAGAAATGTCCCCATTGTTAAAACCCAAAAATAAAAAGTCTGGTTGGGCTTGTTGAAATTGAAGTACAATAAATGGGCCGTACAAATCAAAACCAAAGGTTTGGAAAGATTGGGACCTAACACGTCAAACTTTGTACTGCGTGGTTTGTTGATCTCTGACCAGAAACCAAAAGGCTTAAGGTGACATGCTAACCTTCCATCGCCACTCTATATATATATGTATGTATAGCCTGCTATCCTTATCAGAAATTGTTGTTGCTATCAACTTAGGGTGAAGGTCTCATATTCTTTTTTATTTTTTTTGTCCAGCACTGAAAGTGTTTTCGATTTGATTTTATGTATTTCGAGACTTTTTTTTTTTTTTAAATGTAGCTAAATGACATTATTTAATGTAAAACTTCGAGTATTCTCAAAATAAATTTTAAATAAAATCTAGAATATTCTAAAAATAAAATTTTAAAAATATTAATCATAAAAATTAAATTCTAAATTCAATTTATAAATTAATATTTATTTATCAGGGAGCTACCCACAAGTCTCATGGTTAACGTCTCTTGTTCTATACACTTTATTTATAGGTAGTGTTTCTTATTCTGTACAGTAAACATGGGTTGTAACTCTTAATTCCTGAGACCCTAGCCAGAAGCAAAAGCAATTATGTGTAAATTAATGGCAACCCTACAATCTACGTTGCCCTACCTAGAGGATTATAATTGCACTTGTCGTTTCATTAAAATTGAAAAAAAAAAATTGCTCATTGTTTTTGTGGTAATGATAATAATGTTTTCTTAGACAAAAAAGGACAATTGGTAATTCATGCTACAATATTTTGCCCATTAATTTAAATTAATTACACGTTTTCTTGAAGGAATCTGGAGATGAAAATCCATTGCTGAGATGATGTGTTGCACCTAACCATAATAAAACACTATCGATAAATATTGTATAAAGAACTTATCTGCTCATTATTAAGAAAGAACTGATTTGCAAATTCAACGTTTCTAAAATTAAAGATAGAAATCAAACTAGAAATCACAGATAATTGATTATTGCATAGACGCATTAATTTTTGTGAAGTCAAAAACTCAAAATTAATTATCAATATATATATATAGTCCTAAAACTATCAATTTTTTCAATAAGGTTTCTAAGTTTATCATAAATTTCTCAATTTGGTTTCTCCTTTAAAATTTTCCCATGCATAATAGATAGATGCAAGGTAGACGTAAAGTACTAAAAGACATAAACAAGAAGACTCAAATAAGAAACATCTTAAATTGAGATTGTATTTGTTTCTTCTACTACACACACGATTCACTAATACGTTACATCTACGTAAATGTTATTAGATAATATACAAATATAAACTGTATTTAATCACACATATATATAACGATTAATTGGATCAAAATCGAAATAACTAAAATAAAGTTACGTAACTAGTTATGCAATAATTTACGTAACGTACACCAATGTCAATGGCAAAAAACTGTAAATTAAAGTAATAGTTACTATCAAAACTGTCAGGTTTTGTAGGATCAAAATTGACCAGCGTACTCTCATTTCCATTGCAACGATCACTTAAATTATGCAATAGATTGGTCAAAAGCTTTTAGAACTACACCAATACGAGGCAGTTTGGTTGCTTTCCACGTGCTATATGTCTCCATTCGATCAAAGTTGGATGCAGCTTGTGGGCGGCCCAGTTTAGCGTAGTTGTTGTGCCTGTGACGCTCGCGTCGTCTAGGGGAAAACACGAGGATATCATGCCACGTCAGCTAAAGAAGTTCACGTGGCCAGTTTAATTCTTCTTCATGATAAAAAGACTGTTTTGGTCTGAGTAAATTATAAATTAGTCCCTCTAGTTTTAAGAAACGAATTAAATAATTTCTTTTGTTTCAAAAAATAATTATTTAATCTTTATATTCTTAAATTTTCTTATAAATTAATCATTTTCACCCCCTTTTAATTTATTTTAATGGTTTTTTTAAAAAATAAAAAATTATGAGAAAAATAATATTTTGATGAAATAATATCAAATTAAATACGTTTAATATCGATAAAGATTAAATAATTAGTTTCTTAAAAAAGGGACTAATCAATCGTTTCTAAAATATAGAGGGACTAATCTATGGTTTACTCGTCTCTGACGTAGGTTTGGTTTCTGGTAAGAGATTTTATCAAACAACAAACCGCACGATACAACCTTTGACTTGCTGGGACACCCATCTTTCTAAACAATCGGTTCTGATTTGTAGGGCCGTGTCATAGCTTCGAAGCCTCTCTATCACTATATAAAGCACAACTTCAACCGGATCTTCTAACATTGAAAAAATCAATTTCGTAAGAGAGATCGGAGAAAAAGAAAAAATGACTCTTCTAAAGCTTTAGCAGTTGAAGCTTTTTTCTTTGCTTTTTATCTTGGAGGACAACCATTCCCGTTAGCCTATGACCATCTTACTCCAACATTCTATGACCAAACCTGTCCAAATGTCAGCAGAATCACCCGTGAAGTTATTACGAAGACATTGGTATCCGATCCTCGGATTGGAGCTAGCCTCATGAGGTTTCATTTCCATGACTGCTTTGTTAACATAAGTACTTTGAAATAGCTATTTTAGCAGAATTAAACCATGTTGTGATTCTAAAGATTTTGTTCTTTTATTTTCAGGGTTGTGACGGTTTGATCTTGTCAGACAACACCGAGCGAAAAGGAAGCACTTCCAAACAACAACTCTGCAAGAGGTTTTGATGTTGTTGATACAATGAAGGCCTTGTTGGGGAGTGCTTGCCCTGCTACTGTTTCTTGTACTGATATACTCGCCATTGCAGCTGAATAATCTGTTGTTTTGGTATGTTCATTGTTTATTTCCAGGGAACAGCAGTAGCTTATAAGTTTAAATGAAAACAAACTGATTGTAATTGTTAATGTTACTGATTGGACCATGGCTTTCTAAGAGAATACTAAGCCTCGTTTGTTAGTGTTTTGTTGTAGATCGATCTGCCTCTTATTATAGATTAATTAATCCCCTAAATATGTTTGGTTGCAGGCTGACATTTGTGAGGGTCTTGTTCGGTGCTCACACATTTGAAGGGCTCAATGTAGAACATTCAACAGCCGATCATTTAAATTTAACGGCACCGGTGTTCCTGATCCAACATTGAACACAACTTATCTAGCAGCAACACGCCAGCAATTACGTCCTCGAGGTGGAAATGGGATTGTGCTAGCTGATCTTCATCCCACAGCACCTGATGGCTTCGACAATAAACATTTCTCCAATCTGCAAGCTAACCGAGGCCTACTTCGGAGTGATCAAGAATTGTTTTCAACCCCTGGGGCTGATGATATCTTTGAACTTGTTTACAACTTCGCTGCTAATCAAACTGCTTTCTTTAAAAGCTTTGTGGTGTCAATGATAAGAATGGGCCAACTCAGCCCTTCGACAGGGACTGGAGGAGAGATCAGATTGAACTGCAGTGTACTCAATGAAAACTTGACTGGGCCAAATAATTTACTTGCTGGCTACAAGGCGAGCAGGTACGCTATGGATAAAAATATTTGGCACATACATCGTCTTGTGCTCTGCTTTCTCTTTGTTTCTTCTGAAAACCATGGCGGTTTCTTATTAAAATGGAGTGCTACAATACCTAATATCTACTTCAAAATCAACAACTTAAACACTTGCATTTTGTCTCTTTTGCAGATGCTAGAATTCATGCCTAATGGTTCCCTTAGAAACCTCCTCTCTGGTAAATATTTTGTTATTGTGCAACTTTTGACTGCATTCTGGTGTAGAACTGAAGCAAAAGGCATATTTGACACTGTAAATGTGCAATATAACAGGTAAATTCAAAAGACCTGAGAGTTTTTCTATGAGGATGAATAACGCTTTGGGTTCAGCCAGGGGTATACTCCACCTTCATACTAAGGCTGAGCCACCTATATTCCATCGATATATTACTGGACTTCAAGTTTTCTGCAAAAGTTTCAGATTTTGGAACCTCAAAGCTTGCTCCAGTACAAGATTGCGAAGGAGTTGCATCTCATATGTCCACAATGGTGAAAGGCACACGGGTATGTAGCATTATATAACATGATGAAATTGAGTTGTTGGTTCTGAAACTCTTTTTGAAGGATGTCATCTCTTTTATCCATAGATTTAAAAAAAATGGATGAAAAAACGATCGTGGTCATCATCGCGGATTGTAACTTATTATAATACTAAAATAATGGTAACGGGATGTTCCGAAACCATTATATAACTGTCATTACGTAACGGAAGTTATTTAAAACTATGCTTTTATCTATAATTACTATACTGTACGTATACTTCTAGTATCAGCACTAGAAAGAATGTTTTCTAATTGGACTAGAAATCACACGCATTTTATGCTTCCCAATTTCCCACTGTCTTGGAAATCTCTATAATGAGTACTAGACGATGACTGAAGCTTAGTCTAATAGCATAATATAGCATGTCCCTTTGAGATTAGTGCGTCAATCTGAGCGATGAAATCCATGTTTTGAAAGTTCGACACAAGTCTATATGGTTCTCCAATGGCCTGTACACCAAAGGGAAGGAAAATAACGAACTTTTTGGGTATGGTATGTGTTAGTGAGCAACATATCAAACCGAGAAACTTGTCAACAAGACTACTTTCACCTAGTTTTCATCACACTGAAATTTATTACAGTGCTTATGATCAGCTAATTACCATTTACCTCCTGGCTTGTAGTGTATCGTTCAGGTTAAGCCAACAAGCAAACCATTTAGCCCAGTCAAGTTTCCATTAACTACGCTGCAGTTCAGTCTGATCTCTCCTTCAGTCCCTGTCAAAGTGCTGAGATTCCCCATTCTTGTCATGGACACTACAAAGCTTTCAAAGAAAGCAGTTTGATTAGCAGCGAAGTTGTTAACAAGTCCAATGATATCATCAGCCCCAGGAACTGAAATCAGTTCTTGATCACTCTGAAGTAGGCCTCGGTGAGCTTGCAGATTGGAGTAATATTTGTTGTCAAAGCCATCAGGTGTTGTGAGATGAAAACCAGCTAAACACACTCCCATTTCCAGCTCGAGGACATAATTGCTGGAGTGTTGCTAGATAAGTTTTGTCCAATGTTGGATCAGGAGCACCAGTGCCGTTAAAATTAAATAATCCGCTGTTGAATCTTCTACATTGAGCCCTTCAAGTGTGTGAGCACAAACAAGAGCCTCAGAAATGTCAGCATTTTCTATTTTCTAAAATATATTTTTTAATAAATATGAAATTGAAGTATGTGTGGCGTACTTAATTAATCACCAGCTTTTGTTGCTTTTTTTAATATTCGTTTCTTTCTTTCTTTTTTACCAAATTAATTCTGTCTACGTTATTTCTACAAAATTAATTAAATCTATTTTGAATGCATAATTAAAAAAAAAACGCATGGATAATCAAATATATATTCACAAGAATATATATATATATATATCGGATAAATTGGGCGGAATCGTCCGAATCGTAGGATCAGCCTACTAGAATACATATAAAATTTGTGCAATGGACCCAATCATCACCCACCACATTGCAAGAAAAGGATCCAAATGAATCTTTTAACAAGCGATTATTGGGGTTCGTTCTATTAAACGAGCCCAGCCCATCCATTGGCCTCAATTAACTGAGACCAGCCCAAATACTAGATAGTATCAAGCCCAAATAACTAGCCTCATGAGGTCCACATGCAGGATCAACAAAACTCAAGCTGAGACCCTAACACCCAAAGAGAAAGGAAACCGATCCATCTCAAATGTGAAACGTTGAAAATCTATTTGTTAGGTGATAGGCCGTTAGTCTGTCAATCTTTTTCTTTCTCTCTCTTAGGCGACAGATTCGAGCTTTCTTCCACCTAAGGTGTTTGCTGCCTACAGCCAAAGATTCTAATAATGGGCCTATCTATCTTCCTTTCATCTTTAAGAGATTCCGTCTATCTAAACTAGATTCCAAACACGATGAGAGTTGTCTTAGGTCCTGAGGCCCACTAGTTTTCTATACGCAGACGAAAGCTCGTAGGCCATAGTTATACAATTGTTTTAGGAGGCTATGACAATGATGCGAAACCAGATAATTCAAGCTGCCATGCATGTGCCCTGGCAAATTCATTTTCATGGGCTACGTTCTGGGAATGTAGGTCTTTCTGTTTAATGATACAAAAAAATTGCCCCATCTAATCTTGAAGGTTTCCTTATAAACCAATTCATAGATAATGTACGTACAAAAGTAATTAAGTTTCTTATTTTCAAATTCATAAAGAGTTTGTCTTAACACAATCTTTGAAGCTATATTCTCAAATTACTGTAGTTTATGCAAATGGTGGGCTTTCATGATACTGGGCTATAATCAATTCATAAAATACATTTGATAATGAATTTAGACATATATTATTGCATAGCTTATCTTTAGGTTGTTATTAATAGGTTGATAGTTATCTACGAATGGATGGTATTGAGTTTTGAATTTATTCCTACATATCATCATTATTTTTGTAATTTTTTTTTTTTTGGTTAGCAATTAGTAGCGTGTATAAAGGAAGGGCACTTGCAGACTGTTCCGCATAAAAGAGAAACCAAACTCAATCCCCGTAACTAGTAGCCATGATGAGATCAAGCTGTCATAAGGGTTATTCTTTGTTTCTGATATTGTTGATGCTGTTTGTAGTTGTGAGGTCCCAACTAACTACAGATTTCTATTCGAAAACATGTCCTTACCTTCTCCAAATTGTTAGGACAGAAGTTCAGAAAGCTATCAGGTCTGAAACGCGAATGGCAGCCTCTTTGGTTCGGCTTCATTTCCATGATTGTTTTGTCAATGTGAGTTCAAGCAGAACCATGCTTACAATCCTGTGTTAAGTTAATTAACCTCTAGCAATTGCTTAAGAACAACAGGTTGATGACTTTAAGAACTATTCCATTGGTGTAAGAGGTTTCTATTGAACTTGCCTGCTTCCTATTACGAAACCTGTTTTTGAATTGCCAAAGATGTTATAAGCAGCTTTATTTGTCTGATAGTTTTTCAGGGAAGGGAGATCTTAACTTGGGACCTCCCTTTGGAGGAGGTGTGGCTACAAAATTGGCTACGTCTGGTCCCTGGCCACAACCATGGTGTCACAAGTAGTATTTCAAGAATGAGTTCAAATACGCATGCATCACCTCTTTTTCTTATGCTTCTTTTGGCAAGCTTAGGTGGATTTTGAAAAAATCACGCATGCTTGTACCTTTACCTTTTAGCCACCCAAAAGCTTTTTACTAACATCTTTTGTGATCACCTTTTCTAATGCATCATAAGCTCATCATTGAAATAAAAACACTGTATTCTTCTTTATAGGGTTGTGATGCATCTATTCTGCTGGATGGAAACGATGGTGAGAAGTTTGCCCTGCCTAACATAAACTGGGCTAGGGGATTTGAAGTTGTAGATGCCATAAAAAGTGCTGTGGAAAGTCAATGCAGTGGTGTTGTTTCTTGTGCTGACATACTAGCCATAGCTGCCAGGGATTCTATCCTCTTAGTAAGTTTACTCTTTACATCCTCACTTATTCTTCTCCAAAAATATTAAGTGTTAGTCAAATCCGTTTATCAAGTTAAAAATGGTGTATTTATAGAAGATTTTGAATGAAAATATTTCTTCAGAGTGGGGGAAAATCATGGAAAGTTCCGCTTGGAAGAAGAGATGGACTAGTTGCTAACAAGGCTGGAGCAAATCTTTCCCTCCCTGCTCCATTTGAAGGTGTAAATGCAATCATTCGCAAGTTCAATGCAGTTGGTCTGAATGTCACCGATGTAGTGGCCTTATCAGGTAAATTGTCCGCATAAGGTTTATGAGAACTGCATCCACAGACCACACGATGTGCCATAAAGACTTGTACTTCAACTGTAAATTTCATACATAATTTCAGTATTCTGATAATTGGATATGATGTAATTTAATGTAGGTGCTCACACTATTGGACAAGCAAAATGTGCCACCTTCAACCAGCGATTGTTCAACTTCTCGGGGACTGGTTCTCCGGACGGTACAATGGAATCAAGTATGGTATCTGATCTGCAGAAACTATGTCCACTAACTGGTGATGGGAACAAGACCACAGCTCTTGATCGAAACTCCACTGATCTATTTGACAACCACTATTTCCAGAACTTGGTAAACAACAAGGGCCTTCTCACTTCTGACCAAGTACTATTTTCAAGTGATGAAGCCATTTTGACAACCAAAGATCTTGTTCAAAGCTATAGCACTAATCAAAAGCTTTTCTTTGACGACTTCGCTAATTCCATGATCAAAATGGGGAATATATCTCCATTGACAGGTTCTAGTGGCGAGATCAGGAAGAACTGTAGAGTGGTTAATTCCTATGTCAAAATTGACTAAAGAAGGGTTTGACAGATAATGAAGGTGCAAAAGTTTGTTGCCTCCTGTCAACGTTGTATGGTCAGTGAAACTAACGCAGCCCTTGTTCCTGTTTTACCATAAAGTATATTGCAATTTAGCGCATCAATGATCAATTCACAGTTAGTAGGATTTATATTGTCCCACAGAAGAACTGTTTCCGATTTTGTTCCTGATAGAACAGAAACATCTTATAAAAAATGGCGCTAAAGATACAACCATAGACATCACCGCAAAGCTAGATCTGCAGCTTAATCAGCCTCGAAATGGCATATCATCTTGGACCAAACAGAAAATGACATCAAAACATGCTTTTAGCTATACAGGAACAAAATTTTGATCTGTGCAACAAAGGAAACTGAAAATATTGTAGTGATTGTTGAAATTCTGGCACTTAAATCATTGAAGGCCGCATATGACGATCCTTGAAGTTAATCGATTGTCAACGAACGAATCGATATCAAATACTAAATTTAACGTTCATGGAGGAAAACTGAATTATCAGGACTAAAAAATATACATTAGAATTATCAAAATTTGCATACCAAGATATGGTTCCGAGAGTCATAATGATTCTGTTCTGGTTAGGAAAATTTGAAACGTGATTAACAGCATTAAGTCTGACTCAAATGGAGTTTCTAAGCATGCTTAAGTATTCCCTTGTGGGCTTTAAATCCAATCATTAGTTTTTAAGCCTGCAGCTGCAAGCTGCAGAAAATCTGCACCTTAATCAAGCATGAAATTGTGAAAATTGACATGAGTCTTCCAAAATTTGCCAGTTTTTGGTGGCCTCTCCGAGGATTCGGATCAGCCTGGACGGGTATTAGTAAGAATTAAATTTATCTTATGTAGGATATAAAATAAACATAAGCAAATCTTAACATAGTTTCAGAATTTAATGACAACATTGGAAAAAGTCGTAAAGGTTTCTATCTAAAAGCTTGTCAGGAACAGATTTTCTCTTATGCGTGGCTTGAAGTTGAGTTTACTAATATATGTATATATATAAGAAAAGTGTTTACTAGTATATAACAATGAATAAATTATAAAATAGTCCCTGTTGTTTCAAAAAATAAATAAATAATTTTTTTAACCAGTATTGATCATAGTTAATTTAATATAATTTTGATCCAAAAATATGCTTTTTTTCTCATCTATCTGTCTATATTTTTTACTTATTTTTTCTATTTTTAAAATAAAAAATCAAAATAAACTGAAAAAGAATAAAAAAAAAGTAATAAGTAGATTTAAAAGCATAAAGACTAATTAATTAGTTTTTAAAATTAAATAAACTATTTAATTCATTTTAAAAAAATAAAAGGACTGGTTTATAATTTATTCATGCAATAATAAAGAAAGAATCAACTAGATATATAAATGCTGACAGCGAAAACGTCAAACCAATGTTTTCTTGATTGAATCCATTTACATTAATAATAATTAATTAAATATATTTTAAATATACCTATCATGTATCATTGTAGATACATGTACCATGTGGATGATTATTAATTTGACACTAAATTTATTTTGATTATATTAACATGCATATAACTTGAGTATAAGAGATTCTATTTACTTAAATAAATAGTTTTAATTTTGAATTTTTATATATATAAAAAACTCTTTTGATAGCTCCATCTACATTATGCATACGATAGAATAACGCAGGATTATTCTAAATTTTTTACTTTACAATACTCTGGGATCAATTAAAAAAAAATGCATGCATGTAAGTTTTATTTTTAAATTGAATAACGGATTTCGTCCATTAAATAAATAAGTTAATTTTATATTGAATAAGGGTCATCCAAAGGTTTTTCCCGACATTATTAATCATTAATATCACAAAATTTTCGCAAAAAAATTGAATCGTCGGAATTATGGTATCCATTGATTATTTTCATGTGATCTTTTTGGAAACTTAATTATGGGTATTTCAGAGGTTTTCCTTTTTTGGCTATTTTAATTTGAATCCCATTGAGTCAAACATGTTGTTTGGTAACAAATTAATTCAAATTTGGAGAAATCATCTATAAATATAGCATATGTCAACATTCTCTTCCTATAATTCATTCGAATTATAATTTTTTGATAATGGCTTCCAAGAATTTATTTGCTGCTGCAGTTCTCATATTTAGTCTCTTCCTGGTATTTGGTAATAACTTAAACTCCATACATAGGTCTTTTTTTTTATAAGTTAAGTCTATTTTTATGTTATTTCGTATTGTATAATTACTTTTTTTGTAGGATCATTTTCTCACGAGAGGTGATTAAAAGAAATTATAAAATGGATTGCTACCTATGCCTAGATATCGGAAAACTGAAAATTTGATTGATAAAACCTTTTTAATTCACTTATTATAGAGATGGTGTGATTTGAATTTTTTTTTATTTTTTATTTTTATGGCTTCGAGTCTTACGAGAAAGACACATTAGCCGGGATAGAAAGATTTAATAAAACTCTACGTTTATTGAAGGTATTATTTGATATTTGATGATTATGAGATGTTCCTTACCTCTTTTTCTTGACGAAAATTGGCTGTAGGTATCAACAATATTGAAGGATACAAATGCGGATATGTTACTAGTGGGGGTTGCTACATAGAAGAGAACTGCAATTCAATATGCCCACCACTTGGATTTCGGACAGGCACTTGTGTCTCTTTTGATAATGGCTTTCCTATGACAGGATGTTGCTGTGCCAATGATAAAAACGATCTGCCACCGTTTGGGTCTGTCGTCCCACCTCCACATGAAAACTAGTTCTGTCTGGTTTCTTGGATATGAATATCCCATGTCTATTTGAGCCATTGAACTATTTGATGGTCTTTTCCAACCAATAAAAAATAAATGAAGAATTTGTGTTATAAAAACATTTATAATGATATGATATGATTTCTTTTCTAGTTTAGTTAATTAATAATAGGATTTCCATGCTATATATAAATATTCATATTTATATTATCATGCGAAATTTCAAGTCAATTGAATATCCTAACTTGTGATAATATCATGCACAATCATATTAAATAAAAAATCAAATTTGAATAGCTAGATTTATAGATGAAAATAATAGTATTCAAATAATTATTTGTAGTTATACTCTATGAAAGTTATAGGCACCGTTTCCTTGCTTAAAAACCTCTCTGCAACTCTAAAATAGATGAGTGGAGTTTCGATATCTTAATTTTAATAAAGAAACACCTGAGCCAAAAAACCTTGTGTAGAAAAAAAAATTCTCATCTCAATTTGAGGAAAAAAATTATTGAACTTCCATGACCAAAAACTTGTGCATAAGTAATGAAATTTAAATTTTTTATTCAATTTTTTTTAAAAAAAAATTTAGTAAAATATTTGTACCCATTTTTATTCTATCATGCTTTAATTATCTTGATATTTTTTACTTGGTCTTACGGATGGCAATAGGCTTGGTACAAAACGGATGCCTTTTTTATTCGATCTAATAGATAACGAAGTGGATAATGATAAAAAATACTTACCTAATAATATGATTTCAGAATATGAATACTCACTCTTTACTCTATTAATATCTACTAATTTATTTATTTATTTTTTATTAACATATAGGGATCTAGTTGCATAAACTTTAAAAATTAAGAACCAAAATGAAAAAAAAGATAAAAAACTTTTTTTTGAAAATTGTAAGGACTAAAATGAATATTTTTGATAAATTATTTTTAATGGATATTAAATAGGTATTAAATAGACGGGTAAATTAATATGGGGTAGATAAATTTATATAGTGATTTATTAATAGACAATGAGTAGGGTATTTTTTTTATGAACAAGGTAAAAAATTAAATTAATGGAGCGAGATATTCATCTATTGTCATCCCTACTTGGTCTAAAAATCATATGAGATATTAATTATAATATTCATTCAGATTTTAATTTTTATTAAAAAAAATCAATTTGATTTGCTAAAGTGAAGAAAAAAATTGCAAGCTTTTAAGCGCTTCTCTTCCAATCCTATATTTACTTTAATATCTTGCAATAATTTCTATATTATTGAATCATAAGATGCATGAAATCTAAGTGTCTTAATTATAAGAGAATATTTGATCCATGAAGAAAAATTTGAAGCCATAATGTTCTGAGTTCCAATTTATTTAGAAAATAATTATGGCGTTACATTCACCTACTCAATATTTGATCTCAATATTTGTGATATCAAATATTGAGAAAATTATAAATAATTTTAAGAATGTACATCACCCAAAAGACATGAAAATAATATTTCAAGGTTGAACAAAAATAGGAATTAATTTTGTACAGTTTAATATATATATATATATATATAAAGAGAAGCCAAGTAAGTAAGGGTGTGAATGGCATTTAAATAGAAAGATTAGAAGGGGAGAAGTAAATTAGTCCACAATGACATTAATGGCGAGAAAGTCTCAGCTTCGTTTGCCCGTTTTAGGCCAACTAAAAGACCCAATCAAAAGATAGTCTAATTCAAACCAGTTTACTATTCTTTTTCTTTTTTTTCTTTTTTTTTCAGTACAAACTATAAAGAATCCACAGCCCCCATCCCCACACCCCCTTCTTTTTTCTGGTAATGAAGTTTTCCATTGGAATAGTCAATGACTTAAATAGCTAATTATACTGGAAAGACTCAAGGTTTAATTTCTATTCAAATGGCACATATGGTTAAAATCTTTTTTTGCACTTTGCATTTTAAGACAAAATTTGCACCATTTTTATGCTTTAATTCCCAGCTTATGCATCATCATATATTTCTTGTTAAATTAAATTCTAATTTCATACCACAACCGGAAACGACCAAATGTTAATTGCATGTTATGTTGCAGTATGAACATCAGTAGAGTAAATTACAAATTATTTTTTCTAGTTTTATAAAACGAATTAAATTTTTTTAAAAAAATTAATTAATTAGTTTCTCAATGAGTGCTAATCATGGGTAATTTAAAATTACTTTATTCCAAAAACTATCTTCTTTTCTCATCAATCTTTTTATATTTTTTTTACTTATTTTCCTATTTTTTAAAACAAAAAAAAAATAAATTGAAAAAAAAAACTAATGAAGCGACAAATAGATTTAAAAATATAAAAAATTAATTAATGATTTTTTTAAAAATAAAAAGAATATTTAATTCCTTTTGAAAAATTAAAAAAAAATCTTATTTATAATTTACTCACATTGGTAAAAGAAGTTACTAAGATATGTCGCATTCTTATATATATATATATATATGGTGCAACCATTTTTAATTAAAAATACTCAAATACTCAGCCCAGCCAAGTGGATCAATTAAGATGTAACTTCAATATTTATATTGAACTTTCATAACATTACATCATGCACCCTTCCATCAAATTTATTTATTTTTCTTGGCATAGTCTGCCTTTCAAATTGAGCTAACAGGCACACTATCTTGTCCATCTGCATTTCCATTGACTACTCTGCAGTTCAATCTGATTTCTCCATTCTTATCATGGACTCCACGAAGCTTTCAAAGAAAGCCGTTTGATCGGCACTAAAATTGTTAACAAGTTCAATGATATCATCAGCTCCAGGAGTAGAAAACAGTTCTTGATCACTCTGAAGTAGGCCTTCGTTAGCTTGCAGATTGGAGTAATAGTTATTGTCAAAGCCATCTGGTGTTGTGGGATCAAGATCAGCTAGCACAGTCCCATTTCCACCTTGAGGGCATAATTGACGTAGTGTTTCTCTGTATGTTGGGTCCAATGTTGGGTCAGGAAGACCTGTTCTATTGAAGTTGTACAATCTACTGATGAAGGTTCTACATTGAGCTCTTCCAAATGTGTGAGCACCTGAAATTAAAAGCACCAAAATGTCATCAAAACCATCAATTTATTCACCAAAATGTCAAAGACCCTATAATCACTCACTTCGTCAATAAAAACAAGAAAAAATAAAGTGGGTGATTTGAGAATATTGTAGGGTTTTCCCCCCTCTAATCTCATGGCTTAATGAAATGCATGTGTAGCACACGAAAGTTTTGATAATATAAGCTAAATGGAACGAATTAACTTTATCTGAACTTAATTCCTGAATTTCTGATTTTGGGTTTGAATTTTTCTTCTTTTTTTTTTAATTATTATTTGAGATTTAGTCAATCCTATTATTTTTAATTGTCATCTCTTTTTTTACAAAATTTAATTTTTGATATTTTGAGTTGAAGTTTTGCATACAAGTTGAGAAAAATCCAATCTATTTTTTGGAATAATCCCATAATTTTTTAAGTTTGGAAAGTACATTATTTTTATTTATTGGATATTAAAAATAAAAAATAGAAAATAACTCATAATGATCCCAATTTTTTTTTAGAGCTCTAAATAAATTTTATTTAATGATTTTTGTCATGTAGCTATTTATATGACTATTATTTTTTATTAGAAAAAAAAAGACTAAATCTAAAACAATAAAATTTCGAAAGAGGTCAAATTTGAAATTAAAAATTCAAAGATTGATTTTCAGGTAGACTAACGTTGAGGGAAAGCTTGACTTATTTAACCTTTTGTTAATTGTTTTCAACAAAGACTAAACAAAAGGGTAACACTGTTAATGGAAAAAATGATAAAAGGATAATGGTGTGACTGAGGTAACACGTCATCTGGTATTTTTGTAGATAATACTATATTCTTTTTGTAGCGAAGAACTTGGACTCGCACCTTTCACGTACGTATAGATCAGATAAAATTCTAGATAGTACGTAGCATAACTAACTCAGCTTGACTGTTACTGTTAGTATAATAATTCAGTTTAATATTTTGTGTTTTTGATTCTTTTGGAGAAAGGGAAAAACAAATATCGTTACCAGATAGTGCTACAAGATCGGTATTGTCATTGAGGCCAACAGCGGTAAACCTGGATTTGAGTCGCTGAAGGGTGTCTGCGGGACCTGGGATGAAAACATTAGCTGCAGTTCTGTTTGCTGTTAAGCTGTCTCTTCTTCCTAGTGGAATTGGCCACCATGGACCTCCTGCCTGCAGTAACCATATAGACAAGGTTAAAATAAAGGCTATTAAAGTTACGAATGATCACTGAAAATTGAAATGTCAGTTTCCTTTTGCCTTTGCTGGCCTACTTTTAAGTTGATTCTGACATCTATATATGCTTAATCCTTAAGTTATTTTGATAAAATTTGGTTCTGGTTGGGATCTTTTCTTTTTTCTTTTTTTTTTTTAAAGGGGATATTGTCATGATACCATACCAAGACAACCGATTCTTCAGCTGCAATAGTGAGTATATCGGCACAGGACACAGTACCAGGACAAACACTCTCCAACTGAGCCTTCATTCTATCAACAACATCGAAGCCTCTTGCAGAATTGTTGTTAGCGAAAGCTTCCTTTTCGGTGTCTATAGTATCAGTTTTGTCCAACAAAATTGACCCATCACACCCCTGGAAAAGAAAAAAATCAACATGTTAGGATAATTCGAATGTTTTGCTAATTGCTAGAAATCCCTTGATGATCAGCAAAATACAAATTTCAAGTTACATTAACAAAACAGTCGTGGAAGTGAAGCCTGATGAGGCTTGCACCGATCCGAGGATAGAATGACTTTTTCAATGTTCGCAGGTTGTATAGGAATTCATTGAAGTTCTAATTTATAAAGTTGCAAAGAGGTTTGGAAGCAAAGTATCGATTCCTATAATTTTCATAGAATATAACTAAACATAATTATCGAATACTGTTATTGTCGGTCAGCAATAAGTTTCCTTGGATTATAAGCAATTGATTCAACTTAAATATGGTTAAATTGCATGATTATCGTCCAAAAATAAGCTGTAATTGTGGAATATGTGCGATTTGGATGCTACAAGTTATATTGATTTCAAACATGTAGACTTTTTATTCATTTAATTACATATAATACATGACTTCTTGTTTGCTTCAAATTTTTTATTTTTCGAGATAAGGTTTCCTAAGCCAAGTAATTGATCACATTAATGACAAGAGCCCAAGTATTGCATTGATTCATTATTGGCAACTTACCTTATCCATAGCCTTCACGAATGGAACTTACATGGAGGTACAAAAAAAAAAAATAACGCCATGAGGGCAAATTTTACGTTACTTCGAAACTATATATTATTTAACAAGCATCCACCACCACCACACCCCCTCCTCCAAATTCTAATAAAACAAGCATTGATATTTACTTCTATAGTAATATAATTTTTTTTATTATTATTTAACATTATACTTTGTCTCTATAAATATGTATGTTCTTCGAGAAAACATAGTGTTTTCTATATCTTTCGTGGCTTGACTTTGCAACTCTATAAAAATAATTCTAGTCACCATGAAATCCGCGTAAACTTTGTGCTTTCACAGGAAGCTACATATGTATTCACTGAAAGAATCAGCTTTTTTTTTTTTTTTTTTTGCCTCTTCTTCTTGGAACGTGCATGTAAGCAAAGCATAGCATTTACCTAAGGCCAAAAAATATTAGAACAGAGACGCAACGTCCAATTGGCACTGATTCACTGTTTTTGTGATAAGGATGATGATGTTTCTTAGACATATTAACGAGAATATTACTAAGTATATATATATATATATATATATATATATACTTGCCGGCTTTTGTCAACCTCAAAGAGACCATAGGCAATTAATTAGTACAATACTTAGCCCAATAATTTAAATTAATTACACCTTTTCTTGGAGGAATATGTGATGAAAATTCATGGCTGATGATGTGTTGCACCTAATCTTAATGACGCTATTGATAACTATTGCATTAAATAAATAGGTGTAAAAAATAGGCATAATTTAACCATTATGTATCTTATAATTTTTTTAGTAAAATAAATTTGAATTCCAATAATTTCAATTTATTTAATTATTATGTAATTAAAAAAAAAAACTTTTCATTATACATCTCAAGATACTCCGACCTCTTGGCAAACTGTTAAAAAAAAAAAAAAAAAAAAAAAAACTGATTTACAAATGGGAGTTTGCAATTGGCTATTTGCAAATTCAATGTTTCCTTTTGCATACTAAACTTAAAGATAGAAATTAAACTAGAGATTCTGGATAATCAATTATTGCTCAGACGCACTAATTTTTTTTAACTAATCTTAATTAGATCTGCCATTTGAATTTTAGTAGTTGGCCTTATTAATTGGCACTCTTTTAATTTCAATGTCCTCCTATTTAAGTTATACAACAAACTACGACGACTGATTAAATGAATTGAGCTCTTGTCTTTGTCGGTGCAGGGCCAATCCAACTTTCTTATTGACTAAGATCTCTCTTGTATGGTCACAAACAAGCAAATAGAGAGATGCTAGGTAAATGAATTATATATATATATATATATATATATAAAGACTGTATAAATAGTAAAAAAAAAAACTCTAATTCTCTCTCCTTCACCACTAAATAAATTAATTTAAAAAACGCTAGCAAAAAAAAGAAACTTCAAAAATGGAAATAATAGCTTTTTTTTAAAAAACTATTTGTTTTCATTTGATTAAAAAAAAAAGACATGTATCATAATCATGTCAACCTAACGAAGATTTAATATTATTACCTCAAAACATTAACAAAAGAAAATAATAATAACAAAAATTCAAACGTGTACGGATGAAATTAAAATAAAAAAAGAGTAAAGAATTTTTCAAAAAAGAAATCAAGAATAGAGAAATCTTTACAAGTATTAACCCTAAAAAAACTTTAAAAATGGAAATAATAGTTTTTTTGAAAACATTTATTTGTTTTTATTTGATAAAAAAAATTATTTGACACTTGTCATAATAAGGTCAACTTAACGATAAGATTTAATATTATTACCTCAAAACATTAACGAAAAATATAATAATAACAAAAATTTAAACGTGTATGAATGATATTAAAATAAAAAAAGAGTACAAGATTATTTCAAAAAAGAAATCAAGAATAGAGAAATCTTTACAAGTATTAACCTTAAAATTTTAGTTTGCTGGTCCATAATTCAACAAAATTAACTGTACAAACAAAAAAAGTCAAACAAATTAAATGCGATCTTTCTTCTAATTCCAGAAATGAAAGTATAACAACGTTGTGAATATTTTCCAAAACGACAAACGAACGAACAATTGAAAAGGTCCAAAAACTCGAAAGCATTATTTCAATAACTAAAGATTTCTAGGTAAGGACATATTTGTCACCCAACTATCACATGATTTTCAACTTGGTCCCAAAACAAAAACAATTCTCAATTGAATTTGTTATGAATCAAACATCACCCAGTTAACCCCAGCATTCAAATTTATGAAATAAATTTAAAACCTCATTTTGAATTTTGTGTAATAAACTTTAAGACTAGGGTTAATTGGGTGCTTTCCAATTGACAAGGGACCTAATTGGACAAGTTTTTGTTTGTGATTTTAATTGAGAATTCAATTATAATTGAGGGATAAATATGTTCTTTGGCCAAAACAAAAAAAAAAAACAAAAAAAAACAAAAAAGAAGAAGCCAAATTCGTAATCCAGAATCCTACAAAACTTACCATTCATGTTAATTTTCACCATCAATTGTTCTTTTTACTCTACAGTGACACTTTTATATTTTTTAAACTTTTTTAATGCATTTATTATGAAAGTTTTTATAATATTTTAGTCCCTCTTTTTTAAATATATTTTTTTAAATTCGTAAATATTTTTTTGTTTAGTTTTGATCCTTTTGTTTTGTTTTGTTTTGATCACTTTAGTACTTTTTTCTCTCGTTTTTTAATAAAAAATTTTAAGGTAAAAAAAAGTTTTAAAAAATTACAAAATAAATTTTTAGCTAAGAATATATTGATTTTAACTTTCTTTATAGTATTAAATAATTTTTTGATAAAAAAATTTATAAAAAATATAAATAATAATAAGTCAAATATAAAATATGATGTATTTTGACGAGACACACAATATAATACGAGATATCAAAATAAAATAATTTTTAAAAATAATTTTATGTATTTTGTTCGATCTGCAACGTAGCACGTGTAAAAAATATAGTTTATTTCTATAGTAATATAATTTTTTTTCCATTATTCAACATTTTCTTCTAAACTTGGGCGACAAGTATTATACTTCATCTCTATAAATATTATGTTCTTCGAGAAAGCATAGAATTTTCTATATCTTTCGTGGCTTGACTTGGCAACTCTATAAAAATAATTATAGTCTCCATGGAGTCAGTGTAAACTGTGTGCTCTCCATGCCGAAAGCTAGATACATAATCACCGAAAGAATTTTTATTTTTATTTTTTATTTTTTATTTTTTTTATTTTTTTATTTTTTTCCTTGGGACGTGCATGTAAGCAAAGGATAGCATTTGACTAAGGCCAAAAAATATTAGGACAGAGAGGCAATGTCCAATGGACATTGGTTCCTTGTTTTTGTGACGAAGGTGATGTTTTCGTGATAAGGTTGATGATGTTTCTTAGACATATAACTAGAATATAACTAGGTATAAACTTGCCGGCTTTCGCCAACCTCGTATAACTAGACTTTTTAAAAATGAAATCAAGGGCAGAGAAATCCCTGTAAACATTCGCCCTAAGATTTTAGTATATTTGGAGTCCCTAATTCAACAAAATTAACAATAAAAATAAAAAAGACCAACAAAATTAATTAAATGCGACAGCGTCACATGGTGAAAGTAACAAGGGAATATTTTCCAAAACGACAAAGGAACGAAAAAATGAAAGAGTCCACGAACACGAAAGCATTATTCCAACAAATAAAAGATTTCTAGGGAAGGACATATTTGTCACCCAACTATTGCATGATTTTCAGCTAGATCCCCAAACAAAAACAATTCTCAATTGAATTTGCTATTTATCAAACATTACCCAATTAAGCCCGACATTTAAATTTATGAAATAAATTTAAAAAAGTCATTTTGAGACAGATAGAGCCTTGTTTTTCATGATTTTAAAGGAAAAAAAACTTTAAGACAAGGGTTAATTGGGTGTTTTCCAATTGACAAGGGACCTAATTAGAAACATTTTTGTTTGTGAACTTAATTGAGAATTCAATGATAGTTAGGGGATAAATATGTTCTTTGGCAAAAAAAAGGGCCAGATTTATAATCCAGAATCCAAGAAAGTTCACCATTCAGATTAATTATCACCATCAATTTTACAAGAAAAGATCATAGGGCAAAAAAAAAAAACTATTCATTTTAGTCTTTCGGAAGTACGTACGTCAATAAGACGCTACAGTGCTTATGATCAGCTTATTGCCACTCACTTCTTGACATGAATCTGCGTAAACTTTGTGCTTTCACAGACGCTAGATATATATTCACTGAAATAATTAGTTTTTTTTTTCCTTCTTCTTGGAATGTGCATGTAAGCATAGTATAGCATTTGACTAAGGCCACAAAATATTAGAACAGAGATGCAATGTCCAATTGACATTGGTCCGGTACTGTTTTTGCTATAAGGATGATGATGTTTCTTAGACATATAACTAGAATATTACTTAGTATAAACTTGCCGGCTTTTGCCAACCTTAGATAAACCATAGGTAAATAATACAATATTTAGCCCATTAATTTAAATTAATTAAATGTTTTCGTGGAGGAATATCGAGATTAAAATTCATTGTTGATGATGTGTTGCCCCTAGTCTTAATGACACTATCAATAAATTAAATTTTGTATAAAATAAATATATATAATCTAACTATTGTGTATTCGATAGCTTCCTTCAATAATTTTTAATTTATTTAATTATTATGTAATTTGAAATGATTATATATGGTTGTGTATTTCCAAACCCATAAGACTCCTAATAAACTGAAAAAAAAAACATATTGTATAAAAAAAATTATTTGTCCATTATTAAAAAAGAATTGATATACAAATGTGACTTGCAATTGGCTATTGGCATACTAAAATTAAAAGTAGAAATTAAACCAGTTATCATGGATAATTAATTATTGCACAGATTTATTAATTTTTTTAAATCATGTTTATTTATTGCACAGATCAACCATTTTTATTTTAGTAGTTGGCCTTATTGATTGGCACTCTTTTAATTTTAAGGTTCTCTTTTTCAAGTTATGCAACGAATTGGGACCACTGATCATTAAATGAATCGTGCCTTGTCTATGCCTGGACAGTGCCAATCCTTTCTGATCTTATCTTCTTCTTCTTTCTTTTTCGTTGCCCTAATTTCCATTGGCTTTCACTCGAGGAGTGAATTTTTCTTCTTCTTCTTCTTTTAATGGCCAATTCAGAAGACATCACATCAATGATTACTTGCAGCACATTGCAAGGTGCAAATATGATGACAGAAACAATTAGGAAAATCTCTCCTACATGGTCACAAACAAGCAAATAGAGAGATTCCTAGAATTTAAAATAATATAATTTAATGATCTCTTAAAATAAGTTATGAATTTAAATTCTAATATATTAATCTGTTAAGGATTTTAAATATGTAAATGAATATTGAAAGAATAATATTAATAAAAAAACTATAAATAGCAAAAAAAAAAAAAACTCTAATTCTCTCTCCTATAACACTAAATAAATTAATTTTGAAAAAAAATAGAAAAAATGAAAATATTTTTTTTTCAAAATTTATTTATTTTTATTCAATAAAAAAATTGTTTGGCACATGTCATGATCATGTAAACTTAACAATAAGATTTGACAGCGTTGTCTCAAAACATTAACAAAAGAGTACAATAATGACAAAACTGAAACGCACATGGTTGAGATTAAAATTAAAAAAAAAAAAATAGTAAAAGGATGTTTTAAAAAAGAAATCAAGAGTAGAGAAATCCGTATGAGTATTAACTTTAATTAATATTTTAGTATATTTGGTAGTCCCTAATTCAACAAAATTAACTGTTCTAATAAAAAACACAAACAAAATTAATTAAGTGTCACGTGACGAAAGTGATAAGGACATAAGGTGAACGTTTTCGAAAATGACAAATGATAAAACAAATGAAAAAGTCCGCAAACTCGAAAGCATTATTTCAACAACTAAAAGATTTCTAGGTAAGGCATATTTGTCACCCAACTATCACATGATTTTCAACTAGGTCCCCAAACAAAAACAATTTTGCTATTTATCAAACATCACCCAATAAACCCCAACATTTAAATTTATGAAATAAATTTGAAAACGTCATTTTGAGACAAATAGAGTCTTGTTGTTCATATTTTAAAGGAAAAAATTTTAAGACGAGTGTCAATTGGGTGCTTTCCGATTGATAAGGGCCCTAATTAGAAACATTTTGTTTTTGAACTTAATTGAGAATTCAATGATAGTTGGGGATAAATATGTTCTTTGGCCAAAAAAAAAAAAAAAGCCAAATTTATAATCCAGGATCCAAGAAAACTTACTATTCAGATAATTATCACCATCAATTTTAGAAGAAAAGATCACAGAAAAAAAAAAAAAAACACTATTCATTTTAGTCTGTCGGAAATACGTACGTCAACAAGACTCCATTGGTACCCATCCGACTTGCATCAAGTTTTCATCACTCTGATATTTATTACAGTGCTTATGATCAGCTTATTGCGTTCACTTCTTGGCATGTAGTCTTTCGTTCAGATTGAGCTAACAAGCGAACTGCTTGGCCCAGTCAAGTTTCCATTGACTACACGGCAGTTCAATCTGATCTCTCCTTCAGTCCCTGTCAAAGGGCTGAGATTCCCCATTCTTATCATGGACACCACAAAGCTTTCAAAGAAAAAACTTTGATTAGCAGTGAAGTTGTTAACAAGTCGAATGAGATCATCAGCCCCAGGAGTTGAAAACAGTTCTTGATCACTCTGAAGTAGGCCTCGGTTAGATTGCAGATTGGAGTAATAGTTATTGTCAAAGCCATTAGGTGTTGTGGGATCAAGATCAGCTAGCGCACTGCCATTTCCACCTTGAGGACATAATTGCTGGAGTAGTGCTAGATAATCTGGGTCTATTGTTGGATCAGGAGCACCAGTGCCATTGAAATTAAATAATCGGAAGTTGAACGTTCTACATTGAGCCCTTCCAAATGTGTGACCACCTGACAAGACACAGAAATGTCAACAACGGGGAATTAACTATAGTTAAGGTTGATAGTTACAATTTTTTATTTTGGGACAAAAAATAGTTACCTGATAGAGCTACCAAATCAGTATTGTTGTTTAGGCTGACATTAGTGAACCTCTCTCTAAGTGTAGGAAGGGTGTCAAAAGGGGCTGGAATGAAAGCATTTGCTGCATCTCGGCTTGCTGTTGTGCTATCTCTTCTTCCTACTGGAACTGCCCATGACGGACCTCCTGCCTGCAACCAAACATATTTAGGGGCTTAGTTTCCTTAACTTGGATTATCTTAGAAAGCCATGGTCCAAGCTGGAACGTTAATCAAAGAGCTTATAGTTATAGATCAGTAACAGTGGTCTCTTACAAGAACTCGCGAGTTCAAATTCTAATAGATTAGTCATGTTAAGAGTCTTGGATGTGTGTTGAGCGTATGAGTTAAAAAGGGAAAAAAATAAAGCTGGAACGTTAAGAATTACAGTTCGTTTGTTTCGTTCAGTTTAGACTCATAAGCTACTGACGTTGTCTTTTGACAAGAAATAGACAACAATAACTTATTTTTTAATTTTGGGAGGAAGGTCGTGTTATTTAGTTACCAAAACGACAGATTCTTCAGCTGCAATAGCGAGGATATCAGCACAAGAAACAGTATCAGGACAAGCACTCTCCAACAAGGCCTTCATTCTATCAACAACATCAAAACCTCTTGCAGAGTTGTTGTTTGCATTAGCTTCCTTTTCGCTTTGTATAGTATCGGTGTTGTCCAACAAAATCGAACCATCACAACCCTGAAAATAAAATTAAAAAAAAATATTCATAATCACAACTTATATAGACGGTTTAATTCTGCTAAAATTGATAAAAAAAAAAGAGCTATTTCGTAGTAATTACGTTAACAAAGCAGTCATGGAAGTGAAGCCTGATGAGGCTGGCTCCAATCCGAGGATCGGAGGTTAATGTCTCAGCAATGACTCCAAGGATAATGTTGCTCACGTTTGGACATGTTTGATCATAAAATGTTGGAGTAAGCTGACCGTAGGCTAAAGGTAGTCTTCTAAGAGAAAACGCAAAGAAAAAAGCAACAAGGACTACAGCTTTAGAAAGATGCATTTTTTTTTCCTCCAATTTCTCCTATGAAAATGGATTTTCAATGTTAGAGCAAGTATAGAACTCATTGAAGTTATGGTTTATATAGTGATAAAGGAGGTTTGAAAGTTAAGACATGGCTCCTTGAATTTTCAAATTTGAACAGTAGCAACTCTCACACGTTCCTATAGTAAATTTTAAATTAGTCCCTCTAGTTTTGAAACTTAATTAATTAGTTTTTTCTTGTTTAAAAAATTAATTATTTAGTCCCCATATCTTGTTGATTATATTTAATTTAATATTATTTTGTTTCACTATTAGTAACTTACCCATATGGATAGCCTTCACAGGTACATTGAAGGGCAAAAAATAAAAAATGCAAAAGCCATTAAATATAGAAATTTTATGTTACTTATGTACAATCATAAAATCATATTTATTGGATCTCAATGCAAATTACTTTCCTTTTTTTTTCTTTTTATTCTAATAAAACAACTATTGATATTTACTTCTGTAGTAATATCTCTTTTTTTTTTTTCATTATTCAACATTTTCTTCTAAACTTGGGCGACTATTATACTTCATCTCTATAAATATGTATGTTCTTCGAGAAGGCATAGGGTTTTCTATACCTTTCGTGGCTTGACTTTGCAATTCTATAAATATAATTCTAGTAACCATGGAATCCGCGTAAACTTCGTGCTTTCACATGCAGGAAGATACATATTCACCGAAAGATATATATTTTTTTCCTTGGAAGAGCAAAGTACAGTATTTGACTAAGGCCAAAAAATATTAGAACAGAGATGCAATGTCCAATTGACATTGGTTCCCTGTTTTTGTGATGAATGTGATGTTTTCGTGATAAGGATGATGATGTTTCTTAGACATATAACTAGAATATAACAAAGTATACACTTGCCGGCCTTTGCCAACCTCGTAGAGCCGATGGATAAATATAATACTTAAAGAACAATGAGTAAATATATATAATAATTATATCGTATGTTAACTTTTTTTAAAAAAATAAATATATAAAAAAAATGGTATTCATATCCATGAAAAATGATAAGAAGATTTTTACATTAATTTAATTTTTTTTTAATTTTCTCTCTTCTATCTTTCTGTCTTATTTGTATATATCTCTTTATAAAATCACCTACACTAATTATTCTTTAAATATTATAAATTTTTTTTTCATTTAGCTCATTAATTTAAATTAATTAACGATTTCTGCGAGGAATCTCCAGATGAAATTTCATTATTGATGATGTGCTGCACCTGACCTTGACGACACAATCAATGATTCCGCTCGAAAAGTGAATTTTTTCTTTCTTTTAATGGCCCATTAAATTAGACCTCTCATCAATGATTCCAGCAATAGTAAGGTGCAAGTATGATGGCAGAAACAACTAGGAAAATTTTCAGAAATAGAAGTGTTTTCTTTAAATAGAGAGAGCGCTAGTAAATGAATATTGGAAAAATAAAAATAAAAAATACTATATTAATAGTAAAAAAAAAAAAAAAAACTCTAATTTTCACTCCTTTAACACTAAATAAATGAATTTTGAAAAAAAAATGCTGGCAAAAAAAAAACTTCAAAAACGTAAATAATTTTTTTTTTCAAAATTCATTTATTTTCATTCAGTAAAAAAAATTATTTAACACGTGTGTTATCATAATGTAAACTTAACAATAAGATTTAACATGATTACTTGAAAACATTAGCAAAAGAATATAATAATAATAAAAATCAAATATCAATGGTTGAGATTAAAAAAAATAAAAAGTACAACACTTTTAAAAAAAGAAATCAAGAGTAGAGAAATCCCTATAAACATTGGTCATAAGAGTTTGAGTTTTTTCGTAATAAGATATTTTTAAATATTATTTTTTATAATAAGATAATTTTAAATTTATTTTTCATAATAAGACATTATATGTCAAATAGGAGTCTTTTTCGTTAAAAACATTGACATATCAGCTTTATTTTTTTCTAAAAACTTATGTAATCGTCCTAAATTACTCTTGTTTTGTCAAAAATCGTCATCAGAATTACTAAAGAAATGGCAAATAGTATAATAGCAAGAACGCTGTGGATAAGAATCAGGGTTATCCCTAAAATTTTATATATATTTCTACGTTATTCATCTTCTCTTTACAACCAAAAAGTCTCTTTTCGTTTTTCAACGAGAAGATTATTTTTAGTCTCTACCATGGCTGATACTGAGAAAGAACATGTTAAAGTCTGTTTTGTTCCCTCGCCTATTGGAAATGTCCATGTTAGTGGTGCTAGAATTGCACTTTTTAATTATGTCTTCTCAGGTGATTTGGATTTGGGTTTTTAATCTTCTTGTTTTTTATTCAATTTAATCATTTGTTTCTTTTCAAATCGAGTAGCTTAAATGGGTTTTTGTCCATTTTGTGGGTTTAGGTCTAAAGGTAGGAAAATTGTGTCGAGGATTGAGGATACTGACTTCAAGAGGTCGACCAAAGAATCTGAGGAGGTAGTGCTTCGGGATCTTTCTTGGCTTGGTCTTGACTAGGATGAAGGTAACACAACTATTCCTGTAACTGTGTCATATTTTTTACTGAATCTCAGTTGCCTTATCATTCATGTTTTACTTGGTAGTGTTAAGTTGCCATTTTTTTTTTTTTTTGTGGAACATAATCACATATGGTTAAATTCTTACAAATCTTATCTTGTAATTGTATCGTAGGTCCTGGGGTTGGTGGAGACTATGGTCCACATCGACAATCAGAAAGGAATTCTCTCTATCAGCAGCATTCTGAGAAACTTGTAGGATCTGGTCATGTTTATCGTTGCTTCTGTTCTAATGAGGTAATTATTCTAGCAGCTCAAAATTTTTGAAGTTAGGATATGTGCTTATATTAGTTTAGCTTACTACAGGGGCCCTAATCTTTTGTTTGTGGCTTCTATCTGGGATATTGCATTTTGTCGTCTAGCTGTTAACTCCTGAATTTCAAAGCTGAAGGAGCATTTACCAAATAATCTCAGGCAAGCACTAATATATACAAGGTATTATTTGTGCCATCCTGAATGAATAGATATGTTTCTTTTCATTTCCTTAAGGCAATCCGTCTTCTTTGAATAATATGGCGCCTATCTATTTGGATTTCGTCACTTTGCACACGTTTCTTTAAGTCTTGCACGTGATAAGAGTAAATTATCAAACGACATGGTGCAACTTCAATGGGTTAGGTTTGTTTCTTAGGTTATTGCTTAGGTGTGATATGTGGACATTAGTTATTTGTTTTCATGGTCTCATTTTTTATTTTTTATTTTTGGCTTATCTGAAATGTTTTCTAGTGAAGATAGAAATATCAGAAAATTGATAATTATTTTTAACAGTACAGGGAGATGGATTATCTGAATTAACAGTACAAATAAAAAAGACAAACAAAATTAATTAAATGTGATCTCTCTTTCTATGGTCAGAAATGGAAGCGTCGAGTGGTGAAAGTGACAAGGGAAATTTTTCCAAAATGACAAATGAACGAACAAATGAAAGAGTCGGGAAACTCGAAAGCATAATTTCAACCACTGAAAGATTTCTGTGTAAGGACATATTTGTCACCCAACTATTGCATGATTTTCAACCAGGTCACCAAACAAAAACAATTCTCAATTGAATTCTCTATTTATCGAACATCACTCGATTAAGCTCAACATTTAAATTTATGAAATAAATTTAAAAACGTCATTTTGAGACAGATAGAGCCTTATTGTTCATGATTTTAAAGGAAAAAACTTTAAAAGGAGGGTTAATTGGGTGCTTTCCAGTTGACAAGGGATCTAATTAGAAATATTTTTGTTTGTGAACTTAATTGAGAATTCAATGATAGTTAGGGGATAAATATGTTCTTGGGCAGAAAAAGCCAAATTTATAATCCAGAATCCAAGAAGTTTTACCATTCAGATTTTACAAAAAAAAAAAAAAAAAAAAAACTTCATTTTAGAAATACGTACGTCAACAAGACTCCATTGGTAACCATCCAACTTTCATCAAGTTTTATCACTCTGATATTTAATTATTACAGTGCTTATGATCAGCTTATTGCCACTCACTTCTTGATAAGTAGTCTGTCGCTCAGATTGAGCTAACAAGCGAACTATATGGCCGAGTCAAGTTTCCATTGACTACACGGCAGTTCAATCTGATCTCTCCCTCGGTCCCTGTCAAAGGGCTGAGATTCCCCATTCTTATCATGGACACCACGAAGGTTTCAAAGAAAAAACTTTGATTAGCAGTGAAGTTGTTAACAAGTTCAATGAGATCATTAGCCCCAGGAGTTGAAAACAGTTCTTGATCAGTCTGAAGTAGGCCTCGGTTAGATTGCAGGTTGGAGTAATAGTTATTGTCAAAGCCATTAGGTGTTGTGGGATCAAGATCAGCAAGCACAGATCCATTTCCACCTTGAGGACATAATTGCTGGAGTATTGCTAGATAATCTGGGTCTATTGTTGGATCAGGAGCACCAGTGCCATTGAAATCAAATAACCGGAAGTCGAATGTGCTACATTGAGCCCTTCCAAACGTGTGAGCACCTGACAAGACAATCAGAAACGTCAACAATGGAGAATTAATTATAGTTAAGGTTGACTTTTTGTTTGAGGGAAAAAAATAAAATAAAATAGTTACCTGATAGAGCTGCCAAATCAGTACTGTTATTTAGGCTGACATTAGTGAAATGCTCTCTAAGTGTATCAAGGGTGTCAAAAGGGCTTGGAAGGAAAGCATTTGCTGCATCTCGGCTTGCTGTTGTGCTATCTCTTCTTCCTACTGGAACTGCCCACGATGGACCTCCTGCCTGCAACCAAACATATTTAGGGGCTTAGTTTCCTTAACTTGGATTCTCTTCGAAAGCCATGGTCGAAGCTGGAACGTTAATCAAAAAGCTTGTAGTCTAATGATAGTGGTCTTTTACAAGAGTTCACGGGTTCAAATCTTAATAGACTAGTTTTAGTAAGAATTTTGAGTGTGTTAGTTAAAAAAAAATAAATAAATAAACTGGAACATTAAGAGTTACAGTTAGTTTGTTTCGTTTAGTTTAGACTTATAAGCTACTGATGTTGTTCTTTGACAAGAAATAGAAAACAATAACTTATTTTTTAATTTTGGGGAGGAAGGTCATGTTATTTAGTTACCAAAACAACAGATTCTTCAGCTGCAATAGCGAGGATATCAGCACAAGAAACAGTAGCAGGACAAGCACTCTCCAACAAGGCCTTCATTCTATCAACAACATCAAAACCTCTTGCAGAGTTGTTGTTTCCATTAGCTTCCTTTTCGCTCTCTATAGTATCGGAGTTGTCCAACAAAAGCGAACCGTCACAACCCTGAAAATAAAATAATAATTAAAAAAATCTTTAGAATCACAACTTACATAGATGGTTTAATTCTGCTAAAATTCATAAAAAATATGAGCTATTTCATGGTAATTACATTAACAAAGCAGTCATGGAAGTGGAGCCTGATGAGGCTGGCTCCAATTCGAGGATCAGATGTCAAATTCTCGGCAATGACTCCACGGATAATGCTGCTCACATTCGGACATGTTTCATCGTAAAATGTTGGAGTGAGCTGACCATATGCCAATGGCAATCCCCTAAGAGAAAACGCAAAGAAAAAAGCAACAAGGATTACAGCTTTAGAAAGATGCATTTTTTTTCCAATTTCTCCTATATGAAAATGGATTTTCAATGTTAGAACAAGTATAGAACTCATTGAAGTTACGGTTTATATAGTGATAAAAGAGGTTTGGAAGTTAAGACACGGCTCCTTGAATTTTCTTACTTGAATAGTAGGTATACTCACGTGTTCTTAGCTAGTTAGCTAGAATAAATTATAAATTAGTCCCTCTAGTTTTGAAAAATAAATTAATTATTTTTTTCTTGTTTAAAAAATTAATTATTTAGTCATTTTATCATTATTGTTCATGCTTAATTTAATACTATTTTGTTTCAAAAGAAATTTTCTTTCCTCATCATTCTTTTCATAATATTTTTTTATTTTTTTATTTTTAAAACATAAAAAAATAGACAAAAAATTAAATAATTAATTTTTTAAATAAAAAAATTAATTAATTCGTTTATCAAAACTAGAGAGACTAATTTATAATTTACTCCATGTTCATAAAGTGACATTGATTCGTAGGTGGTGTGAACGTAAAACTAGTTATTGGAGGTACCGTGTTGAATACATTTCCCCGTTGGTCGTTAATTTTTTTTTTTTTTTTTTAAAGATTTTTCTTGGATGTTATGCATTCTTATCGACAATTTTAACGATGCATTCTCCTCTGTTACGTTCATTCAATTCAAATTTAATATATGCATGACTTTTCTTTGCGTGTGAATCTCCATATACATTACGTTAATAGTTGAACTTTGTTCCTAGCTTTGGCCTAGCTAGCTGAAATACTTGATAATGGAGAGATCGAAATCGTAGAAATTAAGAACAGAGCTATCCATGTTGAGTAGCTGATCAAAATTCAACTATCCTAATCCATATTTGGAGTTTCAACTGTATGATTACAACCATTATGATTAAACAAGCTGAAATTGCAGAAAATATGCTGCCAGTTTTTGTTCAGACAAGCAGATCAATTGATATTTTATCTTATAGCCCTAGAATTTCTTCAACTCCCTGCTTGTAAAACTCTTATTGGATATAGGGGTGGCGGGGAAGAATTTTCCTCGATCAATTGATATTTTATCTTATAGCCCAAAAATTTCTTTTTTATGACTAGGCCTTTTGTGCTATATACTCTTCTCTGCACATGGTAGTTTCTGCCGATGGGACCTGCGACATGGAAATTATAATACAATTCATCTTTTTTCTAGAAAACACTGCCTAATCTTGCCTCATATATCTTTTTCATGGGTTGATTTAGCAACTAATGTCTAGCAATTCAATCCACCATGCATGACACCTTGCAAACTTTTATCGTTGCTTGTATTAGAAACTAGCGAGCTATAAAGTGGTCAAAGAATTAGTCACGTTCCTTTTTTTCCCATCACAGCTAGATTGTTCTTTTCATGTAATTATCATAATAAAAAAACTAGCATCAATTTGAATTTTAAAAAAATTATCCAAATATAATTCTTTAAAAAATATATATATACGAAAAAAAATACTAATAATATGACATAATTATTAATAAATTTTTTAATCTGTGCAAAAAAATAGGACAATTTTTTTAAAAAATATGTAGAATAATATTGATTAAATTATAAGAAGAAATCACACTCTTCTTTTTCTGAACGATCTTAAAAATATTTTTCTTTACAACAGCTTAGGCAGTGTGAATTATAAATACGCAATTCTAAAAGTAAAGTTCATCTTATATAGACATCTTCTTTGAAGGTTCATATTAAAATGTCTCCAAAAAAGAAAAAAAATGTCAATATAGCTAATTATGAAGGAAGAAATATCAAGCAGTACTGACCCTACAATTGCTCTTTTCTTGCAATCGAATCTGGACTTGCAGATTTCATAACCATGGAAAAGTTGAAAGTTACATGGGTTCATGCACGCATCAAACACGCACCTTCAAAATTCAAAGGAAGGGATATATGTACACGCCTTTACATGGAATCTGGACTATAAATTTCAAAAATGTAATCATCATATAAAAATATGCTGCATGGAAAAGTTCCTGCACAAGGCATATGTTTTTTTTTTTTTTTTTTTTTTTTTTTTTTTTCATCATCATTTTCACGATAAAGGTGTCTTTTAAGTCATTTTATGCATCAATTAAGATTAACTGTATTTCAAATCATTTTAAAAATACATCTTTCACATCCGCATTTAGATACATTTAGGAAATTTAATAAATTTTTCTAGATCTAACTTAAAGATTGAACATTACATTTACTTATGTTGATTATTGAGGCAATATTGATCAAATTCAAGAACATAATTTTGATATCTTAGAGGTATGTATGTGGATGAGAAAGTCGAATTGACATAATCACTAACTTAAAGATTGAACATTACATTTACTTATGTTGGTTATTAAGGCAATATTGATCAAATTCAAGAACATAATTTTGATATCTTAGAGGTATGTATGTATGTGGACGAGAAAGTCGAATTGACATAATCACTTCTAATGTCAGTTTTGATATCTTAGAATCATAATTTTAAATAAAAGATATAACTGTAAAAACAATAATTATTGTGATTGTGAAACGTGATATATTATGATAGTAAATTAATTATTGCAACAATCGATATCGTAAATGCATTAATAGTTATTAATAAATTTATTTTAATTCACATATTTTAATAATTTTATTAATTAAATATAATAACAATATTTTTGATAGTTTAATATTATATAACAATAGTTAATTTATGTATCAATTAAACTTAAAATTTTCTTGAGATGATCTTAAGAATACACATTTCACATCGGCATTTAGATGCTTTTAAAAAAAAATTTAATAATATTTTTTTTGAATTTGATTGTAAGATTTGAATCTAGAAAGTAGAAAAATATACTGCTTCTTCTTTTTAAGACTTCTTCTTGTAATTCATTCAAGAAATTATTTGCTACTGCACTTCTCATATTCAGTCTTCTTCTGCTGTTTGGTAATAACTTAAACTTGATATATATATAATTATGAGATATTTTTGCTTACTTTTTTAATTGACAAAAATTGCGTGCAGGTATCAACAATATTGAAGGATACAAATGTGGATATGTGTTTTTTTTTTTTTTTTTTGCTGATTGCTACATAGATGCGTTGCTGCTGTGCCAATGACAAAAAAGATCTAACTTCACCTGGGACTATCGTTCCAATCCCACCTCCACCTAAAAACTAGTTTCCCCTGCTTGTTTCTTGGATATGAATATTCCACATATATTTGAGATTTGAGCCAATGGAATATTTGGTTGTCTTAACCAATAATAAATAAAGAATTTGTATTATAAAACATAATAATAAAAATCCAGTTTCTTAATTGGTTTCTTTCTTTCTTTCTTTCTTTCTTTTTCTTTTTTGTTATCTACTTACTATTATCTGTCCATGAATTATGAGCGATATTTGATCTAACCTTAAAACAATTTATTTTTGAGTCTGAGATTTGATTAGATAATAATTAGATATTGTCTAATTAATAATAAATAACCTCTTAACTAGCCCTCTAAGGACACCCCTAAGGTTGACCCTTTTTTAGAGATTTTTCAGATTTTCTTTCTATATAGAAAGATTTTCAGTTTTTCAAAGGTCAAATTTAAGTTATTTTGACTAAGTTTTCCTTTATATCAGATAAAATTTTAACAAAAAATTGTTATAAAAAAAATATGAACTTTAATTTCCTATTAAAAAAAATATATAAACTTTAATTTTGACATCATGCAGGCCAATAAATATGAACGGATGGAGTAAATAAAAATATCCCTCTCAATTAGAGATTTATTTAATTAAGAGTTTAAATTGAACAATTTAGACGTTGCTTGTTTTCTAGCAGCAAATACTTTCATCATTAGAACAACAACAACCATTGGTAAGACGATGAGGAAGTGTTATGCAAACTCCAGTTTTGAATTTGTATTTAGGGCATATTTCCTTGCAGTCTACACTGATGTAGCATGGCTCTTTGCTAATACGTCCACATTTGAATTCTGCTTCAATATTGCTGGGACCTGCATAATTCATAAATAAATTAAAGTTAAGGTCATATACAGTTTTGAGCAGGGCTATAAATATTTGTTTCAAGGAGACGAGAAGTCTAGATAAATAAACACCCAAAAAAGAAAATTATATCCAAAAAATCAATGTATACTGGAGAATCAAACAGTAGATTTTATAAGTTTTTTTTTTAAAAAAAAAAACTGTAAAACTATGAAAAAGTTTCGAAACATTTCTTATAAATAATTGAGTGATTTTTTGGATATGCTAATGCTTATAAATAAATTAAAAAAAAAATCATAGTCTAAATATAGTACGTACGTAGATAATTATTCCACGATATATATAATCTTATGGATTTAAAACAAGGAAAAAAAAAAACATAGCCTATTTTATATATGCTTATAATTAAAAGTTAAAAAGCATATCAAGGTACAGGGAGTTTTTTAAGTATTACCGAGAGCAAGAAGAAGACCGAATATAAGAATCGCAGTGGTCAATGATTGCTTGAACGACATGATAGCAGAAAAAAATAATAATAATAATAAATCACAATACCAAAAAGAATACTGAAAAGAGCCTCCATGTCTCCTGTATTTATAGTTGTTTTCCCTGTAGAGTAATATAAATTGAGTAATTAATATCATAATCTTATAAAATTAATACTGTTTCTATCTCAAATAAATTGTTATATTTGACATTTAATTTACATATATTAAAAAAATTAATAATTATTATAGCATGATAATACCTTTTTGTTCATAGTTTTCCAAAATAACTTTATTTTCGTGTTAGGTCTCTTATAAATGAAGGTATATATATATATATATTAGTTTGACTAAGAAATCATTTTTGGACAAATAAAAAAACGAAAATAAAAACTAAATCAATTTTTTTAAAATGGAGAGACTCAATGATTAACCAACAATTTTTACTTTATGAAAGAGATAAATATAGAGGAAAGAAAGAAATTTAAAAAAAAATTAAATGAAAATATTCTTATCATTTTTATGTTTTGGATTGGATGTGATTTTTTTTTTTTCAAATTAGACTTATAGAATAAATATTGGTAATAAGCGGATTTTGTTTAGAAAGTAATTTTAGAAAAATCTTTTTGCATTATTCAAATAATGTTCTATGTCTGTCTGTATTATTCTGTGTTCATAAAAGTAGTAAAAATTTGGATTAATAGTTTAGAAAGTCTATCTATTAGTTTTTAATCATTTTCATTTATTAAATATTTCATTAATGTCATTCATCAATATTTAGGTCCTAATTTCGTCTCTTTATTCAAATTTTCGGATATCGGTGTACGAAATGCTGACGTGTGGAATTATTATTCTTTTCTATTTGATTTTCGAAAAAGAAGTAAATAAATTTTATGTAATGAAAAGTAAAACCCAAAAATTCTCCCCAAATAAAAACTCCAAATCTCCAACTCAGGCGGAAGAGCTGAAGAACTCGCTGCAGCCTTAACCACCGCAGCAGGGGCAGCAACCACAGTAAGACTCACACTCGGCTTCGAAACAGCAATCCCCGCGGCTGCCTCCACATCAGCAGGAGCAATCCTCCCCTACGGCCCCGTTCCAACCACTTTATTGATATCCACCTTATGCTCCTTCGCCAATTTCTTCGCAAACGGCGTTGCAGCCGTTCTTTTTTAGTGTGAAGATTGGGGATCAGGATGCGTTAGAAAGGGATTTCTTTCAGTTGAATCCTTATTATACTGATGCTGGGTAATTTTTCGACTGGTTCATCAGGCATGCATGCCGTGGATTTGGAGCACTCCTTCATGGAAGGGGCTTACAACCGTGTGTCATCGGCAAAACAGAATGTGCCATACAAGACTTATGATTATTTTACAGTAAAAGGCATCCTGATCCCCAATCTCCGCAAATGGCGTAGCAGTCGTCTTCCTCGGCCTCTCCGGTGCAGCCGGAGCAGGAGGTGGTTGCGAAAGAGAGCTGCTGTTTTCTTATTGTTGTTGTTGCCAAGAAACAGCAGTAAGGAGAAGAGGGTCATGCCATTGATTAAGTTGTTTTTCACGTGAAGTATCACAATGCTCCATGATTAATGAAAAGAATCTTTCAAAAGAAAAAAGGCACTGTTTTGTTTAGAAACGGAAGATACTTTTTGAATTCAATCTTTTATTTTTCTCTTTTTTGGGAGATAGTGAGAGAAAGAGAGAGAGCAGAAGAAGGAAAGGGAAGAATGTTTTGATTTTGTCAATGAAACGTAAAAAACGACAACATCTTATTCATCGTGGATTGATTTTTTTGTGGTCTGGTTAAATTATGAAAAAAAAAAATTGAATCGGAGATTTGGGGATTTTATTTTCTTCTTTTTTAAAATCAAATAAAATAAATAAATTTGACCTATCAGCATAATCGAAACACAAAATAAACGTAATTAATTTATACGTTAATTAAAATTAAATTTATTTTTAAATAATTTTAAAAATATTTTATTTATATAATTTAGTTTAAATTTAAAAAAAAACAATTTTTTTAATCACCACATCAATTTTTATTTTTATTTTTTTAAATGACATTATATTGTTTTTTTTTTAAAAAAAATATCTTATTGCTTTTCTCTGCATCAAAACACGTGTAAAGTTTGAAGGGGGTTCGAATGTCCAATTAATTTCTTCCACCCAACTTAAAAGTGAAGAAAGTGCATTTTATTAATCAATTTGCCATTGCCGACAGCATTAATATGTGATCATACGCAAGGTTTATACATATGAGGACTTTTATATTATTTAAAGAATAATTAATAATACTTATTTCATAAAAGATAAATAAATATAAAGAGAAGAGATACAAAAAAAATATAATCCAACAATAAAGAGGTTATTTTAATTTGATTAAGATAATGGTTTAATTTATATGACTAATAGATAACTAATAATGAATATTCCGAAATGGTATTGAAATTGAGTTAATTTAATTTAAAAAAAATTTTAGTAATCGATTAAAAACTAAATGTATTCTAACACCGATTTAATGTAGAAAGTATTGCATTTAGTTTCGCTTGATGCGAAATCTAACTCGAGAATATTCAATTATCTAAAAATGTTTTTATTATTCTTAATGTATATGAAGGTGATTTTTTTTTTTTAATCTCTACCTTCTCGTAATAGATTTATAAAGCAAGTGTTATTAGTTATTCATTTAGTAATTTAATTTTTTTTTATATGAATTATGTTTTTTTTTTTGTGGGGATTTGAAGTTTTTTGATACTTTTAAAATTTTTTAATATATACTAAAAGGTTTGACAAGAATTATCCAAAAGCTTGATAATAATAATAAGAGGTTATTGATTTAAATTTTAATAGATTAATTCTAAAAAATATTTTGGATGTGTGACGTCGGAAGAAAAAAAAAAGTTCGGCAAGAATTTAGTGCATCGATAGAGTGAATGATATGTCCCTGTCAATGGCAGAGGAGAGGAATCAATTGTACCTGACGTGCAAATCCACGAATGATATGTCCCTGTTGAAGCTCAAATTGTCCCACAAAATTCCATATGCCAACAGATCATTTTGCTGATCAAATGTCCACTCTACCGTTCATTTTCCACGAAGATGAAAATAAACGTACACTTGGCTTTTATCATCAAACCAATGAAGTCTTTTGTCAGCATCAATCATCAGATTTCTTTTGCTACCGGCAACTTGTGGGCATGTTTTATCACAGTGATTTTATTGCTATATAATAACTACATGCCTCTTATAGATATTCCAGGCAACACTGTTATTAATTGATTAAAAGTTTACTTTTCCCTCAAGATAAAGCAATGCATCCTTTAGTTGCGTCTCTTTTTTTAGCTTTCTGGTTTGGAGGATCCCTATCCCATGGTCAGCTGACTCCGACATTTTACGACCAAACATGCCCGAATGTGAGCAGCATCGTTCGCGGGGTCCTAATTCAGGCTTCGCAGACAGATCCTAGGATTGCAGCCAGCCTCACTCGACTTCACTTCCATGATTGTTTTGTTAATGTAACAATCATTATTATTACTATTTTTTAACTTCCATTACCAAAATTCTTGAACTTCAAGTGTTAATTACCTTCTAACTTTTTGAACTTTTTCAGGGTTGTGATGGATCAATTCTTTTGGACAACACTGCTACTATACTCAGTGAGAAAGAAGCTGCTCCAAATAATAATTCCGCAAGGGGTTTTGAAGTTGTTGATAACATGAAGGCTGCAGTGGAGAATGCTTGTCCCGGCGTCGTGTCCTGTGCCGATATTCTCACCATTGCAGCTGAAGGATCTGTTTCGTTGGTATGTTAAAGATTTTTTTTTGGCCTGTTTCTTCTTGTTGTTTTTTGGTTACGATGTTGTTTGCTTCTTAAATTAATGTTTGATCACAGGCAGGAGGACCCTCATGGACAGTTCCATTGGGAAGAAGAGACAGCTTGATCGCAAACAGAAGCGGTGCTAATTCTGACATTCCGGCTCCATCTGAGAGCCTTAATGTTCTCAAATCCAAGTTTGCAGCCGTAGGCCTCAACACCAGTAGTGACCTGGTTGCCCTTTCAGGTAACATTTTTAAGCATCTCAATCCATTTATTAATGCTAAGCCATTCTTTTTTGCACCCCCATAATCTTCTTTTACAAGGTTTGACATGAATGTTTTTCAGGTGCTCATACATTTGGCAGGTCTCAATGTTCAAATTTCATTAGTAGACTGTATAATTTTAGTGGCAGCGGCAGTCCTGATCCAACATTGAACACAACTTATTTAGCAACACTTCAACAATTATGTCCTCAAGGGGGAAATGGGAGTGTTCTGGCAAATCTTGATCTCACGACACCAGATACTTTTGATCGTAACTATTTCTCAAATCTTCAAACCAATGAAGGCCTATTTCAGAGCGATCAAGAGTTGTTTTCTACCGCCGGGGCCGATACCATAGGCATCGTCAACAATTTTAGCGGTAATCAAACTGCATTTTTTGAAAGCTTTGTGGTGTCCATGATTAGAATGGGGAATATCAGGCCATTAACAGGTACAGATGGAGAGATCAGATTGAATTGCCGAAGAGTCAACGATAACTCAACCGGATCAAATGATCTTCTGGTTAGCTCGATTTAGATAAGAAGAGGAGATTGTCAGATTGAGATCGAAGAAAAATCCTTGTGATACGCAGCTAGCATCTTGGAATAAAAAGGCTACACGAGGGATGCCGGAGCAATAATTACATGTGTGTATCTATGTATGGTTCTCTATTTCAGGTTGTGGATGCTGCCTCAGAGATTTTGGCGTCCAAATATGTGTTTCTGTTGCAATTCAGCTTTGATGGGTATGTTTTGAGCTGTAGATTATCTGCTACTGAATATTAATGTTAAGTGCTACCTAAGGCATTCTGATCATGATTTCAAATATTAGTAGTTGTTACTTAATGTAATGGACACGTTCCTTAACGTTATTTGCCGTTATAGGTTTTCTTCGCTGTTATGTATCACAGTGAATAACATCGAAGCTCAAAATAAACCATAAATATCATTGATATGAAATTTATATATTGATCTATTATAATTTATTAAATTATATATAAATATAAAAAAATAACTTCACCTTTCAAGTCATAAATTGGGATAAATTTGAAATACTTCTCATAAATTTTTATTAATAAAAAAAATTATCTTTTTCACTTTTCAAGTTATACATAAATAGAAAAATTCGATCAAAACTCTAAAATAATTTTTTTAAAAAAATAAAAAAATTCAAAAATAAAAAAAATAATAAAATCAAATTTGAGAATCTAAACGATGTTTTTTTTTTTTAATCAAAATCATCCTTACATCATAAGCATAGCCATGAGTTTGCTTGTTGGCATGTTTAGCATCAAATTAGGTTTAAAAAACCTCAAAATTAGATTGATATGTTTTTTTCAATTTTTATTGCATTCATACCGTTCTATGAACTCTAAAACTCATTGATCTTCATCATATATTTATTATACATTTTTTTTTTTATTGATTCCTGCAATTTTTTTTAAAACTAGATCAGCATAAAATCATGCTTATCACATAAAAAGAAAAAAAGACTTTTTAAAAAAGAGAATCCAACCTCACACCTAATAATTCAAAAATAATTTTCTTGTAACTTTATCTAAGAATCGTCGGTGATGTCAGCTTTTTGGAGCTGCAGAGAAGGGTTAAATTAGCTTGAAGATTAAGGTAATAGTTTTTATCAAAAACGATTCGGTGTAAAGCCACTGACAAAGCTGAACATATGTCCCAATTCAAACTGAATTTGTCCCACAGAATTCAAAAGGCCAACTGATCATTTGATGATCGAATGTCCAATCCACCGTTCTTTTTCCATGAAGATGAACATAAAAACGTACACTTGCTTATCCTCTAAGCAATCAGAATCCTTTGTCAGCATCAATCATCAAATCACTTTTGCATGTGAAACTAGTGGGCATATATTATCACTCAGATTTTATTGCTCTAAATGAGTAGATTATAAATTAGCCCTTTTATTTTTAAGAAATGATTTGATTTTGTTAAAAATCTAATTATTTCATTGTTCGATCAACGTTTACTATGCTTAATTTAATCCTATTTTATTTTTCAAAATATTATATTTTTTTGACAAACTGTTCGTGTTTGTTACTCCATCAATGGTATCCTCAACTTTAGGGCATGTTTTCTTTTAAAAATGTGGGTGTCAGCTGACCTTCAGATATGGATGATATTCCGAAAAGGAAAGCACAAAAAAGAATCCCAACCAAAGAAGAAATTTTACCACCCACTTTTATGATCTGTAAGGCATAAAGGGAGTTTTTTTTTTTTATTCAATATATATACACAAACTCTCAAAAAAAATTTCCCAAAAATCACATTAGTTGGATTAATGTTTTTATATATATACATAGATATTCGCTGAATAATCAATAGTTATTTCATGAAACTCCTTCGGATTATAGTAATAAATAGAAAATTAGAAAAAAAGTAAAGAAAGAAACAAGTAAAGACTAGGCCTGAATCAACACAGGTACGGTCCCAATTCATTTATATGAGTTGGGCCAACTTATCACATCTTTACAATAAGCCCAATTTAAAAAGGCCCAACTGGATAAACCCAATTCAATATGAATCAACAGAACCAGAATTTAAATAAAAAATAAAATAAATAAAAAGAAATGGATCCCTATTTTGTATCCATGATTTTCAGTTTTCCACCTTATCGTTGTTGTTTGGACCTGTAATTGATGCTGTATACAGTTATATGTTGTGCATTAATGTTTTTTATGGATAGGGGTAAGTATGAAAGGAGTAATATCTTTATAATAAATTTCAGGATTTAGAAAAAAAAAAAAAAAATCTCGAGTATAAAATTTGAATTTTTATATTTACAAGAATAGGTTAGCTGGAATAAGTTTTCATATACTTTTATAAATACCAAATGCTCATAATTTTTAAATAATATTTACCATGTGTTTTGTGTAATTTTTAAGAAGTTGGCATGGTAGTTAAATAAATTTGTTTCTGCTGTTATTATAAAACAACTCTTTTAAACACTGCTTCTTCTTCTTTTTTCTTTTTTTTTCTTTTTTAAGAAAGAAAATTCAAACAACAAAGGCTGCCCATTGTCACTATCAGTGTTTAGCCGTATTTTATTTCTTTAACACACCAATTCTTTTCTCTCTCTCTCTCTCTCTTTTTTATATATATATATTTATATAAAAAATGTATCTTTAAGTAAAGTATCTAATTTTTATTACAACATGATCCTTGATCTAACATGGCTCATTAGTCATTAATAAAATTAAAATTAGATTAATCTGTTAAAAATAATTAGTATTCTTTTGCTCCAATATTTAATTTGAATTATTTGCCAGTTTTCAATAAAGCCTAGCTCAATTTATATACGTTCTTTCCCATCTTTGATTCAACTTGGGCTTTGATTCTTTTTGTAATTATTTTTTTAATAAAAGAAAGATTGAAACTCAGACCAGATTGATTGGCTTTGTAAACATTTTTTTAAAAACCATTAATAGAATCCAAACGAAAATTGACTGCAGAGCTAATATTTTTTAAACTGCATTCATTCGTATTAACAATCCGTAATAATAATAACAATAATAATAATTCCATTCAACTAATATGTGTTTACTAAATATTTGGTACGCTTCTAATACATCAACAAAGAGGAACATTCTAAGTTCAGTCCCCAGCTTGTTGTGCTCAGCACCAGAAAAATGAAAATCCATCTTTTTTATTTTACTAGCACATATTGAATTTGAGGAAAAAGCTGAAAAGTGAAAGAAAATGAAGTACGTTTTTCTTTTTCTTTTTTTCCATCTCATAGCATAGAACGTCCAAAGACCCTAATTGACCCTCTTGCAGTCGGCTCTGATCTCTCCATTGCTTCCTGTCAATGGACTTATATTTCCCATTTTTATCATAGACCAAGCAAAGCTGTCAAAGAAACTGGTTTGGCTGTTAGCAAACAGGTTGACGATGGCAACAGTATCAGCCCCACCATTAGAGAACAGTATTTGATCAGTTTGAAGAAGGCCACGATTGTTTTGGAGATTTTTGAAGTAGTTATTGTCAAAATCATCAGGGGTTGTAGGATCAAGATTGTTCAATCTAGCTGGATTTCCTCCTTGAGGACATGCTTGCCGAAGTGTCTGTAAGTATGTTGTGTCTAAGGATGGGTCTGGGTTTTCATTACTGAAATTGAAGAGTCTCCGGCTGAAAGACTGGCACTGAGCCCTCCCAAATGTATGTGCACCTGAAATGACATTTTATCTTTTGTAAGCATAAAACAACTACTGTATGCTAACGTGCTGTATTTCGATGAGGAAAGTTGGAAAGATTTCTAATTAATTACCAGATAAAGCAACTAGATCGGTGGAATCAAGTCCCTTGTCCGAGAACTTGCTTGTAATTTGTCCCAAGTCTTCAAAAGGACCAGGGAGATCGGTAGTTCTTGATGCGTTCGCAGTCCTACTATCCCTTCTTCCAAGTGGCACTTGCCATGTTGGACCTCCTCCCTGCAATATATCATTTACTCGTCAAAGCCACAAAAGTGTAAACTCAACCAAGACTTTAACCTAAACTTGCTAGCACTAGTCTCTTTTAGTTTCTCATGCCATATATATCTTCGTTATTTCTTTAGTTTTTTGGCTGAACTTTCAACAAATCTAACCTCAGTTATCAGTATTTATTAATTAAGAAAGGTCTTACAGCAAGGTAAACCTTGAAATTTTTATGTTTTCAGTTGTTGGCAATACATTAAGAAAGGTGATTAAGAAAGGCTGACAAGACCATACCAAGGAAACCGATATTTCAGATGCAAGGGCTAATATATCTGCGCAGGAGACAACGCCAGGGCAAACATTCTCCACTGCTGTTTTAATGTCATCAACGACATCAAAACCTTCTACGGATACATTAGGGCTTTCATCTTTCTCGCTATCTATGCCATTCGCATCGTCCAGCAGAATAGAGCCATCGCAGCCCTGCCAAAATAATATGAAAAAGACATGTGCATTAGTACTTCCTTCATGAAGAAGTTCTTTCTGCAAGCTGAACCATTAAAATACTAATTATGGAGATAATTACATCGACAAAGCAATCGTGGAAGTGCATGCGAACGAGCTTGGCTCCAATCCGGACATCTTTTAGCGCAGCTTGCTGTACCACGCCTTGTACAATGCTCGACACATTCGGGCAAGTGGTAGCATAAAATGTGGGACATAATTGAGCGTCTGAGTTGCCCCAAAACAACATAACTACGCAGATCACTATAGGTAGAATGGAAGACATTGTTTCTGACGGAAAGGAAAATCCTATAGGTTTTGAATTGAAGCTGAGCTTCTTGTTCAAAAGTTTGTGATGCTCTTACTTGTGGTGTTGCACTCTTTATATACAGAGGAAAAAAAAAAAAAAGAGTAGGAAAAAGATTGAGAGCTATACCCCTGCCTAAGAAAAAAGAGGAAGGGTTCAAAGTTGACGTAGAGACTCGTATTCCAAGCAAATGGAGTCAAACAGAACTGTTATAGAACTATTTTTCTTATTTTTCCTCAGCAGAAAATTTCAAAGATTGTGAACCAAGCTAATCAACAATTAATACAAGGGAGAATTCTTAAGAAAAGAACATTATACTGGATCAAGTTGGAAAACGTTTGAAATACTTAATCTTTGCAAGTCTAATCAATGTCAATTCCAGGCTAAATGACTATTTGAGGTCTTCTGATATGAGATTAAATGTGAGGTTTGTCCTGCTGTCCAAAATTTCTCTCCGCGCACTCCCATTCTCACAGGTTGGAGTCTAAGTCTGTGAGACAGGCTGATATTTTGCTTAATATTAACTGTCAGGCTAATTGGTCATAAAAGATCCTAAACTTTTTATCAATAAAAAAAAAAAAAATCTCTAGCTTTATTTATTTATTTTAATTTGAATTTGAATCTTTTTTTCTTTTTATCCCTAATTAATTATTTTTGTTTTGTATATCAATTTCAAAAAGCCTTAGAATTACGTAGAAGAAAAATAAACTATTAAAACAATAACGTGTATCTTAAAAAATATATTTTTAAGAACGTAAGCTATTAAATAAGGACATGTGTTCTCTCATGTGTCTCGTCATATTAATAAAAAAATGATTGGAATCCAAATTAGAATTAAAAAAATTACAGATTTGTTTCTGGTTGAACAAAAGTTCAAAATATTTTATAATAAATTAACTTAACTGTAAATATTAAATTAAGTCCAACCTATGTTATCTTATGATAGAAATTATATTCTAGTATTACTTTGCTGCTTTGGATTTTTTTCACTTGACTGTAACAATAACAAAAGCTGGCAAATCTTAAAACTGACGTACGTACTGTTCAACATCCACAACATGTGGATTGTAGACTGCTGAGTGGAAAACAAAACAACCTCTAAATCATTCCAAAATTTCTTCAGTTAGATTTAGACTCAAGTGTCCGTATCCGGCTAACTTGTGAGATAAAGATCTGTGAACCCCTAGAATGGTTTGAATATGGCCAAAGCTAGCAACACATTTTTTTTTAACATAACCTTTAGAAATAATTTTATATTACTCTCTAAAACGTTTTTAGATTCGAACTCATGATTGTTTAGTTATCAAAACTTTAATATCATTTTAAAAGACTATCTCAATCCCAAAGTTTAAATTATTAATTGAGGTTTCGAAAATAGTTTTATATTATTTTTCAACAGTAAGCTAACAAAACATGGATTGTATAAGTAGATGAAAGAACAAAAACTTATTTATCCCATCAAAAAAAAACAATTTTTGTGAGCCTATGTTCATATTTTGGGTCTCTAAATTACCTATTCCTGCAATCTGAACTTGATACAAGCAGTGTTTCCCTATTCTACTATATATATTTAAGATCAATAAGATCTTTCAGTAAAAAGCAGGGGAAAAAATGAATATTGTCATGTGGGGCAACCTATGTTAAGTTGATGACCATAGAAACTCATATTTTCTGGGGCCAAACATGTCCAAGGCAAGTGTAAAGTCTGCTACTTAGAATTGTCAAATGCTGTAGAAATCTGTCCGACAAAGTCATAAAGGAGTGAAAACCAGCCTGGAGAATAACACTTTCCGTAATCATGAGCTGATGGTGACTAAGGTGCTACTAATATCAAACTAGGAGGCTAAAGAAGAATCTTACTATAACATATCTATTTCTTTTCTCAGTTAATACCCGAAGTGTCAGCTTAGTAGCTTAATAACGAATACCCAACGGAAGGATTTAGTTACAATGAAGAGAAGAACATAGGGATTAAATATGGAATTTTTTAATGAAGAGCTATCTTATTAGTTACTTTAAATTTCAAGGACTAAGTTAGAATTTATTCCATACTCGAATTAATAGCAGACATGGACTAATTCAGAACCCCACAATAGAAAGAATTAAAAGGAGAAAAAAGTTTCAACGCGTTATGTGAACATTTCAACATGGAATCCGTTTTATTGGCAGTCTTTCAGGGTGATTTGGAGTAAATTATAAATTAGTCTCTCTAATTTTGAGAAACGAATTAATTAGTTTCTTTTGTTTTAAAAATTAATTATAAAGTCTTTATATTTTTAAATTTTCTTATAACTTAAGGTTTTTGTTTTTTTAATTTATTTTAATTTTTGTTTTATTTAAAATAATAGTAAATTAATCATGATCAATATTTTTTATTAGACTAATTAATTAGTTTTAAAACAACAGAGATTATTTAAACCATCTTAAAAAACTAGAAGGACTAATTTATAATTTACTCAGGAAGCCGTTGCAGTCTGGCAGCCTTTTAAGTTTCATAGAAATCTTCTTTACCGTCTGTTCTGTATTGCCTGTACAACATATATATGCATATGCAAACTTTATCAAGCTCTAATTATTGAATTAACTATAGCTTAATCCTTGTAGTTTAAAAAAATTAATTAATTAATCCTTGTGGTTTGAAAAATACTATTCCTTCCCTATGTTCTTCAACAATTTATTTTGATTTTTACTTTTCTAAAAATAAAAAAGGAAGTTATTTTTTCACTAATATGAGAAATTTTGATAAAAAAAAAGAAAAAAAGAAAAGGTATTTGTAGAAGAAAAAACTTGTATATTAATCATGGTCAAAACCAGTCAAGAAATTGTTTAATTATTTTTTACACTACAGTTTCAGAATTTTTGCCTACTGGAGTTCTCAATGCACTTATTATAATAATTAAGCAATTTCTTAATTTTCTTAAATTGTCATAGATCAACCATCCAACAAGCTGTGACTCAGACAAACAATTTTAAAGATTTAGCTAGCAGTAGTTTTCTGCTATTATTAATATAAATGGAATCAATCAACGAAAACGTTAGTTTGATGTTTTCTCTATCAGCATTTATATATCTAGTTAATTGATTCTTTCTCTACTATTATAAGAGTAGATTATAAATTAGCCCCTCTTTTTTTCAAAAAGACTTAAATAATTCTTCTAGTTTCAAAAACTAATTAATTATTTTCCACGTTTTAAAATTTTAATTTAATTTTTTTTAATTTACTTTGATTTTTTGTTTCAAGAAATTAAAAAAAAAACACAAATAAGTAAAAAAAAAAAAAAAACAGAAAAATTTGATAAGAAAAGAAGACATTTTCTAGAAAAAAGTAATATTAACTTAATAGTGGTCAACAATCGTTAAAAAATTAATTAATTAGTTTTTAAAACAAGAGAGATTATTTAATTTGTTTTGTAAAATGTGAAGGACTAATTTATAATTTACTCTAATTATAGTAGTAAACCATTTTTTTTAATATACTTCTCTATTTGTTGTATTAGTAAACTGAACTTCAAGCCATTGTGTAAGAGAATTTTGTTTGGTAATATATATGGTACTTTAGGATAATATATAACAGCTTCTCAGCATATCATTATCTCATGATTGCTCAGTTGAAATTAGAAATATCTAGAGAAACCTATTTGCAATCTTCGCAAAAATAGAGTTCTTGATCAACAAAATTGATTTGATTCAATAAACTAAGTAGCTTTCTTGAATTGTGTCCTACTTGACTTGTATCAGTGCCAGAAAAAAACAAGTTAATTGGCAGCAAATGTTGATCGTTCTGATGCATGTTTTTTTTGGGTTAAATGAGTCTAACCAACCATAAACTTCAGCTTATTTAAAGTTAAGTCTCTCAACTTCAAAATTGATTTTGAAAATTTTTAGATTTTTAATTTTTTAAGATTCAGTTCATCGTTAATTTTTTTGTCAAGCGGAAAGCTGAGGAAAAAAAAAACCAAAATTAAAATCCCTTATATTCAAAATTGGTATGAAAGGAGGGGGAGAGATTTCTGAATATAGAGAAATTTAATTCCGGTTTTTTTTTTCTGAATTTTCATTAATGAATGGACTAGATCTCGAAAAATAGTCAAGGATTCTCAAAATTAATTTTAGATTTTACAAACTCAACTTTAAATGATTTAAAATTCAGAAATAATTAAATTCATTTAACAGTTTTCTTTTTTTAAAAAAAAAAAACCGCACAACACATGAATCATCAGCTAATTTTTAAGTAAAATCTTTATCCTATTCATAAAATTAAAAAAAAAAAAAAAAGGCAGAGAATTCTTAACTTCTTATAAAGAAACAACTTGATCAATCATAAATAAATAACATAATCCACATATTTAAGCAGAATGATCCAATGAACATTAACAAAAGAAGAGAGTAAAATAACCTTTCTTTAAATTGATTACTAAACAATTGTGAAAGAAAACATTGAGTAGTTAACCAATTCAAAAGCATTTTTTTTCATTTCTTAAGAAAGAAAATTCAAACAACAAAGTTTGTCCATTATTACTATTAGTGTTTAGCCTTATTTTATTTCTTTAACACACCAATTCTTCTCTCTCTCTCTCTCTCTCTCTCTCTCTCTCTCTCTCTCTCTCTCTCTCTCTCTCTCTCTCATATATATATATATATATATATATATATATATATATATATATATAATTTTTATTACAAGATGATCCTTGATCTAACATGGCTCTTCAGTTATTAGTAGGGATGGCAATGCGATCTATGTCCTGCTTTGTCCTTGAAAATTTTGCTTTATACTTACCCTGTGCCTCCAACAGGACAAAATTTGTCATACTATCCTTGCCTTAAACAGGGACGGGGATCTCCACAGGGTACTAGCAGGGCAAACGAAGCAAAAAAATTATCAATTTGAGAAATATTTTTCATTAGACTAATTAATTATTTTTAAAACAAGAGAGATTATTTAAACCATTTTGAAAAACTAGAAGGACTAATTTATAATTTACTCAGGAAGCCGTTGCAGTCTGCAGCCTTTTAAGTTTCATAGAAATCTTCTTTACCGTCTGTTCTGTATTTGCCTGTACAACATATATATGCATATGCCAAACTTTATCAAGCTCTAATTATTGAATTAACTATAGCTTAATCCTTATAGTTTAACAAAATTAATTAATTAATCCTTGTGGTTTAAAAAATACTATTCCATCCCTATGTTCTTGAACAATTTATTTTGATCTTTTACTTTTCTAAAAACAGAAAATTAAGCTATTTTTTTCACTAATATGAGAATTTTTTATCAGAAAATAAGGTATTTTTGGAAGAAAAAACTTGTATACTAATCATGGTCAAAACCAGTCAAGAAATTGTTTAATTATTTTTTACACTACAATTTCAGAATTTTTGCCTACTGGAGTTCTCAATGCACTTATTATAATAATTAAGCAATTTCTTAATTTTCTTAGATTGCCATAGGTCAACCATCCAAGAAGCTGTGACTCAGACACACAATCTTAAAGATTTAGCTAGCAGTAGTTTTCTGCTATTATTAATGTAAATGGAATCGTTCAACGAAAACATTAGTTTGATGTTCTCTCTATCAGCATTTATATATCTAGTTAATTGATTCTTTCTCTATTATTAATGTAAATGGAATCAATCAAGGACTAATATATAATTTACTCTTATAATAACTGAACTTCAAGCCATGCGTAAGAGATACTTTAGGATAATAACAGCTTCTCAGCGTATCATTATCTCGTCATTGCTCAGTTGAAATTAGAGAATTCTATTTGCAATCTTCGCAAATAGAGGTCTCGATCAAGAAAATTGATTTGATTCAATGAACGAAGTTGCTTTCTTGAATTGCGTATATCATACTTGACTAGTAGCAGTGCAAGAAAAAAACAAGTTGGCAGCAAATGTTGATGATCATTCTGATCCATCAAGTTTAACTCGATTAAAGTTGAGTCCATCCGTTAGTTTTTAAAATCTAGTTAATCTGTTAGTTTTTCATAAAATAATAATAATAATAATAATGGAAAACTCAGAAAAACAAAAAAATTAAAATTCCCTATATTCAAAATTGGTATGAAAGGAGGAGGGGGAGATTTCTGATCATGGAGGATTTTAATTCTAGGTTTCTTTTTCTTGAATTTTTTTATGAAAAACTAACGGATGGACTAGATTTTAAAAATTTTAAAATTCAGAATTTTTCAAAATCAATTTAAAAATTCAGGAATAGTTAGAACTATTTAGCCTTTTTTTTTTTTTTTTCAGTCCATAATTAGCTTTCCTCCACGAACATTAAATTTAGTATTGATTCCTTATCGTTGACAACAGATTAAGGCTTTAAGGATTGTCACGCGGCCTTTGATGATTTGAATGCCAGAATTTCAACAGCCATCATAATATTTTCACTTTACTGTGTTGCAAAGATCAAAATTCGTTTTTTATGGTTAATAAAGCATGTTTTGATGTCATGTTCTTTCTGGTCTGAGATGATATGCAGTTGTTGTCTCTATGGTCGTTTCACTTTTTACATCGTTTGTGGGTGCCATTTCTTGGCTGCTTAAGCTACAGATCTAGCTCTGCAGTGGTGTCTATGGTTGCATATTTATCATCTTTTTTTCTAAATGACCCAAATTTCTCTCAATTTTAATTCATTTGAAAATCAATTTTTTGAATTTCCAATTTCAGATTTAATTTTATTTGAACTTTAGTTATTTTAGATTTAGTTCATCCTATGGTTTGTTGTTATCGCTTTTTTTTTTTTTTTTGAAAAATTCAATTTTTAGTATTTCGAGTTGTCATTTTGCACGTACATGGAAAAAAAAACAATCTATTTTCTAAAAAATTTTCAAAAGTTTACAATATCAGAAAGTAGATTTTTTTTTTTTTTTATGTTATGAACATTAACAATATAGAAAATTGGGAAAATAGAATATAATCCCAATGATTTCAAAGATTTTGGAGAGCTCTATATGAATTTTGTGGAATGATTTCGTTATGAGGCTATTTATGTGACTGTTTTTTTTTTTTTTTCCAAAAACTATAAAATAGATTAAAACTTAAAAAAAAAAAAATATTACGTCTATGAAGGTCAAATCTAAAATTCAAAATTCAAAAAATGATTTTTAAATAGATTAAGGTTGGAGGAGTATGACTCATTTAGCTTTCATTTTTTATAAGATTTTTTTTTTTTTTCCTATCAGAAACAAAATGGCAAAACAGTTCTTCTGTGGGAATATATAAATCCTACCAACTGTAAATTGATCATTCATGCACTAAGTTGCAATATACTTTTAAGGGAAAACAAGAACAAGTGCTGCATGACTTCACTGACCATACAACTTTGACAGCAAGCAACAAACTTTTTTACCTTCATTATCTGTCAAACCCTTCTTTAGTCAATTTTGACTTAAGAATTAACCATTCTACAGTTCTTCCTGATCTCTCCACTAGAACCTGTCAGGGGAGATATATTCCCCATTTTGATCATTGAATTAGCGAAGTCGTCAAAGAAGAGATTTTGATTCGTGCTATAGCTTTGAACAAGATCTTTAGTTGTCGTGATGGCTTCATCACTTGAAAATAGTACTTGATCAGAAGTGAAAAGGCCCTTATTGTTTACCAAGTTCTGGAAATAGTGGTTGTCGAATAGATCAGCGGAGTTTCGATCAAGAACTGTGGTCTTGTTCCCATCATCAGTTAGTGGACATAGTTTCTGTAGATCAGATACCATACTTGATTCCATTGTACTGTCCGGAGAACCGGTTCCCGCGAAGTCGAACAATCTCTGGTTGAAGTTGGCACATTTTGCTAGTCCAATAGTGTGAGCACCTACATGAAATTACATCATATCCAATTATCAGAACACTGAAATTATGTATGTAATTTACAGTTGAAATACAAGTCTTTATGGCACATGGATCCAGTTCTCATAAACTTTATGCGGATGCTTTACCTGATAAGGCCACTACATCGGTGACATTAAGACCTACTGCATCGAACTTGCCAATGATTGTATTTACACCTTCAAATGGAGCAGGGAGTGAAAGATTTGCTCCAGCCTTGTTAGCAACTAGTCCATCTCTTCTCCCAAGCGGAACTTTCCATGATTTCCCCCACTCTGAAGAAATATTTTCATTCAAAATCTTCTATAAGTACCCCATTTTTCACTTGATAAACGGATTTGACTAACACTTAATATTTTTGGAGAAGAATGAGTGAGGATGTAAAGAGTAAACTCACTAAGAGGATAGAATCCCTGGCAGCTATGGCTAGTATGTCAGCACAAGAAACAACACCACTGCATTGACTTTCCACAGCACTTTTTATGGCATCTACAACTTCAAATCCCCTAGCCGAATTTATGTTAGGCAGGGCAGACTTCTCACCATCATTTCCATCCAGCAGAACAGATGCATCACAACCCTGTAAAGAAGAAGACATTTTCTTTTTTGTCAATGATGAGCTAATGATGCTTTAGAAAAGGTGATCACAAAAGATATCAGTAAAAAAAAGTTGAGTGGCTAAAAGGTACGAGCATGCGTGATTTTTTTAAAATTCTTTCTTATTAAACAAAGGACCAAAATTCGTTTAAGCTTGTCAAAAGAAGCATTAGAAAACGAGGTTTTGCATGCATATTTCAACTCATCCTTGAAATACTAGCCACCACTTGTGACACCATGGCTGTGGCCAGGGACTAGGCATAGCCAAGTTTGTAGCCACACCTAGCTCTCCAAAGGGAGATCCCAAGTTAAGATCTCCCTTGCCTGAAAAACTATCAAAAATCTAAAGCTGCTTGTATCATCTTTGGCAATTCAAAAACAGGTTTCATAATAGGAAGTAGGCAAGCTCGATAGAAACCTCTGATACCAATGGAATGGTTCTTAAACTCATCAACCTGATGTTTTAAAAGACACTAGGAAATCATATCGCGACCACAATCCTATAATAAGCAATTGCTAGGTGTTAACTTAGCACGGGGCATGTGAGCATGGTTCTGCTTAAACTCACATTGACAAAGCAATCATGGAAATGGAGCCGAACCAAAGAGGCTGCCATTCGCATTTCAGACTTGATAGCTTTCTGAACTTCTCTCCTAACAATTTGGAGAAGGTAAGGACATGTTCTCGAATAGAAATCTGTAGTTAGTTGGGACCTCACAACTACACATAACATCAACATCATCAGAAACAAAGAATAACCCTTATGGCAGCTTGACCTCATCATGGCTACTAGCTAGGATAGTTCACTCACAAGATGTGCCGAAAGAAAACTTATTCTAAAAACATTTAAGGATCGGAGAGACTTAAACATGGCAAAACACTTCAGTTCTATTTATATCCAATATCATGAACAAATTTAATCTCAACTTGTCTCCACTAATTTAGCACATGGTGCTAGCTAGTGTTAGTGCTGGTGATGTATGGTGGCTGGGGCCTAGTGTCTGTGCATGAAAAGCTGCTATGAGCATTGTTATTTGCATAACCTAACAGATTAGCATATTTAAAATTACCGAGAAACAATGTGAACGAAAGAAAGTGGGTGCATAGTTACCATATCCAATCTAATTTATGCTTTTATCTGCAGGTTCATGAATCAAAGTATACTTAAGAGCACTAGTGCATAAGAAAAGCTGGAGCATTAAGAAGATATCTAAGTTTGTCTGCACCTGACAAATTTATAATGCGAAATCGGACACGTTTTGATAATCTAATGGAATTAACTAAACATGATAGGATATGTTCTGCTATCCAATTAGAGATTTGATTAATGTCTAGTAGAGCTGACTTCTGATAGATTAAATAACTGTCAATTTCCCTGAAGATTACGTTTGTGGTAGCTTCACTTCAAATAAGGCTATAATTTATGAAGAATAATATGGAAGTGGACTGATATGACAGATCCACCTTACAACCTCTGACATTATCTAGCCACTAGAAACCATTAATTATAGTCTTTCTGGAATACCCTTTTTGGGCTTGGATCACAGCTAATGCTAGCTAGCCACATGACATGGTACATTGGTACATGACATATTCCTCATGATGCAAGAGATGTTTTGCATTATACCTTAAATCCACAAAGCCAGATTAACATTTGCATACCTTAAATCCAGAACCAGAAGACAACGATCAATATAAATCTCTCTAGGACAATCTACAGAACATCTTAGATAATATGTGCAACACAAAGAAGAGATGCCTCATCTCAAATTGAAGCAGAAGACCAAACTTATAGAATTAAAACCTTAAACCAACAGCCGAAACTCAAACCTTTATGTGCCTGTCGTCAAGGATAGCTCCAATGCTTACATTTCCATGTCTGCAATTCCCCCTTCATCTGTTTACAGCCTTCACTCAATCATTCACAACTGTTCTGGACATATAGATTAAAGACTATCCAACAAGATCAGTACAGAAAATTGCTCTTGTGATAGCCTAGATCAGTCCTCTTCATGTTTCTAGAACTGAGTTGAAGACTTCCCAATCCCTGGCTCCAACAAGCACATGAGTCAACAGAGACGATGAATCATTAGGCCTCAAAAACAAGCATGGGCCTCTAAACATTAGAAGGTTCCCATTTTTGTTGCTCACACTACAGATTTTATTATTAGGTCCCCTATATTTAATCAGTTCCTCAATTAGGTCCCTCTGTTAACTTCCGTCGACCATCCGTGAATTTTATCTGATTTAATTGGGATCTATTTGACTGACTCAATTTTATTCCCTTGCATCAGAATATTGAACGGACTCAATTGAGTAAACAATGAAAGATGGAGGAGTCCAAAAAAATACAACTTAAAAATCAGGACATGAAAAATCAGACTTGGCTAAATTTAAAAAAACCCATTTGAGTTTTAGCAAAAAAAAAAGTCCTTGGACTAAAAAAATATCTCAATTTTACCTCCTAAACAATATAATTTTTAAAATTTGTTCATTCGATCGGTTTCATTGAAAAATTGATGAAAAGTCCATAAAAGGCCTCCCAATTTCTATCTTTTTCTCTACCAGATTACGAAAACATGTTTACTAATTGAGGAAAAAGAAGAATTAAGAGGGATTTTAAGGTTTTTTCTGTGATTTCTAAATGAAAATCCTAATAAAAGGGAAAAATTCAAAAAAACCTGAATTGTTTAAGAGTCAAAATCAAGGATTTTTAAGTTCAGGGGTATTTTACAATTTAGCCTCTCATCTTTCCATCTTTCAAATTACCACAATTGAATCCCAATTTCCTCCGTGTCATACCTAGAGGCTTTCCTAACTGTCAAACATAAATTGGCGCTAAGGATAACAGACCACATGTGTCTGAATGAGAACAAACCACGTGTCAAAAATCCCATAAAGATAACAGCAACTACCTTAACCGAACCAGAACTGAGTATTCCTAAATTCTCGTTCCCATAAAATAAAACACTTAACAATTATGGCTCTAAAATTGCATGCCGCAATTAATTTAAGCTTGCAATTGAGCCCATCTCCCACATTATTTGCACCATCATTTTCTAAGCCTCAAAAACTCCTCAAATCATCAGTCAAAATTACCACTCATGTTTGTCAATCCTCACTAGTTGATGAACAACAACAACAAATTTCATTCAATGAGCAAGAAAATCAGCTGATAAATGCCCTTATTGGAATCCAAGGCAGAGGAAAATCAGCATCACCCCAGCAACTCAGTGTACTTTTTTTCCCCTCTTTTTGGTGGGATTTTGCGTTAATTAGTTTTAGAGATGATTGTGTAATGGGATTTTTTTGCAGGAGGTGGAACATGCAGTGAAAGTTCTTGAAGGTTTACAAGGAGTATCTGAACCTGTAAGGATAAATTTTTGGAATCTTGATTTGTGGGGTTTTCTTTTTCTTGTATATAATTCGAGTTTTTTATTAAACTGTTGAAGTTTGATATGTTGCTTTTTTTCGTTCCCCCCCCCCCCTCTCGTTTTTGGGTTTTTCTGTCTGTGCTTGTTTACTTTGGAATTGTTGTAGCATAATTAATGTCATAAAATTAGTTGGAATGATCTGTAATTAATTAGCCCAAAAATAATTTAAATCATAAAATGCAATGTGATTGTTACTTGCAAATTCTAATAATTCTGAATACCGGCAGACAGACTCAGATTTAATCGAAGGTCGGTGGCGATTAATGTTTACAACTAGACCTGGGACAGCATCTCCAATTCAGGTGAGATTGCAACTTGCTGCCATGCATTTTTATTCTGCTTTTCATGTAACTTTGTTCCTAGGTTGAAGATGAAGATCCCATGATAATAAATTGAGTAAAATATGGGAATTTGTCGTAATTTCCAAATGACAATGTTAGGATTGGATCTAGTTTTTTGGTGCTTTGGTGTTATTGGACAAAGATGGGTGTATAATATGGAACTTTAAATACTTCAAAAATGGCAAGTGGCTTTGCAAGGTTGATACCATTTTGAATAGCATGAGTTTCTCACGGTTGTTCTTCATCTGGATCGTGTGCTGATTCTAGCCTTGTGCTTTGCAATATGCTGCAGAGAACATTTGTTGGTGTTGATTTCTTTAGCGTATTTCAAGAGGTATACCTTCGGACAAATGATCCTCGTGTGTCCAACATTGTAAACTTCTCAGATGCTATAGGCGAGCTAAAAGTGGAGGTATGAATCCATTATCTTTGATAGTAAGTTTATGCTTGCTTGTCCACCGGGAAGTCCCATAAATGCCTAGCCACCTCGATTATGCGATGTGAGGGATGAGGCAGAACCCATCCAGTCATTTTACTCGAGCCATCTTTTCTTTTTTAGAAGCATGGCCTTAAAATTAGGGGCACTCGTAGGATACGGAACTAGTACAATTAGCATAGACGGAATGGCTTCTCCTTCATCCTTGAGAATTATCTAATAAGCACATACATCTTCAGAGCTATAAAAAAAATGCTTTGAACCGGCTTTTGCTTTTTGAAATGATGCATATAGGGAACTGTGAACCAAGTCTTGGCCCCAATTTCCATGCATCTAAAGTTCATGTTTCAAGATTTGTTTATGCTCTACTTTCTGTCACATTATGTGCATCTCTCTTTTTTCTCAGGCAGCAGCAACAATTGAAAATGGAAAAAGAATCCTTTTCCAATTTGACAGAGCAGCCTTTTCTTTCAAATTTTTACCATTTAAGGTTCCATATCCGGTTCCGTTTAAGCTTCTTGGTGATGAAGCAAAGGGTTGGCTGGACACCACATACTTGTCTCCATCTGGAAACCTTCGCATCTCGAGAGGCAATAAGGTATGCATGAACTTCATAATCTTGAGCATACTAGACTCAGTGCATAACTGCATATGCTGTTACCTTATTTATGCGGGTGGTGCTGTGTATTAAAGATATTGGTACGAAGTTTCCTTTTGGTTTCATTTGCTAAAGTCATCGAGCAATGTTTCTGTAGTGCAGGGCACCACATTTGTGCTGCAAAAGAAAACTGAACCTAGACAAAGATTGCTGTCAGCAATTTCCACAGGAACTGGAGTTCTAGAGGTAAAATTACAGTGCCTTTCTAAACTCTTTCAAAGGGGCATGCTTTGTTAGTTAATATAGCTCCACATTGCTTATTACAGAGCTATAACCTTTGCAGGCAATCAATGAGTTCATAAAGTCAAATGAGAACGTCGAAAAAGATGAAATGGAACTACTCGATGGAGAGTGGCAGATGATATGGAGTTCGCAGGTGTTGTGTGACAATTTTAGCATAGATTCTTATTTATTTATCCGACTCTTAATTAGTTCTTGAATGATAGGTATTAGTATGATTTTTGTATGTCTTACCTTACTGAAATCAAATTAGCAATTTGTGTGATGCAGATGGAGACAGATAGTTGGATAGAGAATGCTGGCAATGGTCTAATGGGCAAGCAGGTAAGCACATCAGATGCCATTATTTTGGTCATGTTAAATCTTCTTCTTTTGCTTACTTATCTTCTTTGCTAATCACATCCTAACTCCCTTACCTTCTGCTCTGACCATTTCAGATTGTCACAAAGAATGGACAATTAAAGTTTATCGTCGACATCTTGCTTGGACTCAGATTCTCCATGACAGGAACATTTGTGTAAGTATCTTAGCACTTGGTGGGAATTTACAGACAAGAATAGATAGATTATTGTTTGGCTAATTGGTTATAAAGTCCCTATTCTTTTTTTTTTCTGATTTAGGTCTCCAATCTTTTTTTTCTAGTCTACAATTAAGTCTTTTGGATCCACGTTAGAGACACGTATTATATGCTTGGAGTTTTCAGGATTTGTATCGTTATTTTAATAGCTCTACGTGTCTTTCATGTCACTTGAGATCTCTCAACGAGATGAAAGAATTTAATTACGGACTAAAAAAAGGTTGGAGACCTAAAAAAAAAAAAGATTAAGAACTTTTTTCTTTTTGACCAATAATTTAGGGTACATAATTAGCGTGTTAGCATGTATAGCTCATATGGCACCAACTATTGGCAGGAAATCAAGCCCCAACACATACGATGTTAAAATGGATGATGCAGCCATCATTGGTGGCATGTTTGGACTCCCAGTAGAGATGGAAACCAAGATTAACCTAGAGTTGCTGTAAGATTTCTGATTTTAGATACTATCAATTGCATAATCAAATCAAATTTTCTGCTGACCAGTAATAAGAATTATATATTTCATTGCAGATACAGTGATGATAAAATCAGAATTAGTCGAGGGTACAAAAACTGTGTGTTTGTGCATGTTCGAACTGATGGAACAAAGCAGAAATAAACCAATGGGTGGATCAACGAAAGAGAATTTGCATTCTGCCAAGCGATTGTTCTGTCTAAATTTGTGTGTGTGTGTGTGTGATACACAGAACAGTGGTTGTCATTTTATTTTCCTTCCCTTTTTTTTCGTTGGGCAGAAGATTGAACGAATTGTATATCTACCAATCAGCTAAATGGAGATAAAGTTATAGCGTACCCTGAACTAATGGTCAAGAAAAGTCCCTAATTTCTTTTTTTATTTTTTCAATTAAGTTTTTTTTATCCCTTCCATCAATCTCAAATTACATTACACATGGAGTGCTAAAATATCAACATATGTCTTGTACTTAGAGTTTTTATAACATGTATTATTATTTTAACAAATCTTTATCGTGCTTCTCATATAGTCTGAGATTGGTCGATAAGATTAAAAAATTTAATTGCAAAACCAAAAAACAGCTGAGGATCTAAATTGAAAAAATATATATAAAAATTTTGTTTTTAAATCAATGGTTAAAACTCCTTTATCATTGATCTTTCTTATTTGATTCGATAGTTTGGACAAGACTATCTTGAGAATGTATCTCTTACAATGACCAATTGCGATAATAAATTCTTGAAGATGTATCCTCAAAGTTTGAATGAACAGTCATGCACCCGAACCAACCAACCAAAAAAAAAAAAAAAAAGGACGTTGGGCCTATGTTGATGGTCCATATCAATTGGATGGGCTATGGCCCATTAAACTTGGCCTAGCTTCCCAGATCAAACCCACAGTTAAGCTTAACCATTTCGGTTTGCCTTTTTAGATCATTAAAGAAGAATAGAAAAGGCCATACTTGGGCCCAAGATAGCTTTGGGGTTAACCTTAATCTACCTTCGTATATAAAATCCCACTTAAACGAGAATAATTAGTCATGTAAAAATGATCAAGAGTCTAAAGAATTATTCTTCCTTTTTTCTTTTTCTTTTTTTCACGTTCTGAATATTCTTAAAAAAAAAAAAAAAAGAAGGCCACCGACTAACAAGTAACAGCATACAGCAGCCATTAAGATGTCAGGCTCAAAGAGGGAGGAGGGCCTAACGGAAAGAAATAGGCTGCGATAGGAAGGAATAAATCATGGGCTTCTATTCCATTTTGGAAAGAAGAAACATTCGTCTCTAGACTATAGAAAGAGTAAATTATAAATTAGTGTCTCTATTTTGTAAAAATAAATTAATTAATCCATTTTATTTTAAAAATTAAACTCTTTAATTCTTATTATAAGTATTACCCCTAATTAACTTAATGTTATTTTATTTTTAAAAATATATCCTTCGATAGTTTTTACGTTTTTATTTATTTTCAAAAAAAAAAAACCAAAATAAATTGACAAAAAAGATTAAATAATATTAGAAAATTTAAAAATATAGACTAAATAATTAGTTTTCGAAACAAAAAAAATTAGTTAACTCGTTTTTTTTAAAACCAAAAAGACTAATTTATACTCTCTATGTTCTAAATACATTCTTTTAATTTTTAACAATTAAGAAGGTTATTAATTATTATGTCATATTAACATATTTTGTTCATACTTTTTAAAAATATTTATTTTTAAAATTATATTTGGATAATAAATAAATTTTAATTAAGAGTATTTTAAAAAAATATATCACTTAAGAGTCTTGATTAGATAAGTATTTAGAGATAGATATAGATCGAAGAAAAAAGAAGTAATTTACTGAGAGAAGACCTAACGGATAGAAATAGGCCGCGATAGGAAGGAATAAATGATGGGCTTCTATTCCTTTTCGGAAAGAAGAAAAACTCGCGAGTAGACTAAAAAAGCAAAATACAAAAAGAAGGCAACTACGCAACGTGCGAGCTAAAGGCAAAACCCAAAACCACAAGGCATTGCATGCGTGACGGATGCATCGCCTTAGAACACCCAAAACCTTATCCTTTGTATCTTTGAAACGCGTGGCGGTCATGGTCCCCATCACCAAAGAAGACATCGAACCAGCCTCAATATCACTCATATATATATATATATATATATATATATATATATATATATCCAAATAAAACCAAAATAATAATAAGATAAGGTATAAGTGAACATTTAACAAGGTATATATATTATTTTTAATAAAATATTTTCGAACTAATTTTCATATTCTACACGAATTGTAAATCCAACTTTTGATTAATTCCCAACAAATTAAAATTGAATAAATAACAAATTAATCTTGATAATTGCAAAAACTTGAATTGATTAACTTCTTTTTTTAAAAAACTACTTATCTAATTTTATATTTTTAAATTTTTTTATATCTTCATCCTTTTCTTTCTTTCTTTTTTATTTTTCTTTTAAGAAATAAAAAAAGAAAATAAGTAAAAAATATGAAAACTTTTTGAAAAAAAATTGATAAAAAAGACAATTTTTTAAAAATAAAATAATATTAAATTAAACTAGAGCAATACTTATTAAAGAAAATAATAATAATTAATTTTTGAAATAAAGACAACGATTAATTAATTAATTCGGGTTTTTTTTTTAATAAAGGAACAATTTATAATTTACTCCACTAGGACTAGCAGATTGTATTTGAATCTCCCTTCTCAGTCCAACCTGAGATGTGAACCCCGGTGGCTAATAAGAGAACAAAACCGAGACCATCTGCCTATCTTTGCCAAAAAAATAAAGCGCATTTAAGGTTTAGACCCCTTTTTTTCTCGTGAGCTTTTTCCACCTTTGTCATATAATATTAAGCAACAACCAAGTCTCCACGTACCCTGTTTTAGGACCAAGACTCATGACTTGTTTGCCAGCCAAACAAAGGCAACGCTTTCTACACGGAGAGGCAAACTGATCATCAATTCAAGTAAAAGCCAACACATTAACCAAAACTTCTCATTCAGCTGTGAAGTTTGAAACAATCTTATGGACAACGTCAAAGAGAAAGGGAAAAGAAAAATAAAAACACATACTTGACCCATGAAAGAAGTAAAAGAAAAACTTAACAAGAAGACCCAACTACAGGTCCTTTTGTATCGAAAGGGCAAAACAAATCATGAAAGGTTGCTTCGTGGGTTGGCCACACATCTTGGAAGCTGGATTTTAAGGGTCAAGTGGTCAACCACACAGGAAACAAGGTTTGGTCTTTCCTTGATTTCAAAGATTAAGCAAAAAAAACCTATGATTCTACGCTATGAATGGTGCCCACAAAACCTCTAAATGGTAACTATCTATCACTCAATCCATGACTAGATTCAGAAACATAAGCTAGCATTAACATGAGCATGAATTCTGTCGAGATTCAACTAATGTCATTGCATCAATAATGAACCTGATACAGCAGACAAACAGTAGTTGGCATCTTCATGTCAGGTAAGAGAAGGCAGTAACCCAGATCAAGGCAGATGGAGAGAGACGAAAAGTGTTCATGCTCTTATAAACCTGACAAAAAAGGGATCCTCGGTGCCTGACACAGAAGGAAAGATTTTAAAAACAATTGAATGCCAGAATGAGCAGAAGAATTGATCTCAACAAAGGAAACTGATTTAATATAATACCTTATAAGTGATCGAAAGTAAGAACTAAGAACTACTTCTCATCGCACCATCCCATGTTCAGGTCAATAACAGCATTCACCGGACAAAGGCAGATGGCAAACTGGCCGATGCATAAGACTGTTCTCCCCTTCCCCATTCATTGGTGTCGTCCCCATTGACAGACCATAGAAAAGTTACGCAACTGAGAATGGACATGCAGTGGATTGGTAGCCAGTCCGTGTGGCCAGCAAAAAGTCAGAATCGACTCTCCGTACCTCCAAAGGAGCCCAAAAAAAAAACAAAGGTCTAGTCGAGCAAGAATATGTTAAAATTTCACAAGAAGGGTTATGCATTCTTTACATTCAAAACGAAACAAACTTAACCAGTCGAGAATAGAAACAAATTTCTATACTCATTCTCACATTTAGGTGAAAGATCCATGCAACGTCATTGTCCCATGTTGCACTTTAGCTCTCTCTGAACAATCCTGTCACAAAAATGCCAAGAGAGAGCGCTTTTTTGAGGTCATTTATTTTCTAACTTTAGCCACTGAATGTCACTCTACCCTCCTGGACTACAAAACACAATAAGCAATAACAGCTATTGGCATCACAGGTACAAGTTTGGTCATTCTCAAATTGGAAGGTGTTAAACAGAGTCTCAGATGGCAAAGTTTTATTAGAATCTCTAACCGCTGGTTTTCTAATTCTATTCAAATCTGGAATCAGAAGGAAATAAACCTAGCATCACTATTAATTCATGGAAATCACTCAATGATGTATAATATTTATGGCTAAATGTCATAACAACCTGGGATTTCAGAGGGTGAAGCACTTCAGGCTCACAAGTTTCATATCCCCTGAGAAAACCACCACAAATCCAGCCATAAAGAAACAACAATTAAAAAAAAAAAAAAAACCATCCACTAACCAAGTATAGAAACATAAACAAATGATAGCAATTACAAAGGTACATGTGCACAGATCAACAGCAGGCCTCCCTTCCCTGCAATCAAGAATTGAAATAATACTAGAAAAGTAGTAATAACAAATAGAGTACTCATAATTTGTACAAAACATTCAGAAAGGCATTCCATAGCAAAAGAAAAACATCGTAGAAATGTTTATGGCATTAGACAAAAGAAAAGCTAGTACATCCTGGTTAAAGATTTATGTTACACATTCCAAGTTACATCCAACTCAAAAGCCATAAAATGCAACATAAAGATGTATGCCTTTAACAGAACGAACTTCACACTAACCCCCCATCACCCTGAACCCTCACCCAAATACCACCCGCAGTAGAGACCTAAAAAGGATAACAAGATACAACCTACTTCCTACATTTCGTAATCTGATTAAGGGAAAATTGGGGAATCAAAACAAATTCTCCCTTATTTCCTCCTTCCAGACCAACAAAACATAAAAGGAAAAGGAAAATTAAACTTCATCTACAAAGATCACATTTATCTTAGGTGCAAAGACAAATGCAAGATATTCCATCTATTCAGAGAAGAGACTTACATTAACGCGGGACAAAAGATTAGTCACCACCGCCAATGCTCTTCTCTAAGCACACTTGTTCATCATTGCACTTATCCTTTTTTGAAACTATTTTGTCCTACACAATCCTGTTGTCGGTAAATATCAACCTTAGACAGGCTGCTGCTCCTCCTTTGCAACCAGCCTGTCTGCTAAAACTTCAGTTTCCCTTTCTTCATCCTTTGCTTCAACCTTCAATGTTTCCGCATCAGTAGCTACAAACCTGTCTTCTTTTTCTACGTCCTTAACTTCGCTTTCCTTAACCATCACTTCATCACTTGCTACAAATCCACCACCTGCCTTCTCATCCTTAACCTCATGTTTTACAATAACTTGGTCATCAGGTACATTCTCTTCCATACAAACATCTTTAGTCTGCTCCTTAACACGACCGCCAATATTCCTACTCAGTTCATTTCCACCAACATACTCCATCACCTCCTCATTGCCATCACCTCCAGTATTCCCACCAATATCCGATCCTCCATCACTCTCATTCTCAGAAACGTTCTCCACAACCTCCTCATTAACATCTTCCACAACCATAGCACTGCTACTTTGACCATGATGAGGCTGCTGCCTCTCCAAAAACTGCAGCCTCCTCCTCAAATCCCCCAACTCCCTCTCCATCAAAAACAACCTCTCTTTCAAAGTCAAATTCTCTTCTTCCAATTGGGCTATATGCGTGTCCTGATCATCAACCCTATTCTCCAAAACATTATTATGAATATACTCCCCACCACCTGCACTCGGGTAAATCATCTCAAACCTACTCAAATCATGATCCAGTCTCCTCTCCACTTCCACATGCTCCTCCACATCACTCTCACTCGACCCATTTCCCTCCTCGTCTTCCTCGTCCTCATTGGCTTCATTTCCCGGTGACCTCAACCTAATCAAACCCTTCATCGATCCATAACCATCAACACCCCACTCCTCCTTCGCCATATCACCTAACACCTCCCTTGAAGGTGAAAATATCGGAGTCGGCAACACTGCCGGAGTCACCGGACACGGCGAAACCAAAGAAGCAATCCCACCAGATTTTTTTGCCCGGATAATAAACGACGTAGTATTCCGCGGCGCATAAGGCGCAAACCGGTTATTAAATTTCTTCTTCGGATGATAATATTTCCGAGCTTTCATTCTGTTTTGGGTTTGCAATTCATTCAAACTCGGTGGCTTGTACCCTCCACCTCCGCCGCCAACACCACCGGATAAAGCAAGGTTATTATTGGGAATTTCCATTCTTTTGTTGCTGACATTTTTACCCTTCCAGTTGCTGTTGTTGCTGCTTCTTGGCTTTGAAGGAACAAAATTATTATTGAACTTCAAAGGATTTTGCTGCTGATTTTGAAACTGCTTGAAAGGTCTCTGATTCATCATCATCAACGCCTGTTGTTGATTCATGGCTTGACTGTGACTCAACATCTGTGACTGAATAGAAATCTGAGGCGTCTGAATCGGCAGTGGATGACTCATCAATTGCTGTGGCTGCTGATTCATGATCGACGGTGGTGGCTGATCTTTCATTATTCAACCAAACAAACCCTAATCAAGGCTTGATTTTGATTCACAAAAATCAAAATTACTAAATCAGATTAGCAATTAAAACCAGTTTACGTCGATTGAGAAGAAGAAACGAGAAATTGAAGATCTGATCCAAAAACCCTAAAAAGATTGAAGTTCTTTCGAATTTTTTTAATTTTTGATTTATTTTTCTGATTTTAAGAGATCTGGAGATTTCTTTGTGGTTAACTTTTCAAGGACCGTTTATTGCTAAAATGGTGGGGTATAAAGGGGCTACTTATATAGGAGATAACGGAGATTTATGGCGGTTAGATTTGAGGGTTTTCTTATGGACGGTGGAGATGAGAGAACGTGTCGGTTTAAAGGGGTTTTGATTTGACCGCTGGAAGGGGATAAATGGGGAAATTGCAAGTTAGCCCTAACTCCTTATTCATTTAGGTTTGGGGTGATGAAATATTGGATATTTGCTTTAGCGGATGCGAAGAAGTTGCAATTTGGTCCTTTTGTGTTTTTGAATTTGTATCATATTATTTTTTTTTAATTTGACAATAATTGAGTCTAATTTTTTAAAAAAAAAAATTAACTCGTTTGAGATAAATAATTGAATTTTTTTATGGATTTTTAACTCATTTTTTCATTTTGATCAGATTATGTAAATTGAGTCTAATTTAAAAAAAAAAATTAAAGACGAGCATACCTCCTTGAATGGTAGATATCATTTGAAAAACTCATTTGAGATAAATAATTGAATTTTTTTATGAATTTTTAACTCGTTTTTTTCATTTTGATAGTTAAGTGGTATTTAAACAACAAAAAAGAAAAAAAAAGTTTAGCGAGTGGTATAGAATTTTGTTTGTAAAGAAAATTAGATAGTATTTTTAATTTAGTTGTAACACATTAAAATAAAATCCGTCTTTTACATAATCATTATGATAGAAATAAATTATCCTTGAGGAATGAAATTATTTTTTTAATATATCGAGGGTAATTCTTTGTTTAGAAGGAGGGAATACAAAGAGGGGAAGAATGGAATAAATAAAAGAAAATGAGTGAAAAATAAGAAAAATAAAAATAAAAAATATATATATATAATGATGATGGTGATTTTAGTGGTGGTTTGGGTGGTAAGCAATAAGGAAAATGAGAGTAGTGGTGTTAGTTTGAGATGAAAAGAACACATACATGGTATACAAATCTTCAAAGGCATCATTTTTAAAGTTATCAATTTTCCATCTTATTTTACTTTTTTCTTGCTATTCAAGGTAACAAGCAGGAAGATCATGCCATGAATTTTTTAGGCTTTTCAATAAACTTGTGATCTACCTGCCAGTCATAAAGTCTAAACCCTATATTTTCTTTTCATACTCAATATTCTCAGTATATATTCTAACCAAAGATGATAATCACCTAACCTTAAACAAGAATCTAACCTAATCTTTCCAATAAGCAGCAAGATTTTTCTGATAACCACCTAACCTTGAATCCCAGTTGTGGTAGCACTTAAAAGATTTGGTTTTATGGTAAACCAAAAAGAAAAAGATTCTTGTATATAAATTAATTTTTCATGTTATTAACTAAATCTCGATTTATAAAAATTTACTTGGGCATAATAACATGTGAAAAAAGAAAAAAATTTACTACGAGCTTCTTTTTTTTTTTTTTTGAATTCTCAAGATATCTCAAGCTCAAACGGTCAAATTAATCTTTTGTTATTCGATCGAACGTATGAAACGAATACAATTATAAATTATTATGAGATTTAAATCTGTATAATAAAGTATCCATTTAACGTGATTTTGGGTTTAAAAGTTCGATCTTCAAATCTGTATAGTATAATAAAGTATTCATTTAACATGTTTTTGGGCACAAAAGTTTGAAGTGTGAAGTATGATCTCATTAATGAAAAAGACTCTTCGTGCTTTACTAGGTATAGAGATACGGGGAATCTAATGTACAACATTTGTAGCTACTGAGGAACCTTCTTAAAAACCATAAAAATGGGGAAAACATAAATACAAGAACACCAGCAACTTGAGAAAGAAGTCATTGATTCTCTTCTTTTTCTCACTTGTTGTCTACTTCTCTTCCATATAATACTTTATTCTATTCTATTTATTTATTTATTATTATTATTATTCATGCTTTTTTTTACAAGAGATCTCGTGATGATATAAACGATGTGTCAGCTATTAATATAAATAAACAACTATACATATTTTCATGTATAAATTGTTTTTTCTTAAAATTTCAGTTATGAAAAAATACTTTTTCATTTATTTATTTTTTTTTTTTTGTGTAACTTCCAATTTCGATCCTACCTATGGCTATTTAAAATCACAAAATATTAAAATATTAAAAGAGCAATTACTAGTATTTACTCATGAGCTTATTTTGAAGAAAATGACATACATAAAAAAGAGAGAGAGAGAATCACATTCTAACTAATGAAAAATGATAAAAATATTTCTGCTTAATTGTTTTTTAATAAAATTCTCTTTTATTTCTCTCTCTTCTCTCTCTCTTTATATTATAAAATAAATATTGAAAATTACCTATTGAGTATTAAAAAATTTGTCATAAAATTGAGATATGATTGAAGAATTTTAATCAGTTCTAACTCAATTTACGAGAGAGAATTATGACTGTTCAAGCTACAAGTGAGGGAAATGATTCTAGAGATAAAATATGATTGAAGGAGGACTGGAGCATACGATAATTAATTGGAGAAGTGGAGTTGATGGTACGTAGTGGCTACCAATCCCATCTGCTAAATTAGAATCTCCAAATGGTAGTAACTAATCAAAACCTCTCACCTTATTCTTGATTTGTCAATTTCACTCACGTGAACATCTTCAGTTCACAACACAAGAGTTTGCATGATAGGATAGAAGTAGAACGAAGGATGGAATCTTCCTCCGGTCCTTCCTTCAACAAGACAACAAAAAAGATAATAATAATAATAATAATAATAATAGACAGGAAATTTTATGCCTTCTTTATTAAATAAGGAGTGATAGATTTAGACTCGGTTTGGCAATTCAACAATTTTGGTCTTTATTTTTTCTTCGTTTTTTTTTTTTTCCATTCCAAAGGCCAATAAAAAAAATGTTTGGTAGAGTTCTAGAACTTGAAAGCTAAAAAAGCCAAAACAAAACAGAGAACATTTTAACAATACATAGGACTAACACTTTTGAAAGAGTAAATTATAAATTAGTCCTTTTATTTTCAAAAAATAAATAAATTAATCTATCTTATTTTAAAAACTAATTATTTAATCATTTTAGACCAAGTGTTAAGCATTAATTTAATATTACTTCTCTAATAAAATATTATCTTTTCTCATCAATTTTTTTTATATTTTCACTTATATTTCCTTTTTCTAGTTCTTAAAATAAACAATCAAAATAAAATAAAAAGGAATATATTACATGAAAATTAATAAAATGTAGAGACTAAATAGTAAGTTCTTAACAAAAGACACTAATTAATTTATTTCTCAAAACAAGAGGAACTAATTTATAATCTACTCTTTTAAAACTACAACACATGAGTTTGCATGATAAGATAGAAGTGGAACAAAGTATGGAATCTTCCTCCGGTCCTTCCTTCAACAAGACAACAAAAAAGATAATAATAATAATAATAATAATAATAATAATAATAATAAACAGGAAATTGTATGCCTTCTTTATTAAATAAGGAGGGATAGATTTAGACACGGTTTGGTAATTCAACAATTTTGACACGGTTTTTTTTCCCATTCCAAAAGCCAATAAAAAAAAATGTTCGGTAAAGTTCTAGAACTTGAAAGCCAAAAAAGCCAAAACAAAACTGAAAATATTTTAACAATATATATGACTAACTCTTTTGAAAGAGTAAATTATAAATTAGTCCTTTTATTTTGAAAAAATAAATTAATTAATTCATTTTGTTTTAAAAACTAATTATTTAATCACTAGACCAGTGTTAAACATTAATTTAATGTTACTTTTCTAATAAAATATTATCATTTCTCATCAATTTTTTTATATTTTCACTTATTTTTCCTTTTTCTAGTTCTTAAAATAAACAATCAAAATAAGTTAAAAAGAAATATATTACTTGAAAATTAATAAACTGTAGAGACTAAATAGTAAGTTCTTAACAAAAGATACTAATTAATCTATTTCTCAAGATAAGAGGGACTGATTTATAATTTACTCTTTTAATACTACAACTATATGAGCACAGGCAAGAGACCCAAGCGGACGGACCCTTTGTGAAGTGCAAATTGTGAATTGGGCTAAACATCCCCACTCTAATCGGGCTTCACTTACATACCAAATGAACTTGTAAATCATATCTAGGATCAAGTGTCCCTTCGATACTGCCTTCATGCTTGCAATCAGGATAAGGCCCAAGCCCACTAATTACCTGGCTGACTGTTTAAAAGAGCAAAGACCAATATGAAGAGTAAATTATAAATTAATCCCTCCAGTCTCAAGAAATTAGTTAATCATTCCAACTTATTTCAAAAACTAATATCTAATCTTTTAATCAGTATTAGCCTTGCTTAATTTAATATTATTTTATTAAAACAAAATTTCTTTCCTCATTAATCTTTCAATAATATCCATTTACTATTTATTTTATTCTTCTAATTTTTTTTTTTTGGAAAAAAAAACTACGAAAAAACATCAAATTGATAACAAAGACTATATAATTAATTTTTAAAACAGAGAAGATTAATAAATTTATTAGATTAAAATTTACTCCCAAAATGAACTTGAATGCAAAAAAAAAAAAAAAAAAAAAGGTGAACCATCCACAGCAATACAACACTTCTAAGATGGAAGTAACGGTAGATAGTATTTTTCACATTAGCCGCTGATGCACAAAATTTACGTGTCAAGTCAATTGAAAAGTTTAGCTGAATACGCATACATATTAACATAACCACCGACGCACGGTGCAATGTTATGTAACCACAGGATCTAATATACAGCAAAACAACAACGCTAGTCACCTAGCTAAAATAACCTTACTAGTCTGCTGCTATTGCAGAAATATAGTGAGAACAAACTAAAAAAAAAAAAACCTCTCATGTACAGTGTTACGTAGGCGAGTAGCGTGTCATATCCCAGTATTGGGGTTGTTACCGGCGAGAATGAGAGAGATTTCCAATCCTCGACTGAAGGCCTGGTTGAACATGAGCCGAGTTTGGAAGGTTGACACAAAAGGAAACCAAGAAAAGAGTGCAACTGGGATGAAGATAAGCATCCCCATTCCAGCATCATATAGACGGGCAATTGAACGGATGGATTTCCATAATCCCATCCGTTTCATCAAGGGTTTCCAAGCAGATGCAATCTGAAAAAACACAGAAAAAATGAAATTCTTCTTTTGCAAAGAAGAGAATTCTGTAAAGGTATACATGAACATTGTTCACAAACAACTAGGTTAAAAACGGACAACTTATCCATGTTTATTACATAAACATTGTTCACAAACAATTAGGTTAAAAACAGACTACTTATCCACGTTCTCACCTCCCTCTTCTCTCTCAAGTTACGATGTTTGATATGGCACTCAAAAGCCCTTTAAATTCTTTTACGTGATGGATAGCGTGGGAATGTTTTTCCAGCTATGAACAGTAGACATAACTCATCTTACTGCATGCAGGTTCCTTGTTCTAGCATGACAGCCTTGTTTTGATACACTCGTTCACTTTTAGCTGAGGCAGCTTCGTTTTATGTAACGGCTCCTTAAGGACATTCTTTTTCATTTTGTGCTCCCCTCTCTCTCTCTATAATTCTTACCCATGGCAATTCATGGGGAAAATAAAGTTGACCAAATAGCCTAAAGGTATTTGATGTGATAGTTTTCTTCCAAAAGGTTTCGATTATCACAAATATACACAAGATATAATCTGTTCTTGATGTCATGCTTGCATCAATCAAGATTACAGGACTAGAACAACGAGGTATGAGTTCAGAATTTCATGAATGAAGAGCATATGGATATTTTTCTACTTGTGCTTTAAGGTCTGAATATGAGTAAAGAAAAGAACTAAAAGAAGAAAGAAAAAAGTGATTCAGAAAACTCACAGATAAAATTCCCCATATAGTAGGAATAAAGGCTAAGATGCTCGCAAATATGTCAGAAACTGACAGGTCTGTAACCACAACTGCTACAACTAAACCAGCCAATGACAACAAGAAGGTGGCACCTTGTATGAAGCGCAACAAAAGCTGGAAATTGACGGAGATCTTCTGACTGAAAGTGAACACCTGTGAAATCAAAATGTAAAGATGAAATGAATTACAAACAGCATGATATTAAAGATTCATAATTTGTGGCTGTTCAGTAACACTGCTCACCTTGAAAAGAATTATAAGGACAGCTAGCACAATCCACGAGAAGCCATACACCTACAATACACCAAAACATGATGTCCCAAAAAATAAGCCAATGTATGTCAGACCAAGGAATTACATTCATTTTGGAGAAAAAAAAGTTAAGGGTACTGCATTAAGAGGCAAAATAGCCATTTCAGAAACCAAATACATGTCCCAAGAAAACTGGTTCAAGAGACTTTTTAAGAGATGTATTACCGATAATGATGTATCAGTTCCTTGAATATCAAGCTTGTATACAACACCATACTGGAAAATGAAGAATCTTAGACTCAAAATAGTCTCTATTATCCTCCCACTCAAAGTCCGAATATGTGCCTGTAAGAGATTTTTGGTCATCAACGGGAAACGAGGTGAAATGCAATAAAATTGAACATGTTAAATAAAAAAGTGAACCATATAAGACTTCATGGTCAAAGAACTTTTAAGTCACTTCAAGTAGTTTGGAAAAGATTCCCAAATTGTGCAAACATTAGCTGGGACATGTGTTCTTCACAATTGCTTTACTATTTTAACAAAAACTACATGGAGATAAAAAAGGGATCTGGATTAACAAGAAACGGCATTAAGAGCACTTTCATGAATTCTTTGAACAATTTACATCTAATAATTAGAGCATAAAACAATACTGCTCAGTGTAGTCGAAGTCTAGCCAAGTGCTCCCCTAGGTTAGGTGAAGGAGCCACCTTTAGCAGAGCATAAGCACCTTGCCTAATTTAACTACTACTTGCAATATATTTACACAAATTGCCCTCAAATTGGCAGTGTCAATCAATTAAGAAAGAATAGTTATAAAAATGTATTCCTAATCTTACATCAAAGGAGCTTTTTTCTCTTGTTCAGTTAGCTTTTGGTAAAAGCATCATTACTTTCACAGCCCTGATTTAAACAGGTATATTCATTTTATGCAATCTCAACCAAAAGCCAGAATCTTTCCCCTATAATTAGCATCAAAATTAGGCATTTTAGTAGCAGCTTTCCTTGTTTTTGCTAATTCTTCATCTAGTATTATATCCCAGTTTTCTCCTCTCAGAATTTTATAGGGATTAAGCTTCTCTTATTCCCCCTTCTCTCCATACTATGTATTCCAGAATTCTAATAATGGCAATGAATATCTAATAATGGCCAATGGAACCATTGAACCAAGGAGAGTCACTGTCTGATGCATGTATAGGAGTGGAGATTCCGCCATGCATTTATCGGAAAAGAAGGCATTGGAGTGGAAATTCCAACATGCATTTATTGACAAACATGGAAAAAAAAAAAAAAAAAAAAAAAAAAAAAAAAACATGTACAAGAACAAAAGCAATACCAGTTCTTCCTCCCACCAAGCTTCCCAGCTTTCTTGTCCCTTGACCCCAATTCCACCTCTGTAAAAAAGCCAATTTGTCCAATCCCTGAAGTCCTCCACTGTCCTAAAGTACAGCCATAAGTATTACTCAAACTAGCAAAAAAAAAAAAAAACCCTAAACAAACATAACAACCAGTGCTTACTTTTGCCACTCAAATCCAGATGGATTGAACAAATACGGAGCAAAAAGCCAAGATAGAGCCATAAACCAACTGCTGACTGTAAGAAGAATGTAAGCTAATGCACCACCTTCGTTATAGCCGTATGCAAGGTACACAACCAGCAAAAGTACAACTTCTAGTCTGAAGATAGAGAGGACAATCAAATGATTATTCCAGCTCAAGCATGAGCATGAGCATGCGCACACAAGAGAGAGAGAGAGAGATACCCTTTGACAAAATGACTGCGGGAGTAAAGCCTGTAGTTTTCAGAAAATCTAATATGGCGGACAACAAATCCTCTACCAGTGGCTTGATACTATAAAGAAAAGGAATATTATTGTGACACATTTCACAGCACTAAAATAAGTAATAAATAATCGACAAAGAAAAGGATTAAACATACCCTTGCACCGCCATGAAGAATGGTCCTACCAAAATAATGTGTCTTTGTGCCCAATGAAAATGTGAAGAAGACAGAGCAGAGCTGAAGCTGCATTGTGATGAAACTGACAACAGCCTGCAACAATAACAACTTTTTAGCCCAGCAACGAATAAAAAAAAGAAGTAAGCAGAAGTTCATGTCCTTCAAAACTGTGAACTGTGAGCACATGAAGTCAAGTAAGTTGAGCAACTAATTACAGTAATCTTAGATGACAGAATAGCATAAGCAGAACTTCAAAACCTTATTATTGTAAATTTTGTTCTTTCTTGTCATAATTCCAAGTTACTGGGTTCAGTTTCTTACACAATACTTGTGAAGGACTAACACTAACCTATGGAAAAATAATTTGTACAAACTTAGAATATAATATACCACATGCAGATGTTCAGCATATAAGATATCAAGGAGCTCTGAAAATTTTAAAATGTAAAGGCATAACATGTAAGGATGATATTGGTGAAAACAGGTGTAAATGAAACTAAAAAATAAAGAGAGGAACTTTCTTGGTCAGTTCATGTGATAGCATTCACAGCTTAAGAAACATACAGTAAGAATGATATTTACCCTCAAGAATCCCTGCTCCAAGATGAAACCCAAAACCATTGGCACAGCAGTAAAAACACCAATTTGAAAGAGAAATTGAGTATTCATAGCGGCACTCAGGGCCGTGTTGTCCATTACCCGTGCTCGAACTTGAATTTGTTCACCTACTCCAGATAGTGCCTAAAAAAAAAAATTATCAGTGTCAAGAAAATTAAATTGGGAACAATAACTAGCATATTTGCCAAACAGCACGTGCTGAGTTGAAACAAAACTGCAAACTATATTTATATAGTTCTATACAATAAGATGTATAGGTTATTCTACTTAGAAAACATATACGGATTATTTCTTAAAACATTTTATATCAGATATGCATGACTTAAAAAATCTATGGGATAGTATATGTTGAGAATTTTTTTTTTTTTTAATTTTATGGTGGCTTCAAACTGGTATGTAATTTCATATCATTTTTCTGACTTGAGACAGCAAAATATCCACACACTAAATATAAAAGTCAACCCAGAAGATGTGATCTGGAGGGCAAAGGATTTTAAGTGAACAAGTATACAAAGATGGAAATTTTTTTTCCAGTAATGGACAGATATCAATCTTACCAAATATGCCTTCCCATAAAGAAAAGCGTATACAGTCAGCACCGTCAACTGCAATCGAATTTCCAAAAGGAAACTTGTTAAGACAAAAAAAATATTCAGTGAGCATGTAAAAAATGCATAATGCATCTCCCGCTCTTTGCCCGTAATCTTTGAGCATAAGATGTAAACCCCAATATTGTACCAGATACGAAGTTTTCTAATTATTCTGTGAGTGACCCAGTATTCTTTCAAAATACTATCTAGAAATGCAACACAATATCCGCATGATGAATCAAATCATAGAGGCTAGCTGATAAGAAGTGAAGGGCATGCAAAAGGTGCACACTCAAAGGGTTGGAGGAAAAAGAAGCAAACTTTTAAAGTAGATATAACATTCTCCCTTAGTCAAATTGGGCAAAATTAGCATAGTCGTGATAGCTCTTTACATGTTGCATTTTCTTTTTGCTTGCATTGGGCAACTTAAGCCAACCAATGTGAAACTTCAATTCATTCAACAGAAAATAAATTGTGTCATGCTCATAACCACAGCTAGTAATCACATACCATTGTACAAAAGTAGTATCCCACAGTGGTAAAGTAGAATGACATCATTCGAAAGAAATCAAAAAGCTGTCCAAGCCTGTAGACATCCCTACTAAGAACTTGCTCACCATTACCACCAGCAACCTTCCCTTCAAATACAGCTATCTGATTGAGACCAACATCTCGTCCTTTGCCAACCTATAAATTTTGATTAAAGATTACAATTCTATACCCAAAAAACACCAAGTAAGAAATGAGAAACCATACCTGAATATACTCGTGATGGGTAATATTTCCTTGGCGTAGAGTTGAATTGAACCCTGCATGGGATGTCATAAAGCAAAATTCCATCAGTTAATATATATATATGAGAGAGAGAGAGAGCTAAGTGTACGGACAAAAGCAATTGAAAGAAACCACATTCTACTTCCTTCAAAGGATTTTAACTTTAAAATCAATCACTAAAACCTACAGTGCAGGAGAAAGCCCAGACATAAGGAACCAAGATAGAAAGATCTTTTATTAATGAGGTCATGATACTTCTTTCACTGAGGAAAAACTCCAACCACCCTTAAACTTTCTGATCACTTGGATAAAACAAGGAACCTCTCTTTTGAAGAATATAGGAGATAATAAAACCCATAAGGCACTAAATGCTATCAGTATTAAAACCTTCAGAAACAGAATATGCAAACCAGTTTTTTATCTCAGGTGCCGTATGTCCTTAGCAAATATATAAAAGAACTGGAAACAAAAACGAACAAATCCATCAATAGCCAAGGAAAGCAGTCATGCCTGCATATATATCTTCACTGATATTGATAACACGAGAGGCCTTGCTAATACCACCCCGTGTTATGTGGAAAACTCTGTCAAAAACATCTGGATGTCCATAATGCATTCGAACCCTGCAAGTTATATTCAAGTCATCTGTATCTGAAAACCCATCATGATAGTAAGCTACCAATTTACTTGCTATAAAACCATGGGCTTACTTTAAAGGATTAGCCAGAACACGCTGACCAAGAGTTACAAAGCTAGTTTCCTGATTTGACATAAATAAGGCTAAAGAAGAGACACTGCAATCACCAGAAGTAACTTAGCAAAATAATAGCATGATTGCTCAAATGAGAGAAATACATGTTTCAACAGAAACATACCTTCCCGTAAATACATGTTCCCTAACACCAAGAATGGTTGGAAGACGAATACCATGATCTTGATGGAATTCTTCCAGCAGATTTCTCATCTTCAAGGCCTCCTCAAAATAATTATCCTGGAGTTAAGATGTAAAGAGACATTACAACCAGCATTACACAGCAAAGAAAATTACAAATACCAATTCTACATATCATAACAACAGCAACCGAGTGTGCAAACCAAGAAGACAAAATGACAAGCAAAGTAACTCTATTCTATTTGACGAATTAAAAAATCAGTCAACTTTCCAATGAAAAGTCATGAAGCTCAAAATGTTGTAGTAGGAATTGCTGAACAGAAACGGAAAAAAGTAATTGGGTGAATAATTAGCAGGCCAGATGGTAACAAGCCCAGCTTGTCAGAATATCAAATTGGTAAACACTAATGCATTCAAGGAGATATAAAAGTTCAAAAAAAGAGAGAAACAATACAAGGCGAATATACAGCATTTAAATGTCTTTAGTGAATATTCGACAAGATTGGACAACTTTTTTATTTTTATTTTTTTATACTTCTGTCTTCTCATTATGGAGGATGCCTTATTCTCCACTTCATATCTTCTATTCTATTTTCTTTTTCTAGTAAAATTGATGTAGGCAGGATAATTGCAAAGGCAGGAAGAGAAGAATTCCCTGTTGAAGAATTGTCAAGAATTTCAAAATAAACCCTGTGGAAGACTGTTCAAATAAGTAGAACAATACTCAATTCAGAAATTCAATTCATCATCAGCATTCTTTGCCTTCCACAAGGATAAAGTGTTTATATAGACACGAAGAAACCCTAGTATCCTAAACTGAATAGTCAATAGACATCCTAATAAAATATTTAACAACAACAAAATCCTAGAAATCTACCTAAATCATAATAAAATTCTAAACGTACCACATTACAAACATACAAGTAAACTTTCTTGTTCCAATATTGCATAAAAAATCTTCATTTTCCAAAAAAAAAAAAAAAAAACAATTATCAGTTTTGGGAGCAAAAAAAGTTCCAAAATATTTTTGAGGTGTTCTACATCTCAAAGAATCGTTTCCTCTTGTATTTGATGTTGTGGCATATGATAGCTTTCTTCACTTGTCTTTGGTGCTTCTAAAACCTCTCGTCTTGGGTTGAAGCAAAAAAAGACCGGAAATGGAAGGCCCTTTTTCATATTGTTTTTCCAGTAATTGTAATTTTGTAAAGGAGGAAACCTTATTCTCCTTTTTTAACTCACTTCTCGTTGTTCCAATAAGGTTATTGACTATAAAAGTTCAAAAGAAAAACAAAAAACAACAAAAATGTGACCAGTTTGGATAAAATTGACAGATTAGTTTTGCTTGTCAGAACAAAATTGTGACTTACCTGATTCATATCAATTGTCTGAATTGCATTTCCACGAGTAAATATAATTGCATGGTTTTGATTCTCAGGTTTTCCTTCTCCAAGTTTTGGATTCCCAGGCAATTTTACAGAGTAGATTTCCTTCAAAGAAAAAAAAAAGCAGGACAAATTCACAAATTAATAAGCTACAAGTGGAATAAAGAATTGGTCTTGCTCTAAATAGAAATTGTCTGATTGCATTACTGAAGTGGAATAAAATTCTACTGTTGTGCTCTTTTCATCCATTATAATCTACTCAAGTGGAACTATTTTGATCCACCAAATTGGATTAGTTCCACGCAAATACATCTCAAAACTGCACATCCCATAAAATGCTAGTGTATTAGCATGGAATGGAAACAATTCCACCCATATATTATCTACAAATTAGCGTGCACTTCTAGTACATAAGCATTACCACAAACTCACCAACCAATAGATTAGAATACTAGTTTTCAGAGCACACAGTGATTTTATTTTTAAAAAAATACACCCTTCTCAACAAAAAATACAACAAATTCAAACTGGGTTAAAACACAAACCAGATAAAAGCATTTGCACCAATATTATAAAATAACTGTTCATTCAACATACTTTAACTAAAGCTAATGGCTAGCATCAACATTAGAAGACTGCAAAAAATATGCAAACCTTATCTTTTCCATTGATATCAGCTTTCACAAGCTTTGAATAGAATTCTTTCTGCACTTTACCCTCCTTCAAAGATTCAACCTCATCGATGAAAGCAACACGAAGTGCTTCATTTCTACAACACAAGTAAATAACTAGATATTATGTTTCCATAATATAGCTAAGCATTCAAGCAGGAAAATATTTCTACAAAGAAATGCTCAAATCTCTAATTCAGGCGAACAAAAAAATAACATGCTTTGAAAACAAGAAAGCCAAGGAGAGTGTGAAGGGGCAGAACGCAAATCTGGCAATAGAAAACATACTTCAAACATAAGAACATATATTTGACATGGTAAAAGTCACCTTTGCATGAGCAACGCAATATCAGCAGCCTCAGGTTTTTGGTCCTCTTTCTGCTTTCCATATATTTGACAAGTAACCACATAAGTAAACTTTAAACCAGCTAGCGCTCGTGCTTCCGGAGACAACTCGAAGCCTTTAGTATCATTTGAATCATTATATGAAACTGCAGCTTCCACATCTGACATTGGCATGCGTGATCAGATCACTGACTGTATCAGGGATATAAGGAAAGAAAGATATAAATTAACCAACCTCCAGAGGCCACCCTTTCCAAATAAGACTGAAGCATTAGAGCTTTCCTATAGTACATCATCCCACGGACTGGAAATATCAAAACAGTGAGTTAGCAGAATACCCCATAATTTACGAGACATTCATGCATTTGTACAACTAATAAAAATAAAAGAGACCAAGAAGATTCCGGATGATGATACCAAATCAGCAAACCTCACTCACTCAACCATAATCCAATACAATTAGAATATTTCAGAGAACTAGACTTAAAGAAACTTTCAAACCCAAATGGGCATGTTATAAAACCTAGAAAAGCGTAATATATACCAACAGATGCAAGTTTCATGGTAGATGTGCAAGTGTGGCATGCGAGTGGCTATAGACCCTACTGAAATCTAATCTGAGCATGTGAGTTCACTTGATTTGGAAAAAGGACACACAACTGGATGTGTGGGTGTCATTGAAAAAATGAAATAGGAAAGAATTATCGATAACTCAATATGTATTTACATGCATTTGAAAGACAGTTTATACGTTTGTCCCAGATATACAGTTTCCTAAAAAACAGTTCATGTTTTGTCTAAGAAGAAACTATTCAAAAGGCAAGCAACTTGTGAGGAAAACAAGAAAACAGAGAAGAAAAACTACAAGCACAGTGTAGAAAGCAGTCTGGAATGTCAAGCCCAAAAGGGGAATGCACACCTTACAGCAACCAAGCAACAATACTAGAATACAGGAAAGTAACAATACTAGAATACAGGAAATGTCATATGATTTCCCAAATACATGAGAGAATGGAATAGCAGCGTGAAATCATATATCCACTGAAATAAATGCACTTGGAATAGGACAGGAAAGATATACAAATTTAGACCATGACCGGATTCTGTATAACAAAGCGGATTACATTGTTCTATTATAAAAACTTCACCCAAATAGACCAATAGTATATGGAACCAAGAAACTCAAGTGACAAAAAAGAAAGAATCATTTACCAGTTCTGGCTAATGTTTGTCCCCTGTAAGAGGCCCAAAACCGAAGTTCAAGGATGTCATTAGGGCTATCAAAGAGCTCTGTGTCTGGTGCGTTCTCATCCCGACCAATTCGACCAAGAAAGTTCTTCCACTCATCTGTGATAAAATGTGAACAGTTTTGAGGCTACCAGTAAGTGGGAGAAAATAAATTTCATTTCACAAAGCAATTTTTTTCAGAGCACCCATAAGTAGTCAACTAGCCAACCAGAATGCGATAAGCCAAAATTCAAGTATTACACCACTCCATCTATACCCCACATTACAGTCCATTTTTTCTCTGCGGGTAATCTATCAAAAAGTCAGGAGGTCTTCATTATTGGATTCCCAATTCTATACCATCTAGAATGCAAATTAGTACTTGGATAAACATACAATAAAAATCAAGGGCAGGTAAAACTTTTACTAATAATCAACAACTGACAATGTAAAACTTTTAAATTCAGAGACTATGAAACTGGAAGAGTATCAAAATTTATCCATGAGAATCACTAAAACTAACCCAAGAAATTCTTCTATCCATAACTAAATCCCATGTGCCTATTTTATCTTTTCTTCTTTCCCTACTCAGACTATCCACACAATTTTTCAGTTCCCCAAACTATAAATTAAATCATTCACTGAAAGAGAACATTAAAAAATCAACATATTGAAGTTGAAATATCATAAGATACTAGACACTACGCCTTGAAAACAACTTTCTTCCCCATTTTGTGTTCCCTCAAACTAACTATCCATGATATGCCACATCCAGATCAATTATGGGATCACATATTCCACTCTAACAGATATTTGGTCTATGGAAAGTGAAGTGTTCCAAACTGGGAAAAAAATTTCCAAGAACATTTTAAGTTTGCAAAGAAGTAAATTTTCCACAAGCATAAAGCAAATCCCAAAAGCAATCACAAATTGGAATTAGAAGAAAAGGAAAACCAAATAACATCGTATCTAGGTCTGAAAGGCCAACACCAAAGCAGAAGAGAGCTTGACATAACACAAAACTAAAAACACAAGCAGAAAGCTTAGACTCCTAAAGTGTGTATGTCCTGCCCATTAACTACTCCGAAATCAGGATCGTGATTTACTAAAAGATAAAGAATGCAAGGAGTACATGGATGAAAAAAAAAAACAAAAAAAAAAAACATAATAAAACTGGACCACATTTGGAATTATGGCTATCACATAAAATACTCAATAACCAACCAGAAAAATTTCTCCAGCCTTTTCCTTCAAAGTAAACTAAAGGTTGCAAGCAGTTACAATGCAAAGACAAAGAAACTCAAACAAAAAATGCAGTGTCAAAATATAAAAAGTTAGTTTAATTAGCACAAGGAGTACCTGGATATATTTTCTGGAGGTAAAACAAAGTTGATATTCCATCCTCATTTTTCTTTTGAAGTTCATTCAAACTATAAAGAACAGTCTCAGAATAATATGGAGTGAACACACTGCACAAAGATACAGACATCATGAGAAAACTAGATACATTGAGTATGCACTGATACCTACGATTAATGCACTGAAAAAGTATAACCTGAAGGACAGCATCTCACGAACTGGCCTTGGTACAGGCAGATCCATGAAAAGGGAATTTGTAAAGAATTCTAGCCTCCTCCTGGCTTCAATATTTTTGGGGATAGTTGCAGCAGAATCTTTGATTGTTAAAAGCGAATACAATCTCTTGATTTGTGTTCTCTGCATATCCTCCAAAGTTAAACAATTTCTTATCGGACAACATAACTTGTCATTATTAAGAGAAGAAACAAGATAAATCTTCTCTAACATACCAACTCTGGATCTCTTGGCCACTTCAAGTTTGTAAACAAACGACCTTCAGCTCTTGCTTTTGACAGAAAATTCCATGTCTCATAGTGCTCCCTGGAATATGAACCCAAATGGCATATTTGAGGGAAGTGTAATGTGTCAAATGTGCAAGTGAACAAGAAATTTTAACAGACCTCATGTCGATAGAAAGGACATCATGCCGCACCACATCATACAGATCTTGAACAGCCTTAACAGCACCTTTTTCCAGGTCTGGTTTTTCAGCTTTCTGTGGAAGAATTTCATAGACAGTGCAGAAGCATTCAATAGAAGTTTATTGCTTCAGGGATAAATATAGAACGAAAGAATCCTTATCAAGGAAATTAGCCAATGTAAACCAAATCCTTGCGCTATTAATCATCTTTCATACTGAATGGTATAATTGGGGAACAGCTGATCAAGATAACTGGAGATATTCAAAATTATTCATTGCGTAAAAATGAAGGTTATTGAAAACAGGTGTTGCTGGAAGACATCAAAACACACAAACAAGGACCCGTCTAACCTATGTGTTGGGGAAAAGAAGAAAATATAGAAATGCCAGCAGAAATTGTGTCACAAATAAAAGTCTCATATGGAACATCTATTTATCAACCAGTGGGGTCAAGAACCATCTCTTTCTCACCAAATCATTTAACAAAGGAACACACGAGCAAAGCTCCCGATTAGAAACAAACCAACCGTGTGAATATTGATATCCTAGGTTCTGTGTATACCAAAATATCAGTTGTCAGGATTGAACACAGATGGCAAAAGAAGGGGTTTTGTATAGGTAACTTCTAGGTCTGAACATTTGATAGCCTATAAGGGTCAAGAGTCTCAGTAAACGATTGTATAGCTACGACGATGACATTGCCTTTGTGTACTCTATTTTTTTCCATTTATGTACTCTATTGACTATTTTCAAACTCCTTGCCTCTTATCTTTGTCCATGTTGGCACTCCTTGGATATGTCTTATGTACTTGAGCATGTCTTAATTGTTCAATGAATTCTATTATCAGCAAAACAGACGTTTCTATGGGTAAACATGAATTTATACTAAGTTTAAACATGTTACTCAAAGCAGAAATTAAACCTACCAGAATTCCCAGTAGTCCAATAACTCGTGTAATTACAAGTGAAAGCTTATTTAGCCGAAAATCAACATGAATAGTCCTCTTTGCAATACTGTCTTCGATATCTGCATATATCCTTTCTACCCTAAGGTAGAGAAGATATTAACACCACAAAGCATTCATACATATGTACAATGGCTCAGATAAAAAAAAAAAAAAATATGGACATACTACATTGTTTCAGAACATTAGTGTTCTCATCTCAAAACTTACCACATCCTTCCTTCGCCCTCCAAAATTTCTGTCAAGATATATCTAAGGGCATGGTAGCCCTCCTCAACTGCATACTTCATATAGTCATCTCTTGAAATCCGTTCCCGCAGCTCATCTTGTGAATAACTCCCATCCACCATATCTTTAGCCAAAAAAATCTACAAAAAATATAAACAAATAAATGGGACAAAAAATGAGTTCACATTACTCAAGAATCTCTGGAAATTGAAAAACCAAATAATCATCAAAAGAAATAGAGATGAGACAAGAAATATAAGGCTGGAGGCCCCAGGATGACCTTGCTGCCAAGAAGAAAAAGGGGCCACTGAATCAAGGGAAGATTCCCAGAATTTTTAGGCATCAGAAGCAACTCCATTTCTCTGCAATGGGATAGAAAATAGATGATAATCATCAGAACAATTTCTAGGAATAGAGCAGGTCCGCAGAGCTTGTACAAGAGGCACGAAAAAATCCCACTATGACTTAGAAAAACAGTAAAAGATACACGGAAAAAGAGAGTAAATTACAACAGAATATAAGTCTCAAACTATAGTCCTTAAAAGCTTTCCTTAACTCCACTAACAAGGATCTTTCCATTCCTTAAAACAACTTGAGCTATTTATCAATGTTTCTTCTATATTAAAGGCCCTACTATTTAATATTAATATTAACCATCCTATTCCAACATGGTTACAGGGTCCCTTGACAAAAATATCAAATCAAATAAAAGATTCACCAACTTTAAAGGTTTGGATATCTTTTTTAAATTCAATGGCATTATTTTCAAAAACAAAGTTAATCAAATTTAACCACAAAGCTTGAAAGACTAGGTGATTCAAAGTTTAGTCTGATAATTGTACGGCAAACCCCAAGTTGCACGATGCAAACTTCTTTCTCTAGGTAAGTGAAAAATTATTAAATTGTTGTTCAAGAGGGAATTGGCAAACATGTATTTCATTTAAGGATGCATGATAACAAGTGGCTCAGGATTACTGAACAAGAAGAAAACACAATTATTGTTATCAAGCATTGAAGTACAGTGTGAAGCATGCAATATCAACAAAAAGAGAAGATATGGAATAATTGCAATAAATCGATGATATTCCAGTACTCACAAATTGGTGACATAATCTTCTTCCCTTAAATTGTGTATGATCTCATTCCAAAAGGGCGCGAAACTAGCAGCATCAATTTTTCTCTTCTCCACAACAGTCTGTTACACACCAAAATGGACAGAATGAGTTATTTAAGAATCCTAGCTCACTCTTTATCCACAAAACCAAATGATACAGACAAATTACATGAACAAAAAAAAAAAGCAATGGAGGTTATTTATCTAGAAAATGACCAAAAACATTATTAGGAAACTAAATTGTCAAATGACTCACCTGACTTGAAGAGCTGCGTGAACTTCTGCAAAGAAGAGATTGCTTTCAGATGACAGGCATAATGAAAAAGAAGAGGAAAACAACTGAAAATAATTGAGATCACGATATCTTGCTAATGGGTGGGAAAGAAAATCAACAAAATCATGCCTGTTGGAGAGTGGGATATGAACACTATTCATAAAAGCTCCAGGAAAGTCCTCAAAAAGTTTGTGAACAGCTTCCAAAGATCTAATCTGGATTTATTAAATCATAGTGAATCTATAAGAAATATGGCTGAGGCAAATGAGAAATGTAAACAAAGAAAACCAAAGAAATGCAAAGGCAAATGAGAAATGTAAACAGAATATAAAGGCTGCAATGAGAAATGAAAGGTGAAAGGAAATATAAAATTTTAGCCAAATAAAATGAAATAAAACCAAGGATCTAGCTTCAAGGTTAACGACAAACAAAGAAGCAGATATACAGAAAAGTCACTTACTTCCCCAAGGCGGTCTCTTGCTCCAAGCAAAAATCCATAAATAGCAGATATAATTGTGTAGAACACATGGATATCCAAAAGATAGATCTGAAACAGAAACCAACGGACATGTTAAATAAAATATAGCCTATGATTTAGCTAAGCAAATAACGGATATCAAGCACTTTTCAAGTTAGCTACTTGCATTCACCAAACTCTAGTTTATATAGAAAATTTGCTTTGAAAAGCACTCATGGGGTAGGTAAATTTGCTTTCAAAAGCACTCATAAGGTAGGTTTTCCTTTTTTCAAAAACCAAACCTATTTCTTTATAATTTTTGGACACATATATTTTATTTAAAAACTATAAAACATAGCAATAGTGGTGGTACTGATAATGAAAATGAAGGTAATCGGGTGGTGAAATAATGCTGATCGCGATAGTGTTGGGGTAGCATCAAAGGTGCTGCAGTGTTGACATAGTAGCGATCAAGTTTGATGCATGGTCTCTGGAATAAGACAAACAGACCACCTCTTTGAGGGATTCAACCACCACTACTGAGCTGAATTCGGCCCTTTAAAGTATTTCACGTTCTTCTTCCCCTTCTTTAGAAAATTCCATCCATTGGTTGTCCTGTAAGTTTTAGAATTTTGCATAACCTCTTATGGTGTGTCGCAGCAGAGGGATTAGAGGAATCTTTAAACTATAATATGCAATTGAGTTTTATTTTCTTCATGGAGGATGCTTTTTCTCTCCTTGTAATCTTGCTCTAATTTTATCAAACAAAAGTTTCCAGTTCAGTCATGGTACGAATGATCATAAGAAAGACTTCAATAATTTTCATGGGTGTTTGTCCACATCCAATCTATTTGAGATGCTGCATCCTCCCACCCACTCTTATAAAAGGCAAGCTTTGAAACCATTTAGCCAATATGGCTGAAGCAGATTGGAAACACGTTGGAGAATATTATTGCCTTATATATGTATCCTTTTAAGCTACACAAACTATCAGTAACTCAAACATAGCAAAAAAAAAAAAAAAAAAACTCCAACCATCAGATTGTGAAGATTAATCCAGCAGAAAAATTACAAGAGCGCAGGTGTGAGAACATGTATGAATGAAATACAACTTACAGCAATCACTGGAGCCCATAAGCTAACAACTGTCAAGGCATTATGATTATCTGCAATGACAGAGAATTCACCATGAGTTATGCATTCATAAGCTAATAAACAGAATGTTGCCACATCGAACAAAACCACAGGCTGCAATGGGATTGAAATGCTGAGAAAAATCTAGCAAAATTTTGAAATCTTAAAATTCCAAGGAGAGTACAAAAACCTACAGTGAATTGACCAAAGCAATGACATTTTAGCAAAAATCTGCAAACCCATGACACAGCAGTAATGAAACATTTAAACAGAATATTGTGATTAAAAAAATATGCTGCCGAATGCCACCAGGTTAATAGGAAAATGATTTTAAACAAAAGTTGGAAAAGAAACCATAAAGTTTCAAAATATCCTCCAAAAAATATGGCTTCTCAAACCATTGAACACGCAGTCAAATAATGGCTTCCTATAAATAAAAAAATAACAAAAAAGAATACAGTTATAGTCACAAAAACTACATCACATATATTAGAGAGCAAAATACTAGTGCAACTATATAACATAATGGGAAAAAAAAATAAACAGAAATTTTACAACATGGTTACGGTTTAAAATTTTGTCAAATGACCTTACTTTTAGATACAAGATCATGCCAAGAATATTGCAGGCTATCAGTCATATCCACAATAGCCCTAGTCGGTTTCACCAAGGGCTGGATCTGCAAAAAAGGTTAAAGTATAATTTAGGAACTTGAATAAAAAATAAGGCTGGTGATATATAAATCTCACTGACCTGAAGGAAATAGGCAAATGAGAACTTTCCACCCAAAACAACCAGCCAAAAGAGCATGTACCTGCACTTGTTAAACATTCAAAATTCATTTCATCTTCTTTAAATTTAGAAAAGATTTAGACAAAAAAATGGAAAATGAATTACGTTCATTGGATTTGAAAATTATTCTTTGGTAAATCAATTGCAAATTGCTTTCAACTTTTAGAATGCCTAATATACACTATACATCTTCTATGTGAAAATGTTCAATTTTCATAAGGTTTTCTTGACTGTTCTTCAAAAGGCCCACAATGCATGTATATTGGACCTATTGGGCAATTATAGATCTAAGGAGCCAATTCTAATTGGTCAAGACACAAAGGTAACCCAAAATGAATCCATTAACATGAAACAGAGCAGTTGCAGTACAAAAAATGACAGAAGACATCATGACCGTGCAATTATTTGAACGAGGAGATAAAATTGGACAAAAAGTGAAGCCATGTTAAAAGGTCATTAAAGTGGATGGTCTGTCCAGTATTTGTTTTTCTCCTGCTTTTGGGCAAGAGGGAAGCTACTCTTGAAAAGATGAAGCCATAAAATTATAGACAAACTATAATACCTGTATTATCGTTCTACAACAGCAGCGAAAAGAGAGAGAACAAACATAACAGAAGCAAATAGGCAATGCAAGAATTAAAATATTTTGTAGAGAAAAGGTTAAAGAAATAGAGATCTGGACATTACTTAATGAAGTCACTAGTCCTTTCATACATGCCACGCCCAACATAATAGCGCTCCTTCAAAAAAAAAAAAAAAAAACACAAAGGATCAACATTGACAAATACACCTAAAATATTAACAAGAAAAATTACCCAAGGATATAAGAAAGTAACCATTTCAAACATGGACCAAAAAATATATTCCAGCACATAAAAGGAAAATCAAGCATAAAGAAGAAATAAGTTGGCCAAAAGAAAAGGTAAAAGAAGAACCTGGCGCATCCACTTTATGAAGCGAATAAAGGGCCAGTGATCACACTGATTAGTCATATGGTGGCAAGCTGGTATACGCATGAAGAAACTAAGAAAAAACTGGACACCACCATAGATGCCTACAACAATCACGTACAACCTGAACAAAACTGAACTTGAATTTTGTTTACTCTCTTCCTGGAGAGCTTTCCTGTATTTGAAGAAAACAATTAGAATAAATGGTAGCTTGTTATTCACATATAACAAGCATGCAGAAAATGATATCAAGGATAAATGATGGTTATGAGAACATACAAGTAAAGGAAGCACATAAAGACAGAAGCGCAAGAAAACCACACAAAACGAAGAAAAATTCGAGTCACAGCAAGACGTCTTGATGTAGAATAAGCCCCGTACATCATTATAACATCTAATACACCTATATCAAAAAATAAGAACATCAAAAATCAAATTACTAGTGAACTTGCATATAAAAAATTGTTAGATTACTTAGCTGTAATGATTCACAGCTGTAAGTAATTAAGAATCAGTCAACATAACAAAGAGAATCATTTTACACATCAGAGAACCGTACTTTCAATAAACTTCATCACAAAAAAGGTGGGACCAAGACTTAGAATTTCCCGCAGTGTCTTGGAGTTAAAGTTTCCATCATTAAAAGCAATGACAGCGAGTCCCTGGCAACAGAAAAGAAAACGCTTGCAATCTATGAGAATGCTACATTCTAATCAAGCTAACAAGTTGTTAATAAAAGTAAAAGCTTGATCCATGCATAGGTAAAAAAAAAAAAAAAAGACAATGAGGGAGAGGGGAGTTGCAGGTGTAGAACATTTGCGATAAACAGAAAATTATATCTAAAAGGTAAAGGAAAAGGAGCTTTGAAGTGCATGGCGAGAAAATAAACAAAATGAGCAGGAATGGAGAAGCTTTTCAAATTCACAGCAAGAGAACGATAGTAGTTCCTATAAGAATTTCAGTTGGACAAGCTAACCTGAAACATCATAACAAGAAATATCCACAGACGGTGGAAACTATGGTAAAGATGAAGAAATGTTCGGTGCTCAACAAACGAAGTTTTCCCTCTGCGCTGACTTCCAGCAGTTTTAAGCAGATACTGTAAGAAAGAAAGACAAACATTATAGTGATTCACAGCGTAACACACACCACAAGCAATCTACAAACCTAAAGTCTTAATCATACATTGTGATACAAGTAGCAAACCTATGTGGGACGTCAGCAACAAATGACAACTTAAAAGAATATAGGTTGGCCATCATAGGAAGGAAAAGCCATACTTTCACAACCCCTCATCCAACCAAAGGTGGAAATGGGTTACAAGGATTAAGCGGAGAGATGAGGGTGTAGCATGGAAAATTGCCATGTTGAGATCATAAAGGTGGACATAAGTTGAAGCCAGACGGGATTAAACCATAGATTATAATGAGGAACAGACTGTTTCACAAGCACTCATCCAGAAATCATCCTCACAGGGGATATAAGTTTTGGACTAAACAGAGCAAAGAAGGTATTTCTGGGAAACTTGTCATGTTGAAGTCATATATATTAACTCTATACATGAACAAGACGGCATATTTACTTCATCAAATGACAGCAACTCCATTTCAAAAAAATCGACAGTGCCAGAATCAATTATGCACAGGGTATGCTACTTCTTATCTGCACCGTACAATTGCATAACATCACTGTCTTCAGAAACTATTAAAAGTGTTCCCAAAAGGAACAGAATACATGAAAGGCATGCAAAAAAAAAAAAATGATTCCAGCAAAAAACATATATACAGGCAGTTAAGAATGTTGCAAACCTTTGTCCTTGGTTTTGGTTTCTGGAAAAAGGATGAATTCTTGCGCCATGGCCAGCTGAGTTCAAAGCAATGAAGTGACCTGGAAATGACAATACGATGATGAGGAGAAAAACAATGGCCAGCAATCAAACACAATAGTTTTAGGTTCTGTTTCAACTTTTGCAAATTGGTTTAAGTTGTTTTTTTAAAAAAAAAAGTTGACTCAAAGAAAGTGATAAATATCTTTGGTTAGAAATAACTTTTGACATAAATCAAATGTTGTTACAAAATTGAGTCCACAGTTTGCTTTAATCAAAAGTTAAAAATTAACTTTTAACTGATTGATTATATAATGTATCCTCTCTCTTGTTTTCTAAAGAAAGCTGATTTGAGTAATTTTTGGCTAAACATACTTCTAACTTAATTCATTTTTTTCATAAATTGTTTATAAAAAAATATATTTTGAATTATGACTCAAAGTCAAAAGTTAATTTTCATAAGTCAGTCCAAATGGACTATTGCTCTGTTTAAAACCAAGTCAGAGGCGGATCATTTTCTCACCACAAACTGAATCGAAATGAATCTTACAATTCAATTTGGTTGATTTGAATAACAATTCAGTTTAGTTAAATACAACAGAACTCGCTGTAATCTCTATGAATACTTCATAAATTTCACAGCTGCACAATTTAACTATTCCACAGATGAATAACAAGCAAGACTAAATTGTTGTGATTTGTGAATTGGTTCTTTTATGTTAACTCGCCAAGATTTAAGTTTTAAACGATTAAAAGCTATTTTACTTTGTTGCAAGTGCATAAATTGGGAAAATGCATCTGAATTTTTCGTGCAATTCATTCAATAAAACTCCAAAGTAAGCAGGAGAAGACTGACATATCAAAGGAGTCTTACCAAAAATACTCATTAAAATCATCGTAATTTCTCCAAGCAGAGTGAGGTGCTCGTCCATTGTCATTGTTTCCCGCTTCCTATGTGTAGTTGCAGGAAAGTCAAATATTAAGCAAACCACAATACATAGGACCGCAGAGAAGAAACTGGCACGGTTTATGACAAGATAACATCCAAAGAAAAGATGCATGTATAGAAATCACTGTAAGTAAAAAGCAACAATGACCGGCCAAAATCACGATGACATCACAACAGAATAAGTTGAGCCCAAAGCAACAAACTTAGCACCAATGCATGCCACAAAAAGATAGAGATGATGTTATGAGTACTCTATTGGTGAAAAATTGAAACCAAATTTTCAAGTATTATTCATGCACAACAAAACTCCTCCGGCAGTAGGCTTCGGTGCCAGTTCTCTCTGGAAAGACAAACACAAGCAGTATGACAACTCAAAAGACCGTTTTCCAAAAAATAGTCCTCCACAATGACCTTTTTTCTTGCCATTCATTCCTCCATCTGTTAATAAAAGAAGAAAAACGTGTGCTCCAAAACTCCTTGGAAGTGCAAAATGAAACATTTACCTGACTTTAGTTCGACCTTTCTAGACTTATCAAACCATGCACTCACTTAACTCACTGAACTCATTTTTATTTTCTTATTTTTTTTTACAGCAATGCAATCAATCCATAAATTCCTTAGACATGAGCTAAAAATAGAGGTATCTCACATAGTCTCGCCCATCCAGACTTTCCAATTCATGCATTCACTTAACACATTTCCCTATTCCTATTTTTCTAATGCAAGTATTCATGTCACATTAACTATGTTAGATCAAGAAACTTGGTGTTGATTTAAAGCATCAAAACAGAACACAAAAAATAGTAAAAATAAACACCACAATGAAGAAGTTGACAGCATGAGCCAAGGGGACAAGAGCAACATCCAGAAAGAAGGATAGTAGCTGGATCGTGATTGTTCCTTGTCAAATAAATGCAAAGGAAAAGAGTTTAAAAGAAAAAAAAAAAAGGTACACTCACCGCGGCAACAACCTCATACAGAGGAGTGATAACTTGATCAAGGAATGATACACGATTCTCATCCTTAATATTACAGCTATTTGCTGGCTGAGCAATTTGCTGCCTCAAAATCTCATCCATTTCCCTTACCATCTAAATATCAAGTTTAAAATTTACAAAATAGGGTCAGTAGAAAAATTGTGGCAGCAGATTTTGTCATAGTTTTTCATTTTTATCAGTTAGAGCACTTCAAAACCAACCATTTGAATCCATTAACAAACACTTAAGAAACAGATAAAATGAAACTAACCAAAAATAACAAAACACATCTCAATTTGAAGGAATTCAGAAGCATTAGAGGTTCAGGCCAAACATCAGATAAAGAAAAGTTAAAAAAAAATAATCCAGTAAAAAAAAAAAAAAGAAAACCCAATTGCAGAAATAAACAAGTAATAATGGGTCCAAAACAAACCATTACCAATCTTAATAATAATATCCCCCATAGAAAATAAATAGATCAAAACCGATCACTTAAATCTATTCCCAGGGTCACTCACATGATGAAATATGTAGCAAAGGCATTCTGGAAGAAATCTGACATTAGCAGCTTCACCCCATATTAGGAAGTACAGGGAAAGGAAGAGTAACTTCTTTTCCTTGCTTACAGCCTCCAAACTGCACAAAAGATTTATTATGCCATAATTTTCAAGCATCATCATTCGTGAAATAAAAATTCACTAGTCACCATGGATAAGAGAATGAAAGCAGTTAAAATTTCGTACTTGCTCCACACTGGTTGAATGCACAAGTAGCTGCACCATTTAATGTAATTATCGAGTGACTTGATGAATACCTTCTGCACAGCAGCCTCATCCAATTTCTGAAAAAACCAGGAGCGAATGGCAAATATTGATTTGATGACATCATATGGAAAAAAAAGTTCTAAGAAGACAAACTTGTTCAAAACCTTAACATAATCTGAAATCAAGTCCTGCGTTTCACATTAGCATAAACTGTTGGAATAATGTTCCTGTTCTGCAGGTACTTGGTCTAAAAAAATCAGTATCCACATTGAAGCATGGGAAAAAATGATATATTTCCCAAGATAAAGGCCAAACCTAATGAAGCACTCAAAAGATCGTCAAACAATCTTCCTCGTTTACATATTCTCTTCAATTTATCAATAAATCACAACAAACAAAATACAAGCATGAGTGTTGTGTAAAAGTGCTTTTTAAAATGGTTTGAACAACAGTCATCAATGTATTTGTTCCTAATCAAGTACCCCAACCCTTCTAGTCAGATTATTTAGAGTCGGTACAAGGGAACAAATACCTTTATTTTGTTGGAAGAATCGTTATTGTTTCTTATGGTCAAATTATTGGAAAGTGGAAAGTGGGAATTAGCAACAAGAAAACAAAAATTTATGTGATTCATGCTAATAGAAGCCCGCAAACGCAAGTATAATGGCAATCACAGTTCAAAATTATGCTTTTTAAAATTCAGCATTTCCTTATCTTCATCATTTCTTTTTTTTTTCCCCCGATTAAGAACATTTCTCTTCTTCAGTAACTACTTATCTGACAAAGTTCCACAGTTCATTTAACAGAAAAACAGATGGGTTAACAAAAGGCATAGGGATTAAGCATAACTTGCAAAGAAGCTGGACAATGAGTCCAAGTTAAATTAATTAACAAATTGAAAACCAAAACACAGAACAGCGTGTGTGACTGCAAATGTAAACAGAAAAACAGCATTAATTCAAAATAATCTCACAGAACATAAAATCTTTGAACTAAAAATGCAAACTACAAATTCTTGCCTAAGAAGCAATTTAATCAGCAGGGAGTAAAAATAAACAAGGATTGCATCCTAAAACCCAGATATTACCCTGGGATAGCATCCTAAAATCCCAAAGCGAAAATTAACTCATGAAACAAAAACATGTGAGACATACCGGTTCAGTTGTATCAGGGATGCCAAGTCGAGATTGTTCATTTGCAAGGAGGTGAACTACATGTTCCCGTTGGTTTGAAACATTGTCTTTCTGGCAATCATAAAGTTGACAGATTAGATGCAAGCAACTAATTATTCCAAATGATTACTTCTTTTTAAAAAAATAATAATAATACTTTGGATAAAGTGGTTGCAAAAATAATGTGGAGAAACAAGAATTTGAATTAAAAAAACCCCATGTACCTTGTATAGTTTTCACCTATTCTGAAAATTTGAGAGACTGGCCAAAGCACCAAATTTTCAGCATCATAGTCCTAGACCCTACTTCCCCTTATGAATCAATTAACTTTGCTTCTTTCTTTGTGAAAATAGGATGGGAAGATAGGCATTTATGTCATGCACTGTATTTTGATATCCTTGTTGCTAAAATAGGATGGGATAATGGCATTTATATAATTTGCAGTGTATTTTGAATCTACTGAAAATTAATTATGGTAGGATCAAATAAAAGAACAAACCTTTTTACTCTTTCATGAATAAGATTCAAGTATTAAAACTCCCGTGTTGAATTTGAATCCAAACGAGATTATTACCCAATTAAAATGTAGTATCCAGGTATGAAGCACAAAAATATCAACATATAATAGGGCTCCAATCACATCAATTACAATATGAAGAAATAACTAACTTCCAGTTATCACAAAAATCTAAAAGACATCCAAATAAAATTTATGCTTCTGAGAATTACACAAGGATTTTAAGAGCTGCAATTCATCTCCTCCAAGTTTGGCATTTCATTTGTGGATTTCTATTTTTATATGCATAAATCAGGAACAAACAATTAAAAAAAAATGGAAGTGCACAAGTGAAATAGACTTGTGAAGCAGATAATCACAGGATTACAAACCTGAAATCCAAAAATATAGTGCAGAAAATCAAGCATATCAGGACTCCTTGTAGCAGGAATAGGAAAATCCACAGGTAATTGTGGCAGGCCCTGAAAATACTTCAGAGCTGTTGCTGCTGCTCGTACCTGCATGCATATGATGTTGGGTGAAAAATTGTGCAATTAAAAGATTATGAGCATAGGATGGGAATAAAAACAAAACTAGCTGACCTCAGGGAAAGCCACAATAGCATTTGTCATAGTTTGACCATCCAGTGGAATAATGTTATAGGCAATAAGGTCCTCAGTCATGGCAGCATCTGATTCAATCATTCGCTTAAGCTGCACAAAATACAACATCCATATTAATTGACACTAGAAACAAATAAGTATTACCAATGACCTTTACAAACGCATACATTAATGGTAGCATTCATTGCAATCAATAACAAAAAGGATAGCGGAAAAGTTGGTACCATTAAAAACATCACATCGTGAATAAATAAAAGAGCGAATAAGAAAATCAAAATTATATTCTCATGCTGCAGAAGTCCATCCCATATCCTCAATTAGTGTCACACTATGTATACAACCATCATAAAAGCAGAGCATGTCACAGATGATCCCACAAGGGATGCATCATGTGGATTTCTAAGATATCAGAGAAGCACCAAGCTCTACCAATAACCTAACAAAGGCACAATGGTAGAACAAGAGCAGTAATCAAGCACATGTTATACAGAATGTTGAACGAGCACCGGAAAAATAAAATAAAATCAAGCTGAGAGGAACAAAAAAAACAAAACAAAACAAAACAAAAAGCCGCATATGCATGTAATTATAACAAGAGGAAAGAAAGAAGAAAAAAGAAATACTGTGGCATCAAGTACAGATCTGAGATTTATCCTTATACAGTCCACTAGAGAAGTCACTGCAAATTAATGTATGGGGTTCCATAAAGAAAATTATGTTCGAAAAACTATAGATCAAACCTCCTCAGGAATTTCACTTGTTAGTTGCTCAAGTACAGATCCTAAAACTTTCAGAGTTGCAAAAACTCTCTTCCTCTTTACTGTCTTCCGCTCCAACCTGGATCGACAAATCAAATCCATGGCGAAACAAAAAGAAATCGCATCATAGTTTCAAACTAGGCAACAAAGCACATAAGTATGTATGTAGCTACAGCTAAAATTATAGGACTGCCAGAAACCTTAGAACCAAGAAAATGAAGTAATTAATTATGACAGAAATTGATTGGTAAAAACACTGTTACCACCTGAGATAAACTCAATTTATGGTTGCAACAATTAAAGTTGTGAAAAATGGAAAAGAAAAAGAGATAATAAACAGAGGGAAAGAGGTGGAAACGAGATAGAGAACAAAAGACAAATAAAAGGATAGCCAAACTATAATGGATGACACGTAAGGAGTTCCACTGTTTAAAGGCAAAATTCAAGTCAAACATACACGCCAAGGTTTCCACTGAAAGCACCAGACTCCCTCAGCTGCATTTCTTCTTCTCGTAGCTTGTCTACGTCATTTTTCTCTCTATACAGCTTGTAGAACTCTTGCAGCCGAGCAATATCCTGGCTTCTATCTATGGTTCCACCCTCCCTCTTTGCTAGCTTTTGCTGAAATTTTCTCAAAGCGACAAAAAGGCACACGATATTAACAGACATATATAAAATGACAATACAGCTATAATAATTACCTTTAGCTATTGAATATCATCAAACATGTTATCATACCAGCTGGATGTACAAATATTATTGTTATAGAAATTGAAAAGAGAAGACATTTTTAAGAAATTCTCAGCACATCTAAAAACAGTTTTCATCATTTATCTGGTAAATCAATTTTCTAATACTACCGTATTTTCCTGAAACTTTTTCTAGAATACTGAAGACCTTGTACACGTAAACATGACCTAAAGTTTTCATATACAAGAGCTATACCTTGATGACAGACATCAAACCAGTTTTGAATTGTAGAACACCTCTTCCTTCACTATTAGGATCCAGATTTTGTGCAAGGGAATAAGCATGCTCGCATACTGCAAGTGAAAAAATAAAAAATAAAAAAACATACAGTAGCTTCAAGAGCACAAAACAGAACTTAAGTCATTCAGGCAAAACATAAAAACTCCTCCTTATCATGTTTATGAGGGTTGAACATTTGCCTTAACTACTTACCTCGAAGCTTAATATTTCCACAGTTTAAGGTTTGGCTATATTGCCAAGGTAATTCAGTCTTGAATTGGAAATCCAAAATAATCCATAATCATGGGACTGATAACGAATTGATTTGAAATCCTAGTTTCTAAGTTTGGTTAGGAACTTTTAAATTTATTTCTTTGACTTATAGTTCAGACTTTACATCATATTCAGCTAAATTGTCTATGCTTTGAAGTTTCTTGAATCCAATTTTCTTTTCTTTTCTTTTTTTTCCCTCTTTTTGCGTTGAGTTTTCCTTCAATGTAAACAAGTCATAATGACTTAAACTACCATGAATTACACTCTCGCTAAGCAATCTACATAAAGACCCTAGGTTAGACCATGAAAAAATGCAAGATAGGAATGAAATAACCAAATGAAAATAAAATACATACAAATTCTAGACACGTTTGGATCTTCATCTTGAATCTCATCCGCTGCTCTCAAAATTGCATCTATATCCCTATTATTTGTAAGCGAAGACGGAACATATCCAGCAATACCACCAACCGGCCGACCAAATGCATCAGTCCCAATTCTCTCCCTCCTTAATGCAGCCCTTACTAACCGCTCCCATAAGTTCTCTACTCGAGACATTTTCTGCTGAACGTAAATCATCAGTAAACGCGATCAAGAGAAACAAAAAACAATAACCTTGTACTTAGGATCCTAAATAACAAGTACATATAGATTGATTGATATAAAGGGCGTCATGAAAATGCATCAGATACAAAGAAAAGCATAACAAAACTTACAGAAAAAATTGTTTGTCCTTTAAACCCAACAGGTCATTACTGAAGTATAGCAGCCTAGCTGGCAATCAACGGTTAAAGACCGAAGCAAATGCAGCTCACAGCTGAAGGAAAGCAGAGAAACAATTAAAAGTGACAAACAAACTAGTTGCTCAAAGAAGATAATAATTATCAAAACTGCTGCAATAACAAGGCAACCACCGATCAACCTTTTTACATTACCATTTTTCTTATCAGTAATCAAAACTTCCTAACTAAAATTTGTGTGTATCGAATAGTACAACCAAAGGCATTACGCAGATTAATTTTGTAAAAGTTATTACTTACTTGGCTAGTCCTTGTCGTAGAAGCTCAAATTTTCACAAAACATGAAACCGCGCCTTTAATTTTGCAAACACTTGAGAGCAACATAAACCCTAAAATCGACTTTTATCAAAAAAAATAAATAAATAATAATAATAACCTAAAAAAGTGAACATTACAGTAGCAAGATAACATCAAACAGAAACAATTAAGCTAGCCAAAAAGTACTTTCTATTTGAGAATTTATGTGAAAATTAGCTTCAATTAAAAGAAAAAATACTCAAAAGTTAGTTAAAATTGTACATGTACTAATACATAAATAGAAAAATAGACAATAATTGCTAAAACGAGCTGCAAATTAATTTTAAAAGAGAGAGAGAGAGAGAGAGAGATAAAAGTTTCCAAAAATAAACAAACCTGGTTAAGGCATTCAAAAAGGAAAAAAAATAACTCAAAATCTTTCTAATTATTTTTCTGTTAACAAAAAAGAAAAAAACGTACTAGATCTCAAATTATCGTTACTAATTTCCTCTCCATTTTCTTCAACTTCTCGGCAACCAAACAGGACAAAAATTAGAAAAGAAAAGAGAACGGTTACCTGAATCAAGACACGGAAATGTTAGAGAGAAGTAGAGACCGAGTTGACAAGGCGAGTTGAATTGGTCTCTTCTTCTTCTTCGAATCGTAGCAAAAGATTAGAGAAAACTCAAAAGGATAGTTGGCTTTTAAGAGCGACGTGGTTTTTGCAGTTCTCTTTTCAAAAGATTACGAGAGATCGTTTACGAAGAAAAAAGGAGGAAAAAAAGAAAGAAATGAGCTTGAAGGGAATCTATCAAAGGGTGGCTTTGTAATCAGAAAGTGATATTTACCGGTTATAGCCGGTTAAATACGGGTAATTATTTGATTAGGATCCGATATTTATCGGTTATGGCCAGCTGACACGGGATTAGTTGTTTTTGAATAATTAACGCGGAGAAGAAAAGCATAGCAAAAGGCCTATTGGGCCTTGTCCACGTGAGACCTTTTCTTATTAATCATGTCTAATTTATTTTATAATAAAAATTTTACTAATTTTGGATAGAAGTGAGATAGTTTAAAAAAAAAAAATTAATGACTCCATAAGAAAATTATGTATGCTAAAAAAAGAAATTAATAATGAATTTGAAAAAAATAAAGTAATGGCCAATGGGAGCAAGACAAATCAGAAATACAAAGGTTTGGAATCGATAGTGAATCTTTAAATAAATAATGTTTCGATTTGTTTTTTGTTTTATCTGGTTTGGTTTTGAAAAAATCGATTCCAACGGAATCAAATTTATGAAAAAATAAATCATGTGAACTGAAATATTTCGTTTTGATTATTCAATTTTTCAAATTATTTAATTTTAATTTTTTATTATTTTTAAAAAAATCATTCTGCTTGACCATTTGATTTTCAAATCGAATAAACCAAATTACAAAATTATGATAGTTTGATTCGATATTTTGTCTTGATTTGGTTTTGCTCACCCCAAATCCCATGACAAGAGGAGGCCACAGCCCTCAAAGTTCATTTTATTCTTTCATTTGTATAAATCTTATAAATATGTCCTCGAAACATTATAAATTAACCCTTTCAAAAGTAATTAACAAAAAGAGTTTGAAAAGGTGAACAAGAGATTTACTCCATAAATGTTTCATGATGTAGCATTTGGATTTACCAATTTTTTCTTTATACTTTTTTTTAGATATAATTGCATTATAAGTACATCAATTTTTAACTCCTTTTCAATTAAGTACATAAATTTTTATTTTTTTTATTTAAGTATATTGATTTTTTCAAAACTATCGATTGAGTATTTTTATCAATTTCTCCTTATAACTTGAAAAGGAATGAAAATGACTAAATAAAAAAATTAAATAATTTGTTTCAAAAAAGAACTAATTTATTTGTTTTTAAAAATAAAAGGACTAATTTATAATTTATTCGTAATTACAATAACGAAGAACTTTTAAATGAGTTAGACGAGAAAACTGTTAAATGGAATGGAATTCTTGCTTCGATGCTTGTATTAACATCGGGGACGACCTCGAATCAGTCTCCAGCCTGTTATCCTTTTATCACTTAAGTCTCCAAACATATATTTTTAACCAATAGGTCCAAAATATGCAATAAATCCAAAAATTCTCAATTTGATCCTCATATCAACAAATATACCAGATCCTCTCTATAGATCGGAGCTCAATTGAAAAAAAAAAAAAAAGGCTTAAAAAAAAAAAAAAAAAGGCTTAGGCACATTTCTTAACTCAAGAATCCAATTGCGAATTCCAAGATATGGTGGGTTCCAATTGATTAAAAGCACAAGTTGCCAAATTGGGGACTCGATTAAAAAAAAAAGATTGGGGATTAATCGGTGGGCATCCTTTAACTCTATTTGTAGTTTTTATTAGGCTTGGAGATGAAATGATCATTGGGCTCAACCTGAGTTCCGTTCTTGAACACTAGGCTGGTCCAAGCCTCCCTTGGGAGCTGACCTGGGCCCAAACCAATCACATGTTTTTGATAAGGAAATGATAGAGTAAATTATAAATTAGTCCCTCTAGTTTTTCAAAAGATATTTAATAATTCCCCTATTTTCAATAACTAACTAATCAGTCTCTATATTTTTCATCTATTTGTAGCTTAATCCCTTTCATTCTTTTTTAATAGAGAAGGAAAAAATAAGTTAAAAAATATTTAAAAAATTAATAAGAAAAAAAGACAATGTTTAAAATAAAATAATACTATATTAATCGTAATCAACACTAATCAGGAGATTAATTAATTATTTTTTCAAATAAAAAAGGTTATTTAATTCGTTTTGTAAAACTAGATAAACTAATTTATAATTCACTCAAAAATGTTCAAGGTGCTTTCACTCTAGAAAATGGCAGTGCAAGATTTGGGTGATGTTGCACGATAATGATATTTTGGAATTAAAATTAGGAATTTTGAAAAATTAGCACCATAAATTAGGAAAGATGTCTAAAATGAAACACCATAAATTCTGGAATTAAAACATTATTTTATAGCACACTTCAAATTATAGATTTAAACAGAAGAAAACAAAGGCCGGTATGCTTTATTTGTGAAAAAAAAAAAGAAACACCAGAAAAATTGTGGACACCTGCACTCATAAATAAATATTTTTTAGGCATAACTTTTATCAAAAGAAAGAAAAACTAGCCATAGTTGTTTTAGGGATGTGATGATTTTAAAATTTCTCTTTGCAAGAGATCTAAGGTATCCAGTAACTAACAATATTTATTTTATAAGAAAAAACACACAAAAAAATAGAAAACTAAAAAAAAAAAAAAAAAACAATTGATCTTAAGTAATGAATTCAGAGATAATTTTCTCTTTCTTTTCTGACAATCTCTCTCTCCAAACATATCAATAAAACATATGTTATGAGTTATTTTTTTAATATTAAAAAATTTAAAGTTACTTACCTTAGTTTTCTTGTAATAGGTTTGGGATTCCAATGCATATGGTAATTTGAATTACGAATTATTATATGATTTGCAGGATGAAATAAATAAAAAAACAAAAAACAAATTTGTAAGTGCAGAGCATAAGGACAATACCAAAGGATAAAAGAAGAAAGAGATAAGAACCGCAAGAGCTAATGATTGTTTGGAAGCCATGAAAACAAATAGATGGTTCACAGTACTGAGACCAAAAGAATGTCCATATTTCCAGTATTTATTGCTTTTTTTTTTTGTTGGTCTATTTTGTAGAATGATGCAGATTTTTTGTTGCCCTTTTGGTAAATGAATTCATGTCCACGTATATTCTTATTTTTTTCAAAATATATTTATTGTATTTAATTTATTATTGGATTGTGATAAAAAAAAATGAACGAAAATAAAAAAATATTTGAATGAAAATGAATGGTATTGATTATAGACGCAATAAATTTTACAACTAAAAAAGAAAATGAATATTTATTTAGAGCATCAAATAATTTTTAACAAATGTCTTAAGAATACTTTAACCTATCCAAAGTTTAAAGCCCTCAAAATTAGGTTATATTGGCCTCTTTCTCGATTTTATGTCATTCAATGTTTATGCAATGATTAAAGATATCGAGAATAATCTTTTAGGAATTAATTGATATCTTTCTCTTTTACAATTTCATATTTCTAGTATTTATTGATTTTTTTTATCTTAGTCTATTTTGTAGAATGATGTAAATTTGTGTTGCCCTTGCGGTAAATGAATTTATGTCCATGTATATTCCTATTTTTTCTAAATATATTTATTGTATTTAATTTATGATTGGATTGTGATAAAAAATGAATGAAAATGAATGGTATTGATTATAGACGCAATAAATTTTACAACTAAAAAAGAAAATGAGTATTTATTTATAGCATCAAATAATTTTTAACAAATGTCTTAAGAATACTTTAACCGGTCCAAAGTTTAAAGCCCCGAAAATTAGGTTATATTGGCCTCTTTCTCAATTTTATGTCATTCAACGTATATGTAATGATTAAAGATATTGAGAATAAGCTTTAAGGAATTAATTGATATCTTTCTCTTTTATGATTTCATATTTCCAATATTTATTGCTTTTTTTCTTAGCCTATTTTGTAGAACGATGTAGATTTTTGTTGCCCTTGTGGTGAATGAATTTATATCCATGCATATTCCTATTTTTTTTCTAAATATATTTATTGTGTTTAATTTTATGATTGGATTGTGATAAAAAAACGAACCAAAAAAAAAAAATATATATATATATATATATATATATATATTTTTGAATGAAAATGGATGGTATTGATTATAGACACGATAAATTTCACTGCAAAAAAAGAAAATGAATATTTATTTAGAGCATCAGATAACTTTTAACAAATGTTTTAAGAATATTTTAACCGGTCCAAAGTTTAAAGCCCTAAGACTTAGGTTATATTGGTCTCTTTCTCAAATTCATGTCATTCAATGTACATGCAATGATTAAATATATTGAGAATAAGCTTTAAGGAATTAATTGATATCTTTCTCTTTTACGATTTCATATTTCCAATATTTATTGCTTTTTTTCTTAGCCTATTTTGTAGAACGATGTAGATTTTTGTTGCCCTTGTGGTGAATGAATTTATATCCATGCATATTCCTATTTTTTTCTAAATATATTTATTGTGTTTAATTTTATGATTGGATTGTGATAAAAAAACGAACCAAAAATATATATATATATATATATATATATATATATATATATATATATATTTGAATGAAAATGGATGGTATTGATTATAGACACGATAAATTTCACTACAAAAAAAGAAAATGAATATTTATTTAGAGCATCAGATAACTTTTAACAAATGTTTTAAGAATACTTTAAACGGTCCAAAGTTTAAAGCCCTAAGACTTAGGTTATATTGGTCTCTTTCTCAATTTCATGTCATTCAATGTACATGGAACGATTAAATATATTGAGAATAAGCTTTAAGGAATTAATTGATATCTTTCTCTTTTATGATTTCATATTTCCAGTATTTATTCCTTTTTTTCTTAGTCTATTTTGTAGAATGATGTAGATTTTTGTTGCCCTTGTGGTAAATGAATTTATGTCCATGTATATTCCTATTTTTTTTCTAAAATATTTACTGTATTTAATTTATTATTGGATTGTGATAAAAAAATGAACGAAAATGAAAAAAATATTTGAATGAAAATGAATGGTATTGATTATAGACACGATAAATTTTACAACTAAAAAAGAAAGTGAATATTTATTCGAGCATCAAATAATTTTTAAAAAATGTGTTAAGAATACTTTAACCGGTCCAAAGTTTAAAGTCCTAAAAATTAGGTTATATTGGCCTCTTTCTCAATTTTATATCATTCAATGTATATGCAATGATTAAAGATATTGAGAATAAGCTTTAAGGAATTAATTGATATCTTTCTCTTTTATGATTTCATAATATTCCTCGCACATTTATCAAATAGGGAAGGCAAATATTTTTCTTGTAATAAAAATATTTGTTTCATTTTAAATGTAATTCTTATCATCATTCCACTAAAAATGTTCTTTCCTCTCTAATGAACAAAAAGATTTACTTATTGGATCCATCGTTTCGATTGCTTATATATTTCTAACTTTATAAAGGCAGGTGCTATTTGTTTGAAAATGAAATCAAACACAACACTTTTCATGTTACAATTTTAAAGTAGTTATTAACTAGTTTTTTTGTGTATGCTATGTTGCGAGTTAAAAAAAAAAAAAAATCGTTTAGAAAAGTCATTTAAGTTTGATAGTACTGTTTTATGGTGTGAATCAATAAGAATATATGAAATCAAAGGTGTAAAAAATTATTTAATCAACAATTTTGTATTTAACTATTTCTTATTGTGTTTTTCATAATTTTTCCTTTAGAAAAAGGATTCATCCTTGTTACTTCATGGATTATTAACTAAGAAGAAAATTAAATAATTTTTTTTAAAAATAGCTTTAGTATTTAATAAGATTATGTCAAAAAATATAAATAAAAATTATTAAAAGCTTACATAGAATTGAACGAATAATTTTTTTTATTCAATGTTGACGAGAATATCAATTTTTTTAAAAAATTGAATTTAATTTTTATATATTTATTTACAAAATAATGAATAATATTAAAATAAAAACTATATTAATTTGAATCATTGAGTGGTTAAACCAAAATATTATTTTAATTATTTAATTTAAAATAATTTAATTTTAAAATATTCAAGACCAAATAAATAAATAGTAAATACTTGGTGTAGTAGTAGTTGCACAAGTAGATTTCTAAAAAAATAACAAGTCAATATTTTTTTATACATCATAACTATACTAAGCGAGTTTAGAATTTTCAGTCTAAAACAAAAAATACTATAAAAAGTTAACTTGCAAATAATATATTGACTAAATTTGAAGTTAATAGACTAAAATAAAAATTATTAAAATTTTGATTTTTAATAATTTTGATTATACAAAGAAGAAATAAATTAATAAAACACATGAATTCTTTTTTATTTCCTCCTTCTTAAATATGTTTTTATTTTTATGTTGTGCATGGCTAGCCCTTGAATATAGGCCTCACGCACATAACAACTATCTTCTTTTTATTTTTTACATTTGACTTTTAACTATTAATTAATTAATTTGAGTTTTTTTTAAAACAAAATTGATAAAAAATTATTTGAAATACACTTTTAATCTAAAAATGTAATTTAGACAAATTATATATATTAATCATGCCAGTATAATTTCAAAGTTATCTAAATTTATTTTTCAAAAGAAAAATTAAACATGTTCTAAATTTTATTCCAAAATCCATGCATATAGAAAAATAAATCAACACTATAAGTAAGTATAATTTTAAATTAGTTAGATGATTTTTTTTTAAAAATGACAAATTAAATTAGTAAATTTTAAATAATAAAGATAATTAACAAAAAACACTAAAACAAAATGGGATGAAATCACAATATAATCAAAGATTGAAATTGAAAAAAAAAAGGAATTTAAAAAAAATAACAAATTAATGTAGTAAATTTTAAATAATAAAAAAAACCAAGAAAAAATTATTTGAAAAACACTTTTAATCTAAAAATGTATTTCAGACAAATTATATATATAAATCATGTCACTATAATTTAAAAATTATCTAAATCTATTTTTCAAAAAAAAAAATCATGTTTTAAAAATTTATTTGAAAATCCATACAAATAGAAAAATAAATCAAAATCATCGAGTAAATATAATTTTAAATTAATAAGATGAGAATATTTTTTAAAATGACAAATTAAATTAGTAAATTTAAAATGGTAAAAATATTTAACAAAAAACACTAAAAAAAGAGGGAAGAAATCACAATATAATCAAAGTTTGAAATTGAAAAAAAAATGACAAATTAATGTAGTAAATTTTAAATAATATAAAAAACTCAGAAAAAATTATTTGAAATGCACTTTTAATCTAAAAATGTATTTTATAAAAATTATATACATTAATCATGTCACTATAATTTAAAAATGATCTAAATCTATTTTTTAAAAGAAAAAATAATCATGTTCTAAAAATTTATTACAAAATCTATACACATAGAAAAATAAATCAAAACTATCAATAAATATAATTTTAAATTAATTGAGTGAGAATTTAAAAAAATAACAAATTAAAATAGTATATTTTTAATAATAAAAATAATTAAAAAATACTAAAATAAAATGGGACCAAATCACAATATAATTAAAGTTTGAAATTGAAAAAAAGAAGAGAATTTAAAAAAAATGACAAATTAAAATAATAAATTTTAAATAATAAAAATAATTAACAAATTAAAGTTTGAAATTGAAAAAAAAGAATTTAAAAAATGATAAATTAAAGTAGTAAATTTTGAATAATAAAAATAATTAACATAAAAAACTAAAACAAAATGGGATTAAATCAAAATGCAATAACAGTTTAAAATTGAAAAAACAATTTTAAATTTGAGGACCAAAGCATTAAAAAAATGACTTGAATAGTGAAAGCAATAATGATTTATGAGTGTGTGAATAGTGTTTCAAATAATAAAATGAATAATAAAACTATATTTTACATTAGTTTGTTTTATAATAATTTATAGATTTGATATTTGATACTACAAAGACATACCCTATTGGGCATTTCTTTCCTCGTTAATTTATTTATTTATTTTTGGTTATAAAAATAAAAAGATAACTAGCTATTCTACATTCTCCAACAAGGAAAGATTATATCGTTGTCACAGCCAGGTTTAGGAAATTTCCGATACAGATCTCCTTTCATTACAGTAGGTAAAATTCAAACTCTCAATCTTATGGATAAACGCTCTCCAATCATACATGATAAGATGGACATGCCACCAAATCTTGGTTTTGCTTGTCGTGGGCATTGGACCCTTTAAAACCTTCAGTACGTAGCCTGATAATTTGACGCTGGAATCAGAAAACCGATGATTTGATGAAGAAAATTTCATTCAGGTGCAAGTTAACGAGACAAGTAGGAGATGCTTGCCAAAACTTGATTAAAATCCAACTACAAAAAATGCAATTCTCCTCCCATTCATAATTGCCATTCCTAACTTCATCCATAATTACAAGGATAGCATAGATATGAACGGAATTTTCACAGGCAAGTGGTGATTGACACAGGTTGAACAATGGATATATATACTAATGCTATTGTGGTAGCAAGATTACTCCTTGTTCCTTGAAGAGCGATCCTTCCTTTGGCCGCCGAGAATACGAGAAATTTGCAGACCTCTACTGAATGCTTGGTTGAACAGCATACGAGTCTGGAATTCAGACACAAATGGAAACCAGGCAAGGAATGCAACTGGAGTGAACAGGAGCAAGCCCATAACAATTTCGTAACCACGTGCTAGTGTTCGAACTGATCCCCAAAATCCAGCTCGTTGAATGACAGGCTTACATGCTTGTGCAATCTGGTAGAATCAAAGGAGATGTAAACAGAAGGCAAATTAACATGGATGTGATGATGCATTGAAACTGACTGAAGATACTATTATGAAACCAAACGGATCTTGAATGTTAAAATCTGCAAAAGCTTCACACTGTAGAGTTACTCTCCTAAAGTTTTTCAAAACTTCACACCAAACTGGGTATTTTTTTTCAAAAAAGAATAGCTTAAAGAAAAGAAAGGGCTAAACACAGCGATGGAAATGAACCAAGCCGAATAACACCTAAGTTTGAGCTCAATTGACACACAGCAATAACATGTATATAGCATGGCTCAAATTCAGCTTATCAAGTTTTCAAGCGACACAGGAGTCCAAGAACAAAAAGTTTGTGCACCACGATTGAGACTCGAGTGAATCATGAAGGTCTACCACCACATATAAAAAAAAAAAAAAAAAAAAAAAAAAAAAAAAAAAAAAAAGAATTGACAATTTATTCTCCAATTGAATGATATGGAGATCCAAAATTCAAATTATGAACGTAAAGTATGGTGCTTGACGGCATGGTTCGATTAACCTAATCAACAAGCTAAACCAAGCAACAAGCAGACAGGTCAGCACAGAGGTTAAGCTCTATTCGTGCAGCCTCTATGTGTGCACTGGGCATGGTTTCAAAACTCCATGCACCATGGTTGAGACTCAAGCGAACAAGATGTCAGGAACAATGGCAGAAATAAAGTGAAAGCATAAACCTGCACTTACCAAAAGCATCCCCCAACCAGTTGGCATGAAAGCGAGGATGCATACAATGATGTCCTGCACCGTCATATGAGGCAGTGCAATCAAAGTGACAAGAATGGACACAAAAGTTAGGAATATCATCCCCTTAATTAGACGAAACACAAGCTGGAAGTTAGCACTGAACTTTCGCCGTCCAACAGATACAGTCTGAAGAAAAAGAGAAGTCAAATCATACACAAAATCCACACATCTAAAAAACTTAAAAAGTTCATAGTATTTCAAGGAAAACAAAAACATTCATTCTCACAAGCTTTTAAGGATAATAATTTCATCATCTAGCTTATTGTTCACTAGTACCAGACTGTTATTTGATATCTTTCTTTCCCAGAAAATTGGAACTCATGAAAGAAGCAAATTTACTTCTAAAAGAACAGGTAAATAAGATCTTGTTACTAGTAAGAGACTGGAAGAGAGACAGAAGAAGAACAAGAAGCATTGATGGTTTCCAACCAGATTGCTAACAGAGAGAGAGCTAAACATGCATATTAGAAAAGTATGATGGAGAAACATAAAAAGATTGAGAAATAAGTGGCTCACCTTCATCACGAACAATATTAGAAAGATGACCAGCCATGATATACCATAGATCTATGACCAAGAAAAAAAAAGGGTATCACATTGATTTAGCAACATCCAATTTATTTATTTAAAAAAAAAAAGTGTAAACAGAAGGGTAATATGAGCAGCTGAGGACATACCAGAAAACTTCTGTCTTTCATCTTCTCTGTAATCGTTAAATGATATACTAGCCCATATTGATAGATAAAGAATCTTAGAGATAACAGTATCTCTGCTACAATACCGCGCTTTCCAGAATGATGAAGATGCTCCTGTTCTTCTTCCCACCATGATTCCCAACTCTTTTCTGGTGGAACGCCTATTCCTCCACGGTTATTTATCCACTTGTTCCAATCAGTCCAATCATCAACAATCTTCTGCCACTCAAAACCAGAAGGATTGAAGAGGAATGGAGCAAAAAGCCAGGTACCAACCATAAACCACATAGATATAGTTATTAGGACATAGGCGACTGCACTTCTGTATGGCTGACCAAATATTTGATACACAACAAGTAAAACCATCATCTCAATACCCTTGACAAAGTGGCTGCGGGAATACAGCCTATAGTTGTCAGCAAACTTAGCATGGAAGACCACAAAACCTCTACCAGTGGGCCTATATTTTGCACCGCCATGAAGCAATGTCCTTCCATAGTAGTGGGTCTTTGTGCCAAGAGAAAAAGTGAAAAATACTGGTGCTAGTTGTAATTGCATCAATATAAATTCACTTAGTGCAGTTCGGAAACCCCTTTCCAAGCCAATTTCCATCAACATGGGCAAGGCCATCAAAAATCCAATTTGAACAAAAGATTGAGAAGCAAGAGCCACTTGAAGAGGTTTGTTGTCTCGAATTGCTTTCTGAGTACTCAAACCTTTTTCAAGCCCACTGAGTACAAGATAAAGGCGGCCATAAAGGAATACATATACCGTGAGCACAGTTATCTGTGAGAAAAGATGTTCAGGACCTTCAGTATTTCCCATATGGAAAATAAAATGATAACATCTTTGAAAAACAGAAATCTGTAATATACCAGAGTGCTGAAGTAGAAACCAACAGTTGTGAAATAGCAAGACAACATTCGAAAAAAGTCAAAACGGTGTCCAAGCCGGTATATATCACGACTCAAAGTCTGCTCTCCATTGCCATTAGCTATTTTGGCCTCGAACATTGAAATTTGATTGAGGCCCACATCTCTCCCCTTCCCAACTTGTATGTATTCATGATGGGTAACATTCCCTTCCCGTAGTGTAGAATTGAAGCCTGCAGTTGCAATTGGAAAAGACATTAATCAGTAAAAGCAAAGACCACATACGAAGACCAAGATGGTACCAGAAAGTTCAAAGCAAATACAGACCAGCAAATATATCTTCACTCAGATTGATAACCTTAGAAGCTTTACTGACACCCCCTCTGGTGAGGTGGAATAGCCTATCAAATACATCTGGATGTCCATAGTGGAACCGCACTCTATATGAAAAGAAAACAAATGGACATGGAGGAGGAATTTAGCTTCATAAGCATTATATAAAAAAAGAAAAAAAGAAAAAGAGAGAGAATGATGCCCATATGGACAAGCCAGTTAAAAAAGAAACAAAATAGACATAAATAAACAACAAACAAGTGACCAAGAACTGCAAGTGTGACCAAGAAAAAATCTTCTGCTGGAACATGACATGTTTCACAGAAGAAAAATGCTGTGGCTTATAATTAACTAGTTACCACATTCAACCACATCAGTGGCCAACAAATCCAATTATCCAACTCTTCATGGTTCATCTAAATGCCCTTATTTTTATTCTTGATATATTAATTATAAAATCACGTAGGATTTTCCATAAAATTTACCTTAGAGTCTGCGCCACTCCAAGGATTTTTGCTTGCATGATGTCATCAGTCATATTCCATGAATAGATTATACACCATTCACTGTAGCTATAAAACTGATCCTAGTTCCTGTTCCGAGCAATAAAAGTACTTTGGAACATAATCTACTTCAAAATCCCAAAATTACCATGCCCCTATGTGTATATTATAAGTGTGCAGTTGATGACCACAAAACTTTTTGCCATGTTCTTCAATTAGTTGTCCTAGATTGCTAATTTTGGAGTACAGTAAACAGGAAAATGAAAATTTTGGAGTCCAATAATTTCAAGCAATTAAAACTTACTTCAGAGGGTTGGCCAGTAGCCTCTGACCTATAGTCACAAAGCTGGTTTCCTGATTTGACATAAACCACGCAAGAGATGAAACACTGCACCAAGCAATGAAAGAAAATCCAGTGATCATAATCGCAGTAAAATACATCTGGAGAAAGTCGCATAGACAAAGAACAACACATTACCTTCCAGTAAAAATATGCTCTCTAAGTCCAAGTATTGAAGGATGCCTCACGCCATCAGGCTTCTTAAGAAATTCTTGCAGCAAGTTCCTCATTTTTAAGGCTTCTTCCATGTAGTTATCCTTTAGAAATCGAAACATCAACCATTGGACAATGGCCAAAGTGAATAATAATGTTTGTTTAGATATCACCGTTATCATACCTGGTTCATATCTATTGTTTGCAAGCCTTCTCCACGTGTGAAGATAATAGCATGGTTCTGGTTTTCTGGCTTTCCTTCACCCAAGATGGCTGGTCCTGGAAGTTTTATTCGATAAATGACCTGCATTTAGACAGTAAGGTGGAATTGAAGCATAATGATATTCAGTCAAGTCAAGAAATTGTCTTGAGTTAACTTTTATTATTATCATTATCATTATCATTATTATTAAATGTTTGTGCTTGCTAAGATATCTAGGGCCCCATGACAATCAGAAGAAATATCATGAATAAACATAGCCAACCAGAGTCCTTTCATGCAAAAAGCATCTAAACTGGTATTGGCAATTTACTTATTCAGTCAAAAAAGTATAGGTGTATTTTATAAACAAACCAAGGACATCCACTTTATTGAAGGAAAGTTTGTCTTTCCAGGTCACTGGATGCAATAGCACAACAAATGCTTCAAGATAGCAGATTCATCTCAAATTTATGCTATCCTCCTTTAGAAGAAGAGGCAATGTATTTCTTGTTGATGACTGCTACAGTGCACACAATCAGAACCAATACCTAATTTCTTAAGATTTGCATGACTTTCAAAATAGCTGACTTTACCTGGTCCAAGTTTTGCACTGGCTCAGAAGAATCAATGGACTTAGGTAAGGCAGCCTTCACTAGAGCTGAATAATAAACTTTTTGAATGACCTTCTTGGATTTGTCTGAATTAGTTTCTTCAACCTCATCGATGTATGCCACACGGAGAGATGGATATCTGCCAATTGGAAATATATCAGCATGTTAAAAGAATGGAAATCAGAAGCTAAACAAGAAAGCTAAACCTGAATACTTACGTTGTCATGAGCCTCAGAATATCCTGTGCACGAGGATCACCAGAACGCTTGTGAATTCCGTATTGCTGGCATGATACTACATATGTAAATTTCATATCAGCTACTGCTTGACACTGTCCCAACAGTGACCTTTCCCCCTTTGACTGATCATCAGTACTCAATTCAATTGCCTTGTAGCCTTCCATCAAATCTGAGAAGTGTAATAGCAGGACAGGAAGGAAAATTATGTGCATGTTTTCTATAACATCTTATCATAAACTATATACACTAAATAATCAAGGAATCCAAAAATTTCTAGAAAGCGTAGTCACCATCATGTCTGGCCATATCAAGGAATGCTTGAAGCTCCAAAGCACGCCGATAGTACATCATACCTCTCACTGCCATTGATAATGTTATAGTCAAAGGAGAAATTAATAAATAAAATGGGAAAACAGGAACAGAATACTGAACAGAAGACTTGAGTGAGTACCAGTTCTAGTCAAAGTTTGGCCCCGGTATGATGCCCATAAACGAAGTTCTTCTTCCAAGTCATCCATTCCTTTTATTTCTTCTTCACTGCAGTCCACTCGTTCAAGAAAGTTGGTCCACTCATCTGTCCATTAGACTATTAAGTATGAGTGAAAGATTTATGGTTAAAACAAAGAGAAGGAAATCTAGAGTTCGATACAGCACCAATTGGCAAATAATAACAACAACAACAACAATAAATAAATAAAAATAAAAACCTGGAAAGATCTTTTGCAAGTAAAAGAGGATTGAAACACCATCTTCATTCGGCACTTCCAAATCACGCAGGGAGAAAAGTACCTCCTCTGTGTAGTAAGGAGTCAAAACACTGCAAGATAAGTTACCACATTAGGAAAGGGTTTGGTTCTGTATATTAGTTAATAGCAAAGTATGTCTCTTAGCTTACTAACTATAGTGGGTTCCAGTTGAAAATTTTCTACAAAACAATACAACTCGGACAGAAACAAATGCTATATCATAAGTAAACCATTGAAAGAGAAAGATTGCCGAGTAATTTTTTTTCCAAGGAAAACTTATCACAATCAACTCCCCATCATCCATCAGGTTTTACCTTGGATAATATGTTATGGGTGAACAGTGGAAGAAGCATGCAGCTCAAAAACATATGCATGGCCTTGATTAAGGTGCTGATACGAGGTATTTGGCACATTATCTGACAAAATTTTTGGCATCTTTGTCTAACCTTCATTTTAGGTAAGTACCCTATCCTAATCACTATATATTATGTGTCATACTATCTTAGTTACACTATGCCCAAGGGAGAAAATGGTTTTATTGGGGATTGCATGTCATTAATAGCAGATTGGAGTGGGAAGCAATATTAAATTTGCTTTTGGATTGTTGAGACTGTCCATTGAGAGACAGTAAAACATGAAGCCACAGTCATGATGACATAAAAGCCTTACGAGAAAGAAAGCATATTGCGAACTTTAGGTGCAGTAGGCATGTCCATAAACAATGAGTTTGAGAAGAAAGAAATACGCCTCCTAGCTTCTAAGTTGGATGGCACATCCATTGCAGATTCTTTTGTGGTAAGCAAAAGAAAAAGCCTCTTTATCTGCAACGACAAGTAAAGAAGAGGTATTAAAATAATGTTGCTCATCCAATTTGATAAAAATATATTTCTATTGACGAAACAAACCTTCTCTTTCCATGCTTCTGTTACTGGTACAATTGGAAACTTGATAGCTCCAGAAGATGCAAACAATTGATATTGTTGGTCAAGGGGAATCATCCCCTCATATCCAGATCCACCATGGATAGAATCCACCAGACTTTCAAGACGAAAAAATTAAATAAGAAACTTGGATGCCAACAAGTAAAGAAGGTATAACATGATGTTTTCAAGACAATAACTTAGAAACATGGATGAAAATTGAAAAGACAATTGTAACTGTCTGCACCTGGATATTTGATCCTCCATCATTATGTCTCTTGTCACAACCTCCAGCATGTCCTGGAAGAGAATCACAACTTGATCTCTGTCCTCTGGTTTATTATCCAACTGTGAATCACATAAACGTAGGTTAGGGCTTCTCATTATTCATAGTTGTATCAACATTTTGCTCCAGAAAGGCTGCAGAATATTACCAAGTATTTGATTAGCTTCACAAAGTGATCATAGAGGAAAGGAAGAGCACTCATTTTATAATCACTTTTCATCAGATCACCCTGGTCTATGTGCTTGTCAACATCAGAAAATATGAAATCAATCACCCTGAAAAATAAATTATCAGGAATGCATCAGGAATGCGTCAAGACATATCAACAAAATGCCCTAAGTTACCAAATTTTAAATCCTAGTGAAAGTAAATAGTGGCAGAGAAAGCTGAAAGCACATATTCTTTTGGATATTCATCTAAGATTTTCTAAACCATCACAATGTATTAGAACTCACTCTTTTTCACGGTCCCCTTGAACCAAAAACTTGATGATGTTCCTAAAAGAAGCGTAGCATTCACGAACAGCACAAGACATGTAATTGTCAGCCTCAATTCTCTTTTTCAGCTCCTTATCCTTACCATTACTATCCTTTGCCATGTCTAATGCAATTGGGATCTAAAAGGAGACAGAAAGTCAATATTTGAACATGATTTTTACCAATTCCCAATAAAGTGTGCTGAAATAAACCTTGCTAGCCAGCAAAAATGGAGGCCATTGTATAAGGTCCAAATCACGGTCAGCCCAATATGGAACAAGCAACAAGTCCATTTCCCTGCGAATGACATACAGTTCAAGTAAACTGTAAAAGAAAAAGTAGTAGAAAAAACACTATGTTCTTCAGAGTAGCATCCTTACTTGTTGCTAATAAGATCTTCTTCTCTAAAACTGCTGATGATTTTATTCCAGAGCTGAGCAAATCTTGCTGCCTCTTCTTCATTGTTGGGTTGGACCTACAGTAAAAAACCAGATTGGTAACTCCAGATAAGGATGATTTATTGTAATGATTGCATTACAAAATTTACAAAGACCACAAATTTTAACCCAAAAAATACTTATAGGAAAGTCTAACCTCAGTAAAATTGTGAGACAGGGATGCCTTCAAGCCTTTCTTCTTCTTTGGCTCACTCTTTTCCTCTGGAATTAAACAGGCATTGAAAGCACCAGGCAATGATTCAAAACGAGATCTGAGCATTCCCAAAGTTCGAATCTGGAATAAACAAAATAAGATAAAGACAGCAACCCAAAAACCAAGATGTCCATTGGTCTTAAAAGATATCCAAAGCGGAAAGCATAAGAATGGCAACAGCACTAGTTCTTGAAGTCATGAAGCACATAACAAAACCAGATTGTTACGTTCACTAAGCAAAAGGGCACTACACTGCATGAATATATTGAGGAATATAGCCGACATTACATCCAGGAATACGTTCAGCACCAAGATAGATGCTTAGTTATAATTCATTGGGAAAATAAGAGAAACAAAGCTGGATGGTTCTCATTGCAGAGTATTATCAAGAGAATAAGGAAAAAAGACATTGCTAACCTCTCCAAGGCGTCGAAATGCACCATAAATACCTCCAAATAACGTGGAAAATATGGCATACCAAATCTGGGCATCCATAAAATATACCTGTAAAATTTGGTACATTAGAATCTAGTTGAAAAAGAATCAGAATAAGAATTTAGCTATGAATAGGAACAGCTCATACAAGAATAATTGGAGCCCAAAGTGCAATCACAACACCAATATTGTTCCTTGCTGCAAATAAACAGGCACACCATGAATTTCCTTATGTATAAAACAACATAACTGCATCACAATATGATGTTACTAATGTCTTCAAGTTTATTACCCTGTGGAAAGAATTCATGCCACTGGAAATCAATTATATGGACATCCATTATGGCTTTTGTTGGACCAACTAAAGGCTTTATCTGCAACCAAGAAATTGCAGTAAGTAAAAAAGAATAGAATTCTTTCTAACATGGCAAGTCAAGGTTCACATGAATTTATCACGCAAATGTAATAGTCAACCATTTTCCTCTAGTTATTATCTTCTGTCTTTGAATCTAGTTTTATTCAATAAGCACAGGCAGACTTGAGAAAATCAGAAAAAGACACACCTCTATATAGTAACTAAATGCCAACTTTGTTATTATAAGAAGAACCCAAAGCATTGTATACCTGAATATTCAATGAAGGCATTATTAGTCATAAAATTTCCAAGTTAAAGTTGCACTACAATTTATCTTTCAAACAATGATCCTTACTTGAAGAGAGAAAGTGTACTCTCATGCATTCCCCTCCCAACATATAGCCGAGGCTGCAGTGTGTCAGATGCAGGCATGAAATAATTGTTAAAATATCCACAGCAATAACCATTAGAAGTAAAGGAAAGGACGAAGAAAGTGACGAAAAATGTTTCTTTATACCTGTGACCACCACATCACAAGCATCACAATCCTATAGTTGGACCTCTCCAGGAATCGACGTATGAAGGGAAAAAGAAACAATACTGCCGCCAGTATATTTGGTGCCAAGTAGATAACTACAGCCAATATGAACAAGGAGCGCGAGCTGGAATTATCACCAAACCAACCTTTGATGGTTTGAGCAAATCCTGGAGGATTCTCCCAAGTGTATGCATATGTTACAGGTAAAACTACAACCCATGCAGCAGCTGAAACAACCTTCAGAATATATCTCAACTTGACATGGAATGACATTATCTGCCGTGCCTTCCAACTAAGAATGACATCAAGGATAGCTGCATAAGTCAGCAGAGATTTGTCACACAACAACTTCTTGCAAATCCAGCAAATATGGCATGACTAATAGGTATAGCTTGAAAAAACAAATAGCTTCCTTAGAAATTTTATCAAATGGAGAGCATGATGCACATTGCACTATTCATTCAGTAAACAAAGCATCATACTGAGAATGTTCTGAACATACTAAAAAAGGTAATATAATTTGAACTCAAGCACATAGCGAGAAAACACAGGCAAAGTAATTAGATAGAAGAACAAATAAAGAATAAAAGCAATCATGAGTCATTTTTTCGGCACATATTGGCAGCTAGAGTATCCATTGCATAATTGAACAACTAAAATTAACATTCTAAACTGACACAACACGGCTGATGGAAGAACAAATAGAGGATAATAGGAAATTATACAGTACTGAAAGGACAATGGATAAAAGTACAACTGCATTCTTTCTTACCTTGCCCAAGCTTTAATATTGCAGCAGTAATGAAGACACTCAATACTTTTTTAAACACATCGCCACTAAATATAACACTTGGTTGCCCCGAACCATTCCAAGCAACAATAATCATAGCCTTGAAAATCAGGCAGCATTAGCATCACATCAGCATAGTCAAAGTCATTAAAGAAACGTAAAGCAAATCAGGCGCATGAAAGGAAAGAACATGTACCTGTAAGCACAGTATAAAAAAACTCCACATTCGATCAAAGCTTCTAAAGACATGCAAGAATGTTCGTATCTCCACGAAATTAACTTTTCCTACCCATCGATCTCTATAGGCTGGTTTATCATCCTGAATATCATCAGTTTAACACATTAATATAATGTACCTTTTGCAGCATAAAAACCCAATTAAAGAAACCAGGCAAGAGAAATGCAACTGCCATTCCATATACTTTCAGCACAGTAAGCACATAATAACGATGACCCTCAATTAGAGAGGAGAATTCGGTCATAACATCAGGTCCTATAATTTCATGCATGTCTGTACAAGTAACTTGTGAAGTGATATGAAACAATTTTTATATATGATTATTAGGCTATCAACACTAAGGGAAGGGAAAGGAAACCAAGAGAAACTAGAGGTCATTGCTTACCTCATTTTTTTCAAAACGGTGCTGTTCAGAAGATAGGCAAAAGAAATCAGCATCTGCACGCATGGGCCAGCCTAAGCGGAAACAATCAACTGACCTACAATTATGCATGGGTAAGCTGATGATGAGAAAATTTGAAAAAAGGACTGATATACAGACATAACTCAAAGGAACAGTAGGGAACCATAAAACTAATACCAGAAGTACTCATTTAAATCATCATAGTTCCTCCATTGAGAATGCTTTGACGTCCCTTTTTTACTCCTTTCAGCTTCCTGTCAAGACGTGCAATTATAATGACAGATGAGTTTACCCAAAAAGAAAATACAGCGCTCAAATTAATTTGACTAGAAAAAAGGGGGAAAATTATTGCATACGTGCCTTTGCAATCACATTATAGATAGGAGTAACAACTTTACTCAAGAAAGCCTCTTCTTCACCTCCATAGGCAGGTTTTACATTTTCTCCTGTCATAGGACTCACATTTCCAGCTAGCATGCCATATAACTCAAATGCCATCTACACATAGCAAAATAATTTAGAACCCAAATTGCACTAAGCAGTCAACAAACAAGACCAAGTTCATGAAAATACATATTTGCAAATCTATAGTGAAATTGCGAAGGCAAACGGCTTGAAACAAGGATGATGAGAAAAACACTTCAAAAGATTGTCTGGCACCCATGGGTGTAGCCACAGATGTACAAAAGCCAGGTTGGAACGAAGAGTTTTAATGTCAAGCCTTTGCTACTATTGTGGTGTCCTTGGCCCAAAGATAAAAGCTAGGCAGAGCATTGGATAAGTTATCATGAGAAAATATCCATCTATTCTGTTTTTTAATCAAGGTTGAAACCATAAATAGACACCCATTCTCCCCTCTGCACTATTTCTACAAGGGTCAATCAACTTATCCATAATTTCTAAGCATCAGATGCTTTATCTGATGGGGTTAAAGTTGATGGAAGACAAAAATCTAAAACCATGTTTCCAGTTTCCCACAAAGGAAAAGGAAGGTCAAACAAAAGTAATGAGATAAAAATGGAACAATCTTCAAACATACATGATGATAAATATAGCAAAGGCATTCCGGCATAAATCTCAGGTTTGCAGCTTCCCCCCATATCAAAAGATACAGACCCATGTACAATAATTTACGTTGTTGCACCTCCTGCTGTATGGTTGGCAACCTGCAAATTCAGAAACCCACAAAGAATCACAAAATCAATATACACATAGAATGGGAATCTGCAATCCCTTTTTCTGGAACTGTCCTCTTCTCCCTACCCATTTTATTGCATCCCACAACTAAGGAACCAAAATAGTTCAATGCAGCACTGCTTATTTCCATGTCATTAAAATCATATTCATGTCAATGTTGTAGTTTGCTTATTTATGACAAAGCTAGCAGTTCAATCTTTTTCGTAATTTTCTTAAGCAGTTTGATGGTTTCCTAAGCACTTTTCTAAAAAGATTTTGGATCCTTCACAAAATAAAAATGTAAAATAATTCCCTCCTGGTCATTTAACCAACTGGAAGATGAAATGCAAACACCAATCTTATCAAACCAAAATTAGCGTCCATATTTATTCACAAGGAACAGAATCAGAGCTCTTACCAAAGGCTACTTTTTCTATCCAAGTACTTGCACCATTTTTTGTAGTTCTTAAAAAGTTTCTTCATCACATCAGTCAATGCACGCTCATCCAACTAACAAAGAAATATGCAGAGGATTATTCAGATTCTGTTACACAAATGCAACTGAAAGCAAATAAAAAAAAGAGAGGATATCCTCTGCATCTATACTTGGTTTAAGGTGGGCACAATGCCCAGCATACTTTTCTGGGGAAAAAAAAACAGAAATGTAACCTTTAACCTATCACTGCTTATAGAGGGGGAAAAACCTGTTTTCACAAAAATCGAGTCAGCTAACAAACCTTTGGTTGTTGATCAGGCTTGGGAAATTGCCGTATGTGCACATTAGCAAGTAATAAGATTAAGTGCTCTCTTTGATTTGCAACATTATCCTTCTGCAAAGTCAATAAATGGTTTTTGTTTGAGTTATATTCAATTAAAGTAGTTTCATAGCACTAAAAGTTTGAAAGAGCCAAATGCAGAAAAGAAAATAATACTTCTAAATTTATTTCACCTGAAACCCAAACATTGCATGGAGCCAGTCTAAAATATCTTCGTCCTTTTTCTTCTTGTATTCCTTGGGCCACGGAAGACCCCTTGTGTTACGCAGAGCAAAAACAGCAGCTTGGATCTGCAAGTCAACAAATACAACACGTGCTCAAGTAATGAGAGAGAAACTGCTAAGTTCCCAGTTAAATGAGAAGAAAGTAGAAGAAAAAATACCTCAGGATATCTCATAATAGCTTGATTTGCACTATCCGGATCAAGTGGCAGGATATTGTAAGGGAGATAGATCTGAGTTTTTTCTGCAACTTTATCTTGAGCTTCTAAGATCTGTAACAAAATGATACAAAAATACAAATCATTTACGCACTAATAACAGTCACTGATTAATTGAAGTTCTTAATTTAATTTAGAAAATAGAACTTGGATTAACAGATATCATCAGATTGCACATTCACACGAATAAAGCAACCAGAGAGAGAATTCTAAATGTCACATGGTTTCACCTCTCGATCAACTTCAATAGATTGTGTCATATTAACGGCCTTTAAAACCTCAAAGAGCACATTAGCAGTCTGGTATGCCTTGGTAAGCTGGGCACTGCATTTAAACAGAATAATGTCAGTCCAATACAGTAACAAGAGCAGCAACTTCAAAGCATTTGATCTAGAGAAACTTATTATAAGATATAGCTTTAAAGAATCTCTTTCACTCTCATTTTAAAGAATTTACCGGTCAGCTTTATCTGCAGCATTTTGCAATGCTTGGATATATTTCTTATAGTAATGCTGATAAAAACTCTGCATTTCTCGTGCATCACTTTTTTTAACCCTTCCCATCAAGGTTGGATCATTCTCCTGAAAAATGTAAATAGACCTTCTTCACATACAAGCCAAGAGCAACAACAATAGCATGTGAAAAGAAGCCAAATGCATAACTGAATTGCATATAAGAAACAATTGAATACTATAACTGCCACAAGCATTCCTACAATAAAAAGAATGTTGTCATCGATACACTATTACAAATTAATATTGGTTGTTTTTAAGGTACTTGAATGCCACTATCTCTACCTTTCAACATAACCATCCACAGATCTTCAACACGCATGCCAAACACATAAATTAAGTATGTCTAATCTAGAGTACCTAGGAGACAACTACATTATACACTCCTCTCCCTACCCCAGAGCACTAAAGAATGTTCTGGTATGCCACTCTTGATTTATAATTCATACCTATACAGGTCAAACTATGTTATTCTATGCAAGAATGCCACATCTGGAAACTTTCTTCAAGCGAAGAGAAAACAATTTGACTCTTACCCTTTCGAGACGTTGAAGAAGTGCAGTTTTAAATTGACGAACACCTCGTCCACTAGAAGTAGGATCCAACCTATGAGCTTTCTCAAAGGCATAAAATCGACCTACATTAACAGAACATGACAATCAGATATAAATATAACAAAGAGTACATCTTTTACTTACTGAAAACAAAGATAACACAAATTCATCCAACCAAAAAAACAAATCTTTATACTTAGAAACACCATAAATCAAGCCTACATTCCATAAAAACTAAAAATTGAAACTTTAAAAAGACCAAAACAAAAAAAATAAATTGCAGAAATTTCACAAAAATAAAATAAAACTTTATTTTTTAAAAAACTTACAAAGATAAGCAACTCTAGGATTGCTAGATTCAACTTCATTAGCAACACGAAGAATCGGCGCGATCTCAACAAGTGAAGAAGGCACTACTTCACTATCAAATATCGACTCTCCAAGATTTCCTGCTGTCTGCGTCCTCGTTAACCTCCGTTGAGTCTGCGGTGGTGTCGCTCCCGTCCCCACCCCTGCCGCCGCCTGATCCATCCACATTCCTCCTCCTCTAGACGTCGACGACATCTCTCTCTCTCTCCTTCAAAATCCAAAACAATAGATTAGAACTTAAAACCTAAAAAAAGAAACAAATTAGAGAATACAAAAATAGGAAAGAAATTTACCAGAAGATTTAAGAGAAGTGAGTGATAACTTACGAATCTAACATATCTGGAAAAAAAATCAAAATAGAAAGCAAATTATTATAGAAAATAAATAAAGTAAACTGTATTTCTATAATGTGAGAGATGAGAAGCTTACAGACGAAACCCTAAGAGAGAGAAATTAGAAAAGTTTTAGAGAGAGAAGGTTATAGAGAGAGCGAGAGACTGAAAGTGTAAGCTACTTAGCGAGAAAGGAAGCAAAAGAGCATGCGAAGTGAGTGAACTAAAGAAGAAAGAAAGGCTTTGGTAAAATTTAAAAAAGAAAAAACAAGTGACCGTTTTTTTTTTAACTGGGATAGGATGGTATTGATGGAACATGAATCTTGAAATTTGTGATAATAATAGGGTTGATGTTTTGCGTTATTACGAGACTGCCATTATGGTCTTTCAGCTCATGTGGAGAGTAATTGGTGTTAATGAGGGCGAAGTGATTATCTCAAAATAAAGATCTAGACTATATTTTAATCGTGATAGTTTTTAAAAAAATTTCAGCTTATTTCATATACTTAAATATCTAATACTATGTAAAGCATAATTAAATTTAGAATTTTTTTATTTTTTTATTTATCTTCTAAATTAATGGTTACGATAATAAATAGATTTTGTGCTTCTACTTATGTTAAGTTTTTATAATTAACTTTTTGTTAAATATTGCAAGGGTTGATCTTGTTTTATAAACAAAATTATAATAATGTTATTGTCTTAATCATTGAAAAATATGAAAATTTGTTAAAAGAATAAAATCTTAATAACCAAAAAATTTATGTTTCGTTAATCAAATGTGATTTAAAATATAAAATATTATTATTTCATGGAAGTTTTCCTTGGACTAGAATATTTGAAATGAGGGGTATTTCCGTCAAAGCGGGCCACAGCTTCTAAAGCGCAGTGGGGACTGTCGAGGAAAAAGAAGCAGCATAACGTGGGCATTCTTGGAAAGTTGTTCAAAATTCAAAAAAGCAAGATTCTTAATGATCTAAAGCTGGAATATCGTGCTAAAAAGTAGCCGTTCAGTAAACCTCAACAAACGACCATGCTCTCATCGGATTCATTTAATCCACAGTAATAGGGGCGATATCAGTAAATTAAAAGAAAATTACAAAAACGGGAGGGTATGTTCTGTAATTTGAGGAAAATTGAAGGGTAAGGAAGACTTTTGGTTAGTTAACAAAAAAATCCTGGAGTGAGAGATAAATGTCGGTTTGTTCTGTCCGAAATTCCCACCCTACTATTTCACTTTTTGTGGAGCCTACACAGTTGCTACCCACTACTGACAAAGGGCCTTAGTCCATTCTCCCGCAATCCAAAGAAGGTAGACCCCTCATGACGTGGCATTGACGGAATGGATTCATTGTCTCTGTAGATTCTTTGCTTACTTCTGTCGTTTTTTAGAGGAAACGAGCCACTTGGCCGCGTTACATTACGGATCTGATTAAACAAAAATTATTTTAAAATTTTTTAATGATAATTTTTTGTCCATTTAATTTTTTAAATTTTTTTATAAATTTTCTACTAAAAAAACATAAATTATTCTTTTTTATGGATTGATTTTAAACTAAAAAATATATAATAATTTCAATTAAAATATTAATTAAAAATTAAAAATAACTTTTAAAATGTAATTTTCATCATATTGTACTACAAAAAATGAAATTATAATTCATGAATAAACTTTTAGAAAAATTAGCAAATGAGAAAAAATTCTTATTTAATGTTAAAAAAGATTAATTTTTTAAATTATTTGTGCAATGCTACAAGTGGATAGAACAAAATTATTTAAAAATTTTATAATTTTTTCATTAATGTTTTATTTAATTATTATAATTTTTTGTGTTTTTCGTAAAATTTTTACTTAAAAAAATGATTTATTCTTCTTTATTCATGAATCGTTAAGTAAAAACTTGTAATAATTTAAACCTTAACTATTAATTAAGAATTCAAAAAAAATACTTTAAAACATATTTTTTTAATAAGAATTTATTAAAAAATTAAGTTACTATTAATATATAGATTTACATAAAAATTAATAAATGAAAAAATAAATGCCTCAAATCCAGTGAAAACTTGTTCAATAATATTAAATGAATATCTATCCACTTTTTTTAAAAAAATATATGTTATGGATAGAAAGTTTGAGGGAATACTTGGATTTTTTTTATTTTTTTTAGGTCTATCAACTTTGACCAAAATTTTGGAAAATCTTGAAAGTATTTTAGGTGTTCCACAAGTAATTCGAGCACGGATAGTTTTGTTGTTGAGCACGCCATCCAATCCAAAAGGTGTAGTAGTAATATGCAAGTGGCAATGGGCAATTTACAGAAGAGAGGAAAGAGAGCAACGTGGGAAGAAAAAAAAAGAATTACAGAAAATTACAAAAATGTCATGTTGTGAATAGTAAATCTACATAAATAAATAGTATTTTACTGTTCATCGTCTCAGATTTTTTAGTTTCTTTCATAATAATATTATATATTATTCCATCTAATTTTCAAAAATGAATTAAATTTAATACTATCTTATTTTATAAAATATCATATTTTCTCTTTCAAACTTTTTATAAAAAATTGTTAAGGATTGCGGTAAAAATTTTAAAAAAATATTAAATGATAAATTTTCAAAACAAAAGAGACTAACAAAACTAAAGAACTAACCTATAAACTACTCATAAAAAAAAATGTCTATCGTATAAATCAAGACGCTTGAAATGGTATTTATTTGGAATAAAAATCTTATTAGAGACGAGTAAAAAAACATTAAACAACAAAGCTGCTTATCAACTTACTAATTACATCAAAAAGACATTTGTGTAGAAGATTTTGTTTTTTATATAAAAAATATATAGTATATAAATTTGATTTTTTTCTTACCAATGATATTATCATGTATATCTAATGAAAAAATTATACAAAAATCACTATTTGTTTTTTATGTTTCTCTCTCTGTAGGCTTTTTTTTTTTTATGGTAAATCATTTCAAGAACACAAAATTTTTAATCTTATCTAGCAAGGAAAATAATTTTTTTCCAATAAATATGAAGAATTTCTTACACGTAGATATAAAATTTATTTAAATATTAAAATTTTGATTGCACATGAGATGAATTGCACTGTATTCATATAAAAAATTTAAAGTCACCACAAAGTGGGTTTTGAATTAATACGAACTAAATCTTACGCATTTTAGTTTAAAAAGATATGTATACTCATAACATGTTTCGTTTTTTATTTTTTCATTCCTCTAGCCTTTTACGTGCCTCAAGATATGACATTGTTTTTTCTTTTCTTTTCTTTTCTTTTTTTTCTCTTTAGAATAATTTCTTTTTTGACATCAAGGAAGAAAAGAACATTATTGTTTCAAACTTTCGTAAACTCACGTCATCAAATAGCCGCATGACATTTATGATTAAAAAAATGCCCACGAGACATTCAAAATTAAGCAATAAAATGTTGCTAGCGCGGACAATTAAATAGTTCTTACTAAATTATCTCATGTTATTGTAATTTTATTACTGTTTTTTTTGGTTTATTAAGCTATTTATAGATTTTTTGCAAGACCGTACCTAAAAGAAATTATTGCACAAGCAACCTCGGACCGTACTTGATCGTGTCGTATTGTCATGTTTTACACCGATAAAAGTGCATACAAAAAAAAAAAAAAAAGCTATTTTACATATAAATTTTGAATAATTTCCCGATGGAGATTCGTACGACCTGTGTTATGATCAATTTGTCCCTTGGTAATAGGCCCAATGGAAGCTTTACTCGACTCTGGCCACGATAAAGCGACCGCCGGATTCAATCTCGGCCTTTTAGTAGTGATGTAGGGCTTAGACTTTTTAAACGGAAGCCCAACTCAATATAGCTGATGGGCAGAAAAACATATCTAGGCCCATTTTACTCGGCGCTGCAAGCCCATGTTTGCTGCTTTAATCATTGCTTTATTATTCCTCTTCCTGCTTTATTTATTTATTTAACGGCAATATATATTTTTAAATCAATTTATATATTAATGAATATTAAGTAGTTTTTTCAAATGATTTTAAAATACACTACCAATATCATTGTGATTCTTTCAAATAAAATACATGATATTTTACATTAATTTCAAAATTCAAACTCAAAAAGTCAAGAGGGAATACAAACTCAAAAACTCAAGATGGAATGCACCTTTATAATCATCAATTTAGCCTTTTTTGTTATTTTTATTTCTCAAAAATAGATAAATTAATCTGAATTTTGACGGGCTGAAGTTTTTGGTTGGAGTTTTTTTTTTTTTTTTAATTTGCTTTTTCATTTTTGTCACTACATAAAAAAGTATTGGTAAGGATCTTGTTATATTCAAGAGCAACAACAATAGCATGTGAAAAGAAGCCAAATGCAGAACTGAAATGTATAGAAACTACTACGGAATTGATTCTTATAAATCTTATTTCTTAATTTATAATGAAAAAGACTCTTAAATTACAAATTAAATAATTAATTAACTCATCTCGTTTTAAAAAATGAATGAATTAATTTTTTATTAGTGTTGAGCATGAATAATTTATTATTTTTATTTTTAAAAAGTCTTTGTTTCGTATTTTTTTCCTATATTTTTTAGTCTTTCTCTATTTTTAAAAAAAAATAAAAACATTGAAACAGATAAAAAGGGCAAAAAAATAGTTTTTGAAGTAAATTGACTAGTGGTGTTATGTATGCAGATACGGAATTAATTTTTAACAAAGCTAAAAAAAATAAATCATATTTATCAACAAGTAAAGGTTAATAAAAATTTTAATTTGATGAGAATTTTTATAATAAATGACAAATTTAGGAGATTAATTTTAATCAATAAAAAAATATAATTCTATATATGTGTTAATTCTAAAATTTAAAAATATAAGAGGACAAAAATTTTTTTTTAAATTACGAAGAACAAAAGGTATATTTTGAAAAACGAGTGAGGTAAAAATTGATTAAATTAAAAACATAAAATTTCAAAATATTTTTAAAAATATGAGAATTTAAAAATATATTTTAAAAATATAAAGGACAAAAAAAAAATAAAGTGTAAAATTTGAAAATGAATGAAAAAAACTACAAGAAAATCACGAAAATACCATTGTGGAAAAAAAAACGTTTACTAAAAGCCAAAAGACGACCTTGGCTACGGAAAGGAAAAAAAAAGGCCCTTAGCTAAAAAAAATATTTTTTCAATTCGATATATGTGTTTGTTCTAAAATTTAAAAACATAAGAGGCCAAAAATATTTTTTAAAAATATGAGGAGCAAAAACTATATTTTGAAAAAAGATGAGGTAAAAATAGACTAAATTAAGAACATGAGATTTCAAAATATTTTTTAAAACATGAGGATTTAAAAATATATTTTGAAAACATAAAGGACAAAAAAAATGAAGTGTAAAATTTGAAAATGAATGAAAAACTATAAGAAAATCATGAAAATAACATTATAAAAAATAAAATAAAAAACGTTTACTCGAAAGCCAAAAGAGAGCCTTGGCTACGGAAAGCAAAAGAAAAAAACACAAAAGAGGGCCTTGGCTAAAAAAGAAAAAAATCAATGTTCAATTGAACAATAAAACGAACGAGGAAGTTCACTATTCATTTGCTATTCAAATGAATAGTGAACTTTTCAGATCTTTTAGCACTTAGTAGAACTAGTTGTTTACCCGTGCTATGCTACGGATTGGGCAAAATGAAATCATTTTATAATTTTTTCATTAATTTTTTTTAACTATTTCTTTATTTTTTCATAAATTTTATACTAAAAAAAAACATGATTTTTTAATGCATTGATTCTTAAATACAAACTAGAAATAATTTAAACCATAATATTTATCGACAATTAAAAAATACTTTAAAAATATATTTTTTTCATAAGAATGTATTTAAAAAATAAAGTTGCAATTAATGTATAGACTTGTATAAAAAATATCTAATAAAAATTTTATTTTTATTTAATATTGATAAAAAGATTAATTTTTTCAATTATATGCATTTGATCTATATATATTTATTTGCAAAATAATTAATAATGTTAGCATAAAAAATTATTTGAATAATTAGTTGGACCTTTTTAAAAATTATTTTAATTGTTTCGTTTCAAATAAATTGGCTATGTCGAGTTTAGGAAAAAAAACATAGGAAATAGTTGGTGTTATGCATGAAGGTGTACTGTTAATTTTTAATAAAATTGATGATTCAAAGTATACATGTTTGGTTGACGAAGATAAATTATATGGCTAATATTTTATTAAAAATAAGTGGGGGATTGTTGGATTATTTTTAATAAAATATATATTTTATAAAAAACAAGGTATAATTTACTTGTTGAAACAAGTAACTTATACATTAAAATGAAAGTCTGCATCGGTTTTTTACAACGTCTTTTTTTTTTATACGTTTCTTCCGTTTATTCAATTAATCTAGGCAACCAACGGGCAAATTTTTTCCTATATAAATGGCCCTTGCCATTTGGTGAACTTCACTTAAAAACGAAACATTTCCTTGCTTAGTGGAGAATGAAAAAATAGCATAATTTTTTTTCCTTTATTTTGCTTGGAGAGAAAAAGTTTCTTTTAATTTTATTACTTTTTATTTCCCACTAAAAGCCATATTATTTTTTATTGTTAATCTTTCTTTGGGTAAGAGTGGTGTTGTTTTATAATTGAGTTTCAAGTCTTACAAATAGTGCAAACTTGTCAACGCATGGTAAGGTGACCGAGCTTGTTGTATCCCCGGGACGACGTGCAATATATCTTTGATCCATTGCATCGGAAAAATTCTACGGACGACGCGTATCGTCTCAAGAAAGCAACTCTGGTTGTGCCTCGAGACGATCACCTATAAAAATTCAAGTAAAGTCTGCTTTGGTGTTTTTCACTCAAAATTTTCAGGTAATATTTTTTTATTTTTCCAACAATTTGAGACGATACACTGCTAATGGAAAACACTAATATGCATGGGCAAAGCTCCACTGGAGTGGGTGATCTTAACAAACCCTTCCACTTTCATGGTGTAAATTTCAAAAGATGGAGACAAAAGACTTTATTTTATCTTACTAAATTGAATTTAGTATTTCACCAAAAGTATTAAATTAACATACACATGCCATTACAAAATACTCTAATCGTTTAGGCATTAATTAATGGACGAAACCCTACAAAATCTAATAAAAGGATATATATATATATATATATATATATATATATATATATATATATATATATATATGCTTTATTTTGATTTATTTGAATTCTGACATGATTTCACATTAAAAAGTTTTAAGTGTTTTTTATTGGACCAACGACAATGCGTGGTCTATAAAACTAATAATTACGATAACTTCATTTAAAAATTTTGAAATATGTTCACTTCCAAGTTAGCGTTGTTCTCTTGTGTTTTGTCTATATGTTCATCGTTTTTTTCTACCATCATGCAATATGATTTTTGCCAGTAACTATCCCAAAATTCAATCATCGAAAATTCTCGGTAGAATTGTAAGATCAATTTCTCTAACATCAAAGAGAGTACGAGTTGAGCTGTTATTATTATTAATTTTTTTTTAAAAAAAGCATCATAGTATCAAATTAGATACTTTAAATATTCCTATAATTTCTTGTGCATGTTGAGCTGTAATGTATCATAATTGCAAATTAATAGGACTATTTTGGCATTTTTGTTAGATGTCACTAAATATCGAAGATTTGCTTAGTTTATTTTCTATTTTTAAATTTGAAAATAGAAATAAAAAATTGTTTGTTTGTTTGTTTTTTAAATTGACTAAAGAGATCTATTGTTTACCAAATAATAATTCATGATAATCAATTAAAATTTATATGGATTAAAAGTCTATGTCAGTTTGCACTTTCCTACAAGGATTGGCTCGCCGAAGGGGCTGATGCTCCTTCTATTCCTTCTGTCGACATTCCTTTCGTGTCACAGCAGGTGGGTTCGCGAGATCATTCTTCAGGACCAGCTAGTCCATCTGGTCCTTTCTCACCCCAGCCAATGGTAAGTAAGAAATTATATGATGCCGTATTCCGTTCAAGTAAACCTAGAATTTATGAGGTTGAAGACAATGGGAAGACATATAACTTCAATAATGACGCAAATAGCCCTGGTTCCACTCCTGTTGAAGTCAAACAAACATTAACAAGCTCTTCCAAAATAGTTACATATGCTGGTCAAGATATAGAAAACCATTCCCCTACAAGATAAGATAATGCATCCATCCATTCCTGTGATTATTTTCATGCAATTTTCCTTCATCTTGATACATTTTCCTCATATGATTTATGTCATTTGCTTTTTAGTCATTTCCATTCAATAAAACAACCGGAGAGATAATTATAAATGTCACACGGTTTCACCTCCCGATCAACCTCTATTAGCGTGTCATATTAACGCCGCCTTTAAAACCTCAAAAGAGCACATTACCCGTCGAGGACCTTTAAAATCTCCAACAGCACATCAGCAATCCGGTATGCCTTGGTAAGCTGGGCGCTGCATTTAAAAATACTGTTAGTCAAATACAGCAACAAGAGCAGCAACTTCGATCTAGAGAAACCTATCATAAGATACAGCTTCAAAGAATATCTTTCACTCTCATTTTAAAGAATTTACCGGTCAGCTTTATCCGCAGCATGTTGCATTGCTTGGATATATTTATTACAGTAATGCTGATAAAAACTCTGCATTTCTCTTGCATCGCTATTTTTAACCCTTCCCATCAAGGTTGGATCATTCTCCTGAAAAATGAAAACAGAGCTTCTTCGCATAAAAGCCAAGAGCAGCAACAACAATAGCGCATGGAAAAAAGACAAATGCATAACTGAATTGCATGGAAGAACGATGATGTCATCGATGCACTATTACAAGATAATATTGGTTGTTCTTATGGTACTTACATGCCACTATCTCTACCTTTTCTAGATAAACATCCACGGATCTCTGCTTTATGCAAGAATGCCACGTCTGTAAGCTTTCTTCAAGTGAAGAGAAAACAATTTGACTCTTACCCTTTTGAGACGTTGAAGAAGTGCAGTTTTAAATTGACGAACACCTCGTCCACTAGAAGTAGGGTCCAACCTATGAGCTTCCTCAAAAGCATAAAATCGACCTACATTAACAAAACATGACAATCAGATATACTTTGAAACTCAAATCTTTATACTTACAAACACTAAAAATCAAGCCTACGTTGCATAAAAACAAAAAATAGAAACTTAAAAAAAAAAAAGTTGCAAAATTTCAACAAAAAAAAAAAAAACTTAATTTTAGAAAAAAATTACAAAGATAAGCAACTCTAGGATTGCTAGATTCAACTTCATTAGCAACACGAAGAATCGGCTCGATCTCAACAAGTGAAGACGGCACTACTTCACTATCAAATATCGACTCGCCAAGATTTCCTGCTGTCTGCGTCCTCGTTATCCTCCGTTGAATCTGCGGTGGTGTCGCTCCCGTCCCCACCCCTGCCGCCGCCTGATCCATCCCCATTCCTCCTCCTCCTCCTCTAGACGACGACGACATCTCACTCTTTCCTTCAAAATCCAAAACAATACGTAAAAACTGAAAACCTAAAAAAAATAGAGAATATAAAAATAGGAAAGAAATTTACGAGAAGATTTAAGAGAAGTGAGCGGTAACTTATGAATCTAACATATCTGGAAAAAAAAAATTGAAAGCACATTATTGTAGGAAAAATTAAAATAAACTATATTTTCATAACGTGAGAGATGAGAAGCTTACAAACAAATACCAAAGAGAGAGAAAATATAAAAGTTTTAGAGGGAGAGTTAGTGAGAGAGGGAGACGCCGATAGCGTACGCTACTTAGCGAGAAAGAAAGCTTAAGAGCAAGTGAAAAGAGTGAACTAAAGAAAGAAGAAAGGAGGCTTTGGTAAAATAAAAAGATAGAAAAGGGGCCTTTTCTTTTTCTTTTTTTCAACTGAGATTGGATGCTATAAGGTGGACAAGGATCCTTGAAATTTGTGATGATAAATAAGGTTGATGTTTTGGGTTATTACAAGATTGCCATTATGGACTTTCATATCAAGCGCTATTGATTTTAATTACTAGAATAACCCTCGATATTCTGCATTCTGTTTACGTTTTTTTTTCCGTTCATTTCTTTCTTTGTTTTCAAAAAGTGTTTTTTACGAAGAATATTGATGAAAGTTTCAAGAAATCATACCTCAAGTAGATTACAATGAAGGTAAATTAACTCCAAAAAATAAAGATCTAGATTATAATTTAATTGCAATATGTTTTTTTTTTAAATCAGCTTAGTCTAGATACTTGATTACAAATACTTCGTGAAGTGAATAACATTTTTTATTTGTCTATTAAACTATCAATGCATATAATTATAAGTAGACTTTGTGGTTTTACATGTAATTTTACACTTTATAATTATTTTTTTCTTATATTTAAAGCATTAATTTTTTTTAAAAACAAAACCATAGCAATGTTGTTGTCTTGAGTGTTGAAATATCATGATAATTTGTTAAAAAAATAGGATTTTATTGATCAACAGATTCATGATACATTAATCAAATGTGATTTAGTGTCATACTAATTTTTTATCTGCGCTATATTGCGGGTTAGATAAAATATATAAAATCGTTTAGAAAAATCATTTCAATTGAATCTATAAAAATATATGAAATCAAGGGTAAAAAAAAATTATTTACAGCTTTTTAATAAAAATTCTTGTATTTAACTATTTCATATTTGTATTTTTCATAATTCTTCATTTGGAAAAAGTATTTATCCTTGTTAATCTATGGATTACTAACTAAAAAGAAAATTAAATAATTTTTTTAAAAAAAGCTTTAGTATTTCATAAGATTGTGTCAAACAATATAAATAACAATTATTAAAAGCTTACATAGAATTGAATATTTTTTTTTTAATTTAACATTGATGAGAATATTGATTTTTGAAAAAATGTGAATTTAATTTTTATATATTTACTACAAAAGAATGAATCATATGAAAATAAAAAAACTATATTAATTTGAATTATCGAGCGGTTAAGCCAAAACATAATTTTAATTATTTAATTGAAAATAATTTAATTTTAAAATATTCAAAAATAAATAAATAATAAATGCTAAGTATAGTAGTAGTTGCACATTTAATTTGTAAAAAAACAACGGTTCAATATTTTTTTTTATACATTATAGCTACACTAAGTGAGTTCGGAGTTTTCAGTCTAAAATAAAAAAAAATACTATAAAAAAGTTAACTTGCAAGGAATCTATTGACTAAATTTGAAGTTAATATATTAAAATAAAATTATTATAAATTTAATTTCGATTATGTAAAAAAAAAACAAATTAATAAAACAAGCGAATTCTTTTTTCTTTTTTTTCCTCCTTTAATATTTTTTTATTTTTATGTTATGCATGACTAATCCTTGAATACGAGGTCTCACACAAAGAGCAATCATCTTCTTTTTTATTTTTCACATTTAACTTTCAACTATTAATTAATTAATTAATATGAGTTTTTTTTCTAAAAAAAAAGAAAAATTATTTAAAATACATTTTTAATCTAAAAATGTATCTTAGACATCGATTGATGTTTTGTTCGAAAAACAATCCACGAATCCATATTTGATTGTCATGTCATAAAAAAAAAACGAATTGAGTAAGGTAAAAAGAATAAATATTTTTTTATTGAATGTTTTTGTTCGGTTTGACTACTTGGTCATGTTTTATCTTATTTCTATTCTACCTTCCCGGAATTCATTATATATATTAATCATTTCACTATAATTTAAAAGTTATCTAAATCTATTTTGTAAAATAAAAAATAATTATATTCTAAAAATTTATTTCAAAATTCATACATATAAAAAATAAATCAAAACTATCAAGTAAATATAATTTTAAATCAATTAGATAACAAATTAAAGTAGTAAATTTTAAATAATAAAAATAATTAACAAAAAACACTTAAACAAAATTGGACCAAATCACAATATAATCAAAGTTTGAAATTGAAAAAAAAAAGATTTAAAAAAATGAGAAATTAATGTAGTAAATTTTAAATAATATAAAAAAATTAAGAAAAAATGATTTGAAATACACTTGTAATCTAAAAATGTATTTATGATGAAATATATATATTAATTATGTCATTATGATTTAAAAATTATCAAAATCTATTTTTCAAAAGATAAAGCAATCATGTTCTAAAAATTTATTCTAAAATCCATACATATAAAAAAATAAATAAAAACTATCAGTAAATATAATTTTAAATTAATTAGATGACAATTTTAAAAAATGACAAATTAAAGCGAGTAAATCTTAAATAATAAAAATAATGAACAAAAAACACTAAAAGAAAATGGGGCGAAATCGCAGTATAATTAAAGTTTGAAATAGAACAAAATGAGAATTTAAAAAAATAACAAATTAAAGTAGTAAATTTTAAATAATAAAAATAATTAACAAATTAAAATTTTAAATTGAAAAAAAAGAGAATTTAAAAAAATGTAAATTAAAGTAATAAATTTTAAATAACAAAAATAATTAACAAAAATACTAAAATAAAATGAGATCAAAGCACAATATAATTAAAGTTTGAAATTAAAAAAAAAAACTATAGAAAAATTGAGGATCAAAATGTTAAAAAATGATATGAATAATGAAAAGAATAGTGATTTGTAACTATATAAATAATATTTTTATAAGTATATAAATAGTGTTTCAAATTGTAAATAAATAATAAATAATAATTTTATTTTAGTTTTATTGATAATATTTTTTTCTGAAATCATATTATGGAATATTACATGAAACTTTTCCTTGAATTAGAATATTTTAAAACTGTAATATCCTTTGTGACGAATGGGTATTTCCGCCCAAGAAAGAGCGCAGTAGGGACTTTCGTGGAAAAGAAGCAGCAAAACGTGGGCATTCTTGAAAAGTTGCTCAAAATTCAAAAAAGCGAGATCCTCAATGACCTAAAGCTGGAATATCGAGCTACAGAGTAGCCGTTCCGTAAACGTCAATGGACGATCATGCCCTCGTCAGATTCATTCAATCCACAATAATTGGGGTTTTATTAGTAAGTTCGAAGAAAATTAAAAAATCCAGGGTATATTCGGTAATTTGAGGAAAATTTAAGGGCAAGGAAGACTTTGGACAGTTAAAAATCCAGGGATAAGAGATAAATGTCGGTTTGTTCTGTCCGAAATTCCAACATTACTTTTTTCCCTCTTAGTGGGACGTACACAGTTGCCACCCACTACTGACAAGGGTCTTAGTCCATTCTTCCATAATCCAAAGAAGGGATACCTCATGACGTGTCATTGAAAGAATTGATTCATAGTCTCCATAGAATCGTTGCTTACTGTAGTCTCTTTTTTAGAGTAAATTATAAATTAGTCATCTATTTTCTAGAAACAAATTACTTACGCTTTTTTTTTTTAAATAATTATTTATTCTTATAATCAGCGTTGAATATGTTTAAATAATATTATTTTGTTATATAAATTTTGTTTCTTATCATTCTTTTCATATTTTTTTCTATTTCTTTAAAAATAAATAAAAATTTCAAGTTGACTCAATTATTGCATCAAAATTTCAAAATTCACTATATAAATAAAAATAAAAATAAAAATTAAAATACTCAATTATAAATAAAGTGATATATTCAAGTTGACTGATGGACAGATCACATGTTAATTGCCATACCAGAATGAATCACATAAATATTTATTTAAAAATTTTCAAAATTTATAAATTTAAATTGAAGTATTTTAAAAATTGACGCGCCAAATATATAATAATCTCAATAAAAGTGCATAAAAAAAACAAATAAAATTTGAATAATTTCGCCAACGGAGATTCCATCTACCTGTTTTGTGATCAATTTGGCCCCTTGGTAATAGACGCATTGGATCTCTGACTAGAGACCCTAGGATCAATGAAGCGGCCGCGAGATTCAATCTCGGCCTTTTAGTAGTAATGCAGGGCTTAGATTTTTTAAAACTGAAGCCCAACTCAACATAGCTAATGAACAATAAGACTCGTTGAGGCCCATCTTATTCGGCATTGCAAGCTCATGTCTGTTTGAGTCCCGTAAACAAGAATAGAATATCCAAACTTGCTTTTCGAAAAAGATTTCCAAAATCCTCGCATCTAATCGGTAACTTAGCTTTAATCATTACCTTATTATTCCTCTCTGATAAAAGATATTAATTTACACATTAATTAATATTAAGTATTTTTTTGCTAAAATCATTCTTTTTCATTAAAAAAATAAATTATTTTTGATATTAGTCTCAAATTTTGAGCCCAAAAATCCAAGAGATAACATGCCTTCATAATCATCAAGTCGGCCTTTTTCATCATGCCTATTCCTACTACTGATTAGAAACAACTAACCATTAATATATCCCATTTTTTTAAAAAAATAATAAAAGTTAATAGTTTAATCTATCTTTGTCTAATGATCTCTTTTTTATTCATCATTGTATTTTTAATATAGTCAAGTTTATATTTAAATATATGTTAAGTTTTTAATCCATCATTTTATCAAGATTTTTAAGTATAATAATCAAATAAAAACTTTTCAATACAAATTGTGTGATTAATTTCAATAATTTAACTTAAATGCTAAATAATAGAATAAATATTTGATGTATAGTTAACGATAAAATTATTTTAATTAAAGATAAAAAAACATATTAAAATATCATTTTATTATATAAATACAGATTCAATCATTAATCTAAAAAATAATAATAACCAGTCACTATCTCATCAATGAGTTTTATACAAAATTATGAACCGTAAATATTTTAAATTTGGTTTAATTTAACATTGAGCTCGATCCATTTTATTTTGCTTTTAACTTTACCATTTTTTTAATAAAATAATTTAATAGAACTAAGATGATTGAAACTTTTTCAACTCCATAAATCTACATCGTTCATCTGTCACTTTCACCTGGGTGATATGACTTGTTCTTGTCCAATATAATAGATATATAAGGCTAATTTTAATCATAGATTAATATATATATATATTTTTTTAAGAAAAGACATTAAATGTACAAGCTTAGCCGGACATTCCTATAACTTGTTGCGATGTCGCCATATGTTCAGCTCTAATATATTATAATTGCAAATTAACATCAAAGATTTGTATCGGTTAGAATCATGGAAAAAATTGTTTAATCATCAAATTGTCTTCATGCAAGGCAATAATTTAGCAACATCCAAAAGGACTTCTTGACACCAGAAAATCAGGTTAATTTTCTGATAAAACGGTTGGATGGATTACAGCTGCATTTCATAGTCTATAGTTTTATTTTCAATCCCATTTTTTTAATTGACTAGTTCATTAGATTTTTTTAATTGACTAGTTGTTGGGTTTTTTCCTTGAAAAAATAAAATAAAATAAATTTTCTATCTTTGTTTCCAAAATTTGAAAATAAAAAAAAATAAAAAAAACGTAGTGATGCCAAATCACTCCTAATAAAAAAACCAAAAAAATAATTTTTCTATCTTTGTTTCCAAAATTTGAAAATAAAAATAAATAACGAAAAATCCTAAATGATACCAAACGACTCCTAATAAAAAACCCAATCAAAATATAATTTTTTTTATCTTTGTTTCCAAAATTTGAAAATTATAATAAATAACGCAAATGGTAAATGATACCAAACCACTCCTAAATTAATTGTAATTTTTATAATATTTGTTGTCATTTTTAATTTGGCTTGCCTGTTTATTATGGACTTTTGATTCTCTCCTAAAAAACGTAAAATTTCTATCTTTGTTCCCAAAATTTGAAAATAAAAATAAATAAAGAAAATGTAAGTGATACCAGACCACTCCTAATAAACAAAAAAAAAAAAATATATTTCTGTCTTTGTTTCCAAAATTTGAAAATAAAAATAAATAACGAAAAATGGTTAATGATACCAAACCAATTCTAATAAAAAAATATATTTTTTTCGAAAATTTGAAAATAAAAATAAATAACGAAAATGGTAAATGATACCGAACCACTGCTAAATTAATTATAATTAGTATCCACATATTTGTTGTCATTTTTAATTTAGGTTGCCTGTTTATTATGGACTTTCGATTTTCTCTTCAAAGACCAATGTGTGCTGATCCAGGCTTGAGTCCACTTTCCCCCATCCTTGTCCCTGTCCTTGTCCTTGTCCTTGCAAAGGAAAGTGCCACTAAAACCAAAGAAATTAGCATTTTCCCATCAAGCATTTGTCTTTTTGGAAAATAATTATTAGGATTTTGACGAAGTAGGACATCGACAGTAAATAGTATTTGTACCATATGGTGAACTTGTAAGGTTTTGAAATTTTCTCATCAAGCATTTGTCTTTTTGGAAAATAATTATTAGGATTTTGACCCAGCACAACATTAACAGTAAACAAGAAAATGAAAATTGCATATCCATAAATGATATGATCAATCAAAAATAAATTTGCAAGCTCTTCTCTAATTAGTACAACTTTATATAATATTTTTTCCTTTTACCTTTAGGTGGTATTTTATGCTAGTTTTTGTGTAACCAAATCCATATTTTGGTTTGGGCAAATGATTTAAAAGCACTCTAAATTTTTTTATCAAATTGAGATGGGTTCTTAATTTTTTTTTTTAATTTAACTATTATAAACTATTTTTTTTAAAAAAAGAAATAGATTGTTACAATTAGTTTTTCAAATATGAAGATTAAATGATAGTTTTAAAAGATAAATGTATTTTACTAACTAACATTTTCATGTATGTGTCACATTTTAAATTTAGATTAATAGGAATGTGTGATATTTTTTAAAACTATTAAGTGATTTTGTAGCAACGTTGAAAAAATAGTTAGAAAGACCTATTGTTTACCAAATAATAATTCATGATAATCAAATTAAAATTTTCAATAAAAACTCAAAATGCTTTAAAATCATTTAGCTTTTTAGTTCGTATGAATCAAAGCATGTATCATTATTTTTACTTTTTAGTTTGGATGAATCATAAGTAAATAAGAATTTCATTTTTAGTGCTTTACTAACTCCATTAATAAGCCGACCAATCCTTGATGTGCTGAATGTTTTGTTTTGTACAAACAATGAGGGAAAACAATAGCAGTGTTTTGAACTCTCAAACAAAAAACTTAGCCTTTCTTTTTAATAATAATAAAAAAAGGAAACCAAAACTAAAAAAAAAAAAAATATTGGAAACCATGTAGCCAATAGCCAACTGGCCAAGAATAGAGTGAGAGGGCGGCAGTTCAAACAGTTAGTTAAGATTTAAAAAATAAAGCTGTCTACATGGCGCCTGCAATACAACAGAAAATTATATATATTTAATTCCTCTAATTTTGATAAACGAATGAATCAGTCCCTTTTGTTTTAAAAACTAATTATTTAATCTTTATGTTTTTAAATTTTCTTATAACTTAAATCTTTTTTTTTCTTTTCAATTTATTTTGATACTTTAAATAAAAAAGTGAAAAATATGAAATATTTGATGAGAAAAAATGACATTTTCATAATTAGTACTAGTTAATGGATTAAATTTTTTTTTAAAACAAAACAAATTAGTTAATTCATTTCTAAAAAATAGAGAGACTAATTTATAATTTACTCCAAATACAACCATAATATGTTCGCATCATATTTGGTCCATCTACTTTTAAAATTCAATCAAAATAAATCCTCTACTTTAAATTTGGTCAAATTAGTCCCTCTCTAACAAAATGTTACTCAAGCCCTATTATTCAAATTAATTAAAAATAAACTCCCATAAGAGTGACCTATATTATGAAAATATCGAAAAGAAAATGTGAAATTGCCTTTATCACAAGTAGAGTGGTTGATTTGACCAAAATTAAAGTAGAGGGCTTGATTTGACTAAGTTAACAAATTAAGGTGCCCGGTCATGACTTTTAGGTACTAGGACATAATCATAGGAGTAACAACCTTGAATCAGTCTTGTAATAACAGAACTCACACTGTATTAATGATATATATTTATGGAATTTACAAAAACTTTCTTACACAATGAACAACAACTTTCTCATTTGTCATCTTCCATTTGTCATTCTTCAGGCTTGCTTCTTTCCCTTTTGTTGCCTATTGTAATGACCCCTCCAAGCTCAATGTTTATTTTTCTCTTTGTTTTTTCCTTTCTATTGCTGTCTTTTATATTAGACAACACAAAAACTTTTCATGGCTTTTGGTTGTCAAGCATCTTCTTTTTCTGATTTTCTTCCCTCTTTTTCTCCTCCCAAGATCCTTCAGTATTATTCCAATATTATACTCTCATTTCTCAGTAATCATCGTAAGAAATCGAGCCTGGATTTTAATTCTTGTCATAAATGTTGTGCTTCTAGCTAGAGTTTGAGCAAGTTGGATTTTGAAGGTAAGATAAATTCTGATTTTTTTTTTGTTGCTATTCCCATTACTAGCTTGTCGATGCTATAATCTGCATAATTTTACAATTTCTTGAGTTCTAAGTTGTAGACTTTCGAAAGAATTTCATGCTAACCATGTTATGGCTAAGGGATATGAAGTGTGAACAGTTTTAAGCCTGCAAATGCAGAGTAAATTTTTACTATGTGCAATTGTAGGAGTGCATGAATTTTCTGTACAGCTTCAGAAGATTGCAAAAGGGACTTTATTTGGTCAGAAACAAAGATCATAGTATAGTTTTCATAGGTTGTTTGTTTCGTGTATTTCGATGAATGATGCTTGATTATTGTCTTCTTTGCTTTGATATCATAGATGATTTTGCTATATTTTCCTGATTTTCTTCCACATAAAAAAGTTTTTTGTTCAATAGAAGAGATTGGGTGCAATCTCTTTACAGTCTGATGTTTTGTCTTCTATAAAATTCAGTGCTGGGAGGCGTTATATTGTAAAGAAAATGGCAACATCTTTGGAGGAGCTTCTTGCAAAGGAAGGTTTTAGAGGAGGAAGTTCAGCGACAAGGGAAAGACCTTCCTTCAAAGCAGAAGCTGCAAGTATGCCTCGTTGCCCTTTTGGAGACCAGGGCAAAAGAGACTCCCGGTCTGGTTCTTCTATCCGTAGAGTTAAGACTGAAAGGACAAGATCTGATGTTACTACGTATACTTTGAGAGGTGAATCACCAGGAAGTAATGGTAGTTTGAGTAGGAGACCGAGGGATGATCTGGTTAGAAGAGAAAAAATAGATTCAAGATTGAAGACAGAACATCGCCGCAGAGACTCGAAATATGTGCAAGAAGATAAGACAGTGAAGGTTGAAACGTTGGAAGATGTCAAGGGGAGTGAGATAGTTGAGGTTGGCGTGGAAGAAAATGAGAGATATAAGGATATATACTCTGATAAAGCCTATCATTCAGAGAGAAAGGAAAGATCATCGAAAGGTAATGGGAGCACGGAGAGGTACAGAGAGAGGAAAGGAAAGCAAAAGAAAGTATGTGAGAGAGGTTGCAGCATTTCTAATGAAAATTTGCTAAAACACGCAGGATTTGGCAATAACAACAGGAAAAGTGTGGACCGGTTTGAAGCAGCTTATGAAAGTGTTGATCAGCCTGAGGCAGCTTATGAAAGTTCGGTTAGAGGCTCAAAGAAAGCCAAAGGCTTTGCAGATGATCAGAAACCAAAGAATGAGAAAAGTGCATCAGCAGTTCCTGAAATTGCTCTTGATGAAGCTGCCGTTAAAGCCGTAATCTCCATCTTAAATGGTTATATCAAGCGTTTTGTCAAAGACCCAGAATTCCGGACCACGCTTCGTTACAATTGTTTCTCTTCACTTGCTTTTATTGAAAAAGAAGGAGGGGACAGTGTAGAGATGATGGCCAAGGTCAATCTTGAACAAGCTATTGCAAAAGTGGAAAATGCTGCCGAGGCTGCTGCAAGGTCAAAAGATTTGAAAACAGCTGCCTTGCAACTTAGTGTCATCACAGGTTTGAACTCACATGATCTGAAAGATGAATATACATCAGGAACTCCAAATTCTAGGTTGTCGGCTTGTGCTCATATCTATCTCAGTGTGATATATAAGCTACAAAAGAAGGATAAGGCTTCAGCTAAGCGTCTGTTGCAAGTTTTTTGCGACTCTCCTTTTCTGGCAAGAACACTTTTGTTGTCTGAACTGTGGGACTATCTATTCTTCCCTCATCTTTCACATTTGAGTGCTTGGTACAAACAAGAGGCAGATGCTTTATTCAATACGCCAAGCAAGATTACCAAACTTAAGTTTCTTGATAAAGTTTATAATGAAATTCTGGATTCTTGCACTTATCAATTTGCAGTTTACTACAAGGATTGGCTCACAGAGGGGGCTGAAGCTCCTTCTATTCCTTCTGTTGAAATCCCTTTCGTGTCAAGTTTGCAAGATCATTCTTCAGGACCAGCTAGTCCATCTGCTCCTTTCTCACCCCAGCCAATGGTGAGTAAGAAATTATATGATGCTGTATTCAGACGTTCAAGTAAACCTAGAGTTTATGAGGCTGAAGACAATGGGAAGGAAGATAACTTCAATAATACTGCAAGTAGCTCTGGTTCTTCTCCTATCGAAGTCAAACAAACATTGACAAGCTCTTCCAAAATGGTTACATATCCTGGTCAAGATATAGAAAACCATTCCCCTGAGAACGTACAAGATGATGCATGCATTCCTGTGAGTATTTCATGCAATTTTCCTTTATCTTTATACCTTTTCCTCATATGATTTCTGTCATTTGTTTTTTAGTCATTTCCATTCAATTTTATGAGTTGCGTATATTAAACATATTTTGATGGTACTTATTGATAATTAACATTTGGATGAGAAAATGGCAATCCTTAAATTTATTCCTCTCACATTTTCTCTGAAAATATTTTTCCATGCTGTCTAAGAACTTAAACATTTGTGCAGGATAACCGGCTCTTAACAGCATCTAACACAGAATGGGAGTTGGTTGAAGTGAGTGTTTCACCAGACACAGATTGTAATGATGACATTTGCAACTCTAGTGCATGGCAAGAATCTGCAGGAGATCTTCATATGCTAAATTCATCATCACATACAACAGCAAATGAGCTAACCCTCAAGACCCTAGCAAAATCTGTTTTCGAACTACATCGAACTGAGGATTCCGGTGATCTCACTGTTTCAGACCTTTCACATTCCAAAAAGGTGTTATTTCGCTTTCCTTGGCAAGATATACCGAATTTCTGACTGTCTAATTTATTTTTTTGGCATTTAATACTATGTGCCTACAAATTTCTCTAATAGTTCTTTTGATTATTATGTTAAGTGCAGGCAATCAATGGAAGCGCTTCTAATGAAGGTGAGTCAGAACATCTTTGAATTAATTCTCCCTATACAAAATGTTGATTGAATGCTCATTTTGCACTCTCCCAGTGCAGGGTTAAATGGAAGTCATGAATATTTTGACGAAGGATCCATTTTTGATAGCATTCCACAGGACTTTGTTTGCCCTCTCACCGGACAGTTGTTTGAGGATCCAGTGACCCTGGAAACTGGTCAAACCTTTGAGGGACAAGCCATCAAGGAATGGTTTGATCAGGGAAACAAAACATGTCCAGTAACAGGAAAAACTTTAGCATGTCCAACTGTGCCGCTTACAAACTTTATTTTGAAGCGTGTCATCGATAGTTGGAAGTTGGAGCTTTGTAATAATCTATTGGCTTTGGCATCTCAAATAGTCAGGAATTCTGAGGCATATGAGTCAAGACAAAGAGATGAAGAGGGTTTGTTCATAATTGAGAAGCTTCTTACTTCTTTCGGTAGAGATGAAAGGTTAACAAATGCCAAACACCTCATTTCTCTTGGAGTCCTAGAATTTCTTCTTAAAAGGTTTGAATTTGGTAAGTTGGAAGAGAAATCACTTGTTGCAGCTCTCTTATCATGTTGTATTGAGGCAGACTCAAGTTGCAGAAACCACATAGCTGGAAAAATCGATAAACAAAATCTCTTCGAGTTACTCCACAGCAAGCAATCTAAGTGTACAAGAAATGCTGTGGGTTTGCTGATTGAGTTTGTTTGTCTGAGCAGGTTGGTGGTTTCATCGTTTGTAATGAAGGTTTATTGAGCTGCCTTTTTCACTTCCCTGGCTACTTTATGCAGTTTATACTTTTCTGATAAAATATAGAAGCTGGAAGAGACAATTTTTCCCTTCTTTCTTTTTATCTGCTGATCTGTGTGCTTCTTCGTGCATTTGCAAGTCTTTGCTTTATGATTTGGATTGCCATAATTTTCTTCCTTCTTTAATCCTTGTAATTAGCAAGATCAAAGACATTTAACAGTTATTCTTTGCAGGAGGAAAGAGGTTACACAATTTGTCAGTGGCTTACCTAGTGAGAAAATAGCAAATGCGATGGACATTTTACTTCTGCATCTTCAGAGTTCTCCAGCTGAAGAAAGACCCTTGGTCGCTGTGTTGATTTTACAATTGGATCTTCTGGTCTGTTCCTTGAACCCTTTCCTCTATCCAGACAGCCACTTCAGAACTTTGACTATGTTTTTGCTGACATGACTGTATTTTGCAGGTCGAACCTCAGAAATACAGCATCTACAGAAAGGAAGCCGTTGATGCCATTGCAGTGGCCCTGGAAAGCAGCCTAACTGATGAGAAGGTCCGGGAAAAGTCTTGCAGAGCACTTATTATTTTGGGGGGACCTTTTTCTGCTCCCAGAGACTTACAAACAGAAAGTTGGATCCTAAAGAAAGCAGGATTTGATAAAAATCATGAGGTAAATTCTCGAGAAGATAATTTACTCCTCGATGAATATCTGCTGTCGTTGGTATGTTGTTCTCCTGAATGCTCTTCTTATGCTGTTTATACATGCAGCATCTGAGTTTGGTAAATTTAGTCCAAAATTATTTATCTCGACCTTTTGGGATTATGAGATGCAGGAAGATGAAGAAGAGTCCAAGGAAGACTGGTTGATGAGCTTGTCAGAATCATTACTTGCGAATGGCAAAATGTCAATTTTAGAGACCATATCAAAGTGCTTAAGTTCAAGACTCTTGGATTTAAAGAGGGCATGCCTAACCACCATAGCATGGTTAAGCTTTGGAATCTCTTCATTACCGGATGCCGAGCTTCAGCTCTTTGGCTTCCCCACTCTCATCTCTGGACTCACGGAAATCTTGGAAGATGATGATCAAATTGAGCACCAAGCTCTTGCTTCACTGTCCTTGCTCAATCTCAGTAAAAATCCAGGTTAATAACCTTCTCTTGGACATTTTATCTGTTCTGTCGATTTCGTAAACTACGAGGCTATCATTTACATGCTTAAAAGTAGCTTCCTGGAGTTCAGAGCCCTAAAAGAAGCTACTGATTTTTGCAAATTTCAGTATTTCTTTTTGAGTCTCATGCATCAATCACCTTGTGATTTTCTTTTCTTGAGTACAAGTATGATATAAAATCAGTTTTTCTGCTGCAGAATGCAGGAGTTTGCTGCTGACAATTGCAGAAGAACTTTCTGCCCCATTGCAAAGCCTTGCTGAAGTAATATCGACAGCAAAAGAGCTGCATGCCATCATTTCTGGAGAAGATCCTTAGCTTCTTAGGAAAGAAATGCTTCTCTAGTTTCTTCAAAATTTTACAATTTTGCAGGCTTAGAATTCCCTATTGGTCTCCACTAAGTTGCCGATAGTTGTTGAGCACAGAAGCAAGCAAACTTGTTAAAGGGTCTGACTGTTGCCATCCAATCCTGGAGGAAGCAAAGCATCATATTGAGAAAGCCTTGGGGCAAGACAATGCCATTTAAACAGGCAAAGAACCTGCAGAAGCCAAAAACCTTTGGTCTTGGGAATGTTGGCATGGATTCAACCACTGTAAATATATAGTCTGAACATGAGAAATATTCGTTTACTGGGCCTTCTTATAAGAAAATTGAGTTTAATTTGCTGATCCAAGATCTGAACCACATCAGTGGAGTTTAGGAGTGGCAATGTATCCACTAATTCAATTTTTTACTAAATTTATTAAACACTAAAAAATCATTTTATAAATCTTTACCTAGCACATCCTAATCCATATTAATTTATCCGTCTATTTAGTACTCATTTAGTATTTGCTCAAAATAATTTGTCAAATATATTTCATTTCAGTTCTTGTAATTTAAAAAAAAAATTTTGGCCTTCAAAATTTTTGAAAAAAATATTTTAGTTCTTAATTTTTAAAATTATATAATTAGATCCCTACATATTTAAAAAAATTCAAAATAAATTAGTGGTTATTAATAGGATAAAGAGTGATTATCCATATTCTGAAATCATATAACGAGTAAATATATAGTTTTTACTCTTATCCGCTTTAATACACATTGAATAATTTTAATAGATATTTATTAAATCAAATAAAACAGATATTTATTTTATATCCTATCAATGACATCCCTAATGGAGTTATTCAATAGGCAATCTTATAAAAAATTGGGCCTAATATATGAATTCAAGATCTTTCTCTCAATCCACATAAATTGAAATAAAACCCTCTCAATGACTAATATTCTTAACTAATATCCTAAAATTAATTATCACATGAGAAAATATTTTTTCAAATTAAATGTCTAGGTTCCATATTTCACAATTGAAAAAGAGGTTAAAAAAGTATCGCCAATTGTATGTATCCATTTTGAAATAGACAACAAGATATAGTCGTAAAACTAAATGCCAAATCGGCGTGGGGTGCACTCTTAATGTCATTTCAAAAAATATTAGTATTGATTGACATATAAATTAAATTTTTTAAAAATATTACTGTCCAATAATAATAATAATAATAATAATAATAATAATAATAGTTAAAAAAAAATATGGCAGACAATATTTATTTGGACCCCTCGCCAATCACCGTGAATTGACACGTTGTGAATCGGTCCTTACTAATTGGGTGAGAAAATAAGATTTGTCATAAAATAAAATCTGTGACATTTTAAATTAAATGCCTAGGTTCCAAATTTGACCATTGGCTAAAAGTTTCATTAATTTGTATCTGTCTATTTGAAATAGATGACAAGATAAATTTAATCTCAATTAATATATAAATTGATTCGAAAATAATTTATTGTTTAATAAGAATAAGAAAAATAGGAAATCACACAATATTTATTTATTTGGATCCTAACCAATCACCATGAATTGAGATATTGTGAATCCGCCCTTATTTGGTAAAAAAATAATGAGTTTGTCATAAAATAAAATCTGTACGTTTTAAATAAATGACAAGACGAAAGAGAAAATTATAAATTTGTCCCTCTATTTCTACAAAATGAATTAAATAATTTGGTTTTTAAAAATAATTATTTAGTTTTTTTATCACTAATGATCATGCATAATTTAATATTAATTTATTTTTAAAAATATCTTTTTTTTTCATTAATATTTCCACAGTATCTATCTTTTTTTTTTACCCTTCCTATTTCTTAAAAAATAGATGAAATAGGACATAAAATGAATAAAAAAAACTAATTAATTAATTTTTGAAACTAGAAATACAGTTTAATTCATTTTGTGAAACGTGAGTAACTAATGTATAATTTACTCCAAGATGAAGCATGAAATTCAATTTCCAGTCTATTTTTCTGTAGCCTGTCCGTGGCTTAAGAGATATTGTCTTCAACAATATGGGCTTATGGACTTGTTTACGAGCCCAATGATTCTCCATAATATTCTCATCCCAAAACCATCATTGGGGATAAGGCCAAGATATTATCACAAAAATTGAATGTACAGTCAATATATGCTTATTTGTTGAAAAATTATCTGTTCTCCACAGAAGAACCATCTGTGGCATTTTGCACAAAATTTTTTATGACATTTATAGAAATTTTATAATATCTAAAGAGTAACTAACGATATTTATTCCATAAAAGAGAAATAGTTTCAAAGAAAAAAATAAAGAATTAAAAAAAATTGAATTTAAGTGAAAATATTCTTATCATTTTTATCTATGATGTGATTTTTTTTTCTTTTTTATATCTATCTCTCTATTTAAAATAATGAACACATAAAATAAATATCAGTAATTATTTCCATACTTATTCCTTGAATATTTAAAATTTTTTATGACAAGTGGACATGTTAAACATATTTTTGCTTTTGCTATACATGGGGATTAAAAAGAAGCTAAATTGGTATGTGTTAGGTAAAATATTTTTGTTTTATATGTTTGGTAACTTCTCATCAGATTTCCTTAACAATATCCATAATCTCCTTTTGTAGGAATTAGCCCTAGGATATCATTTAAAAAAAATCTAATTTTTTGATATCCTACACTAGTAAATTAATGTAAGGACCCATTTCCAAAAAGAAGAAATACAAAATCCGTATGTAAATCAAAATCTCACTCCATACGTAAGACAAGGCAAGAGTTTTTGTTCTTAAATAGATGGTGGACTTAGTCTCGATGAATATTGATCCTAGTCCGATTATACGTACCTCTAGTTCTAAGACTAAAAAATAATAATCCAATTTAAAACGTAGGTTTACTACAATTTATGTGGTGTAATTATTAAGAAAAATATGTGTGTTTCTATATATACATAAAAACTAATGTAGGATTTAGAATAAATCAAAATAATGCTTATCATTAAGTTCAACAACTATTCTAAAAAAAACAGAAACCAACTATTCCAAAAAAAAAAAAAGTAGTTAATAACTGCAAATCACTTATTCAACATTTGTATATTTTAGATAAAATGCTGTTATAATGTTAAAACATTGTTAAAGGTTGAAGTTGCCGATTTTGATAAATTGTGATTTATCGTTGCATTAAAACAAATCATCGATTGAAGTTATCGAGTTCAATAATTCGTGATTTTATACATAATTATTTTGTTTAGTATTTGAAATTATATTAATTATTAACTATCCCAAATTGCATAGTAATTTCTATAATTAACTAAAATTTTGAACTACTCCTAGAGTATCTATATACGATTTTTATTCTCTGAGGAATTGATCGTTAATACCGTTAGTTAACCATTAGTTGAAACCATATTAGTTATTAACTAACTAAAATTACGCAGTAATCTTTGTAATTAAATGAATCTTTAAATATTTCTAGAATATATATACTATTTTTATTTTTCGAAGAATTGACTGTTAATATCGTTATCCGTGCCGCCATTGTTGATTATAACTAAATTTTGAATTAAATCTAAAAATCATTCATCAAATCTAATTGTCAAGAGATACATTTTAAAATTTTGGTTCATGGAAGTCCAATTTAATTTATCCTTAAAATTTGATTTTTCTTAAATTATGAATTTTCAAAATCAAAAATATAAAATCAAAGTTTATTTATTGTATTGTAAAGAGTACAATTCTGAACACTATTACATTCCATTTTCTTTTTTCTTTTCTAATCTTTTCATTTTACCCCATTTCGAACCTGAATCTGAACCTGAAATCGGTACTTGAATTACATCAAAATTAAACACTACTCATTATTTAGCTTTTAGAAAGCCGACCTTTTTCTTGAAGGCTTACAAGGACTCCTTGTTCACCATGCCAGCAGGAGACGAGGTGCTTGCTTCATAAGGACCAGTATTTCCATGACCTTCTTCGCGGACCTTATCCTCTACAACCCTCTTGCCAGCCATTTTTCCCTTCCCACGTGCAACCTTCTTTCTCCTCACATTCGCATTCAATGGAACATTATTTTCAGTCACAGGCGGCACTGTCAGTCCATTGCCATGTGAATGAACCCTGCGAAGATCCTTCTTTTTGGATCTTGCTGCTTGTCTTTGTTGTTTTTTTTCGGTGCTTTCAGCTCTGTAGTATTTTATCACATGCGCTGCAAAAGTTTGGGAAGTGGTAAACACACTATTGCATTTAGGGCAAGTGTATGGCCCGTATTTCTGGTGAGGAAGGCTATGAGTTCTTCCATCACCGAGATCCATTTCTTGTAGATCTTCAGATGAATCAGAACTCGTGTTGATCTGGTTGCTGGGGACTCTCCCTTGGTCTTCAGGAATCCCCACTTGGGCAGTATCAAGTTGGTTGGTTTCAGGATTTTGGTTTTGGTCAAGATTTTGGTTATGGTCATGAGGGTTTTGAGCCATAAATGTTCCAGGTGCACAGACACTCACAGGTTCAGGATTCAAAACAGCTGTATCGCTGTTTGCAATACTTCGGCGGATTTGATCAAGGCTCATAAAATTGATCATTGGTTGGCTTGGAGGAATAGCTTGAAATTGATGAGTTTGAGCAAAGGAAGAGTATTCAGTGACAGTATGAACACGTACCCCACTTGGAGTCACATAGATTCTTCGAGTTTCAGTTAGCTTTTGGCCAACAGCGTACTGACCAAGACCAATTAGTGGGGGGGCTATGTGAGGAACAAAGCTGGTTGGCTGTATCCCATAATTAGCTGTTGGACGAAGAACGCTTTGAGCAAAATTGGAGTCGAGAGAGAGAACAAGATTGTTCTCGTGGCGAGACATGCTTGAAACATTCAGGTTGTTTGCCATAATGGGATGACTAGAAAGCTATGTGAAGAAAAGGAAATTCAACGAGAAGATTACAAGAAGTGAAAGACTCGATTTGTGAGGTGCGTTAGGTTCATCGACTACAGCCTATTTATATAGGAAAAAAATCCTTTGAAGTAAAAGATATTGATAGGTCATGCGACGAGCATGCTTTGCTATACAAACTTCAGATTCGTCTGTGCAAAAAGAGTCAAAAAGAGTCACCAAATAAGAAAGGATATCTAACAATTTCGACTTAAAACGGCAAAGAATTTATTACAAAACGAAAACATCTATGTTGTGAGGTATAGTTGGATTTTGTGAGATATGCATTGTATATCTAAAAATTTAATTAACTCTTAAAATCAAAGAAAGATTGTTTATTCTATTTCATCTAAAAACTTAAGCTATTAGATAAAATACTAAGATATAATTTATTTTATTGTCTAACATATCTTCTCAAGAGAAACTTGCACAGACTCACCGTTTGTATTAGCTAAAACTTCAAAATATGATTTATATTATTACACTAAAAAAACTCTTAACACAAAATTTTTATATAAAAACATGTTACGGTTAATTATTATTATTATTATTATTATTATTAATTATTTAAAGTTCAAGAGATTAATATTTCACCAATTACAGATTGGCACATCCATTTGTATAGAAATTTAAACCAACCTATCAAATTCTTTCCCAAAAATATAGCATATATGTTTATTGATATTCTGTCATCGAGGCATCCTGTTCAATCATCATCCATAAAGGCTTTCAGATGCAGAAGAGAGGATTTGGTGATTTATAAACCATGTTAGAGTGTATGCTGAACATATCAAAGAACGCGTTTAACAATTTGCTAATGAAAATCAATAGGAGTATTTATGAATTGACACAATCGATTAATATATAGTGAAAGTTAAATCAGGTCTAGCCATTGTTGCGTACTACAAAACTCCAACCGTGTTTCTGTATAAGGTTGAATCAGATAAATTAAGAAGTACCTCCTTCTTTGGTCATTAATGAAAGAACGAATAGCCATGACAGTCCTTGTTGATTTGCAATTGAACATACTGGTCTTCTGCAAAAGTTCCCTTGATACTTGGTTTGAGATAAATGAAGACCATGAGGTGTATTATGAACTTCTACACCTAAAAAATAACGTAGAGATCCTAAATCTTGCAATGCAAGCTCTTTGCTCAAAGTAGAAACAAATAAATCAATAAGAGAAGAATTTGACCCTGTGATTACTATGTCATCGACATAGATAAGCATATAGATGCATCTCGTACGTTGTTTAACATAAACAAAGATGAATCAGTACTAGAATCATTGAAGCCTTGAGATCAAAGATAGGTGGTTATCCTGTTGAATCAGGATGCTTGTTTGAGAACATATAAAACCTTCTTTAACTTACACACATAACGCTTTGGATAACAGATTACAATGAAGAGTTTAAATTCAAATAAGCTATCTACCCTAAGTAGCTAGCTAATAAGACTAAATTTGAATCCTAATATTCATATCCCTAACACTTACCAAACGATGGGTAGTTTAATCATATATTGTTCTTCATTTCAAAGACAACAAAAGTTCATAACGATCAAAGTCGCTAGCTTATAATAAAATTTTAAATTTAGTTAATTATCATCTTTTACCAATTAATACAGTTTGGAACATCTATAATAATCGGAAACCGAATGCTAACACATAGCTGAATTTTACATGTAGCTTTACCATCACTTTTAACAAAGAGTGCGCTTAGACATTTTAATTATGGTATTTTTTTCTTTAAAATAGGTATATAGAGATTCATAATGTAACGGTAAGAACTATAAATAACGATAATTGGTACGCGCCAATTTTATAACTAAAATTTAAATTATAATAATAGCTAAAATTATTAACTTAAAACGGAATTTTGAATTTATACATAACGATAATTTGTATGCATCGATTTGATAACTGAAATATAAATTTTATAAACGAAGTCATAAAATCGTATTTAAAAACAAAATTATATTTTGTAGAATCTAAAATCATAATATGAAACATAAACATCATGACATTTGTATTAAAAAAAAAAAACTCATGATAAGTCATTGCGGAAATGAAAGTTTTGAAAAGTTAGGTACAATTTTTTTCTTGTTTCCGCACCTATAAACCCAATGATCCCTTCATAAAGATGGAGAAAGTTTAATTTTTTTCTTGCTTTCCCATCTTAAACTAAAATTCACTAAAAGAGGGGTTTGGAATAAAAAGCTTAAAATGAAATTAAACGAATCAAAATGAATAAATTAAAGAATCAGAACAATTTTTTATTCTAATACCGAAAATCTAATAGCTTGGAATTAAAATAAAAATACAAAATCAAAATTTTTTGTTTTGTAGCAGTATGGGTGATGATGAGTATGATGATAGTAGTTTCCATTTTGCGATGTCTGTCTTTTTGTTTCTTGTAACCAATCAACTTTTTAAAACCAAACAAAATATATTTTAACCTAGGTGAATAAAAATGAAAAAATTTTATTCCATTAACATAACTATGTAAAGGATAGAACCGCTAGCTTATTAGTATAGAATATTGTACATAAGTGAGCACAAATTTTATAACTAAAATTTCAATTAATTTATAAATCCAATTATAAAATCATGATTAAACATAAAGTCCAAATTTATAAAATGAAATATAAAGATCATGACATTATTATTCAAAATAACTTAGCAAAAAAAAAAAACCCTCAAAAGGGCTGGCTTTCTTACAATCTTCTTAATGTTTTTAAAAATTTATGATCCCATTATTCAAAAAAAAAAAAAAAAATACACACTATATCTCCCACTTGACCTCGACTTCTACCAGAGCCTCCTCCCCACTATATGCAGCTGCTTGTTGGCTCGGCCTAGCTTGTTCTTGCTTATCAGAAATCATGGTTCTTCTGCCCCGTCCTTGAACTCCTCGACCATTAGGATTTTCAGGCACATTTGTTAATCCTTCAGGTGATTTAACAAACCGAACGGGCCTATTCTGCTTTCTGGTTGCACGTCTCCTCCTCCTCTGGGACATACTTTTGGTGTTACAGAGTGATTGATCTGGGTGGTGGTTGACAATTGGTTCATTAAGGTCAGGGATACCTAGATAATTGATCAATGGGGTTGTTTTTCGGCTTGTAGAGCCAAGGTGTAGTGTGGTTTTCACCGCTTCATCTGTTACTAAAACCTTATTTGTCGCAGTATCTGTTTTCTTAATTTCTCCCAAGCTAAGGTGGCCAACAGGATTCTGATGAATAAGAGAATTCATCTTTTGAGGAAGGTGGTCATTTTGGTGAGCTACAATGGAGGAATCGGCAACAGCTCTAACTTGAGTGCTCACCTTGGCTGGAAAACCAGGAGGTGGGGAAACTGGGGATTCAGGGCTGCTGGACCTGTTGAAGTTTTCTGCCATGGCTTGTGATTTGGCAGAAAGAAGGGATTGAGAAATAAAGGAGAGGGTTGGGAAAATATGAGTATTCTTGTGGCTATATGGCTCTTACTTATAGTAGTTATCATGCATTTTCAGGTTTAGGCAAATTCAACTTGTGAAAGGTAAACTTAGAACACATGAGGCTGCAGGGTAGATTTCTTACGCATGAGGCTGGGTATATTTCCTTTTTTAAAGAAAAAGTCATTATTGCATGATAAAAGGGAATCTAGTCTTACAAGAACATATGGAAAGCTTTATTAAATATTTTCTATTCTAATTAATGGCTGGTTATTTCAGGCTTATTTTTTGAGGTCATTGTTGATAGTGTATTCTTATTATATTTGGATTTCCTTTTTTGGGATCTCATTTCATCTGTTTAAGTTTGGGTGAAAATCATTTCATGCTTTTGTACTATACATTATTTTTTATTTTAACTTTTCTATTCAGTCATAGTACAAAACAAATCCAATACAACTCAAAATTAATATATTTCATTTATTTTTATTAATCACGTGTCATTATATGATTGGTCCGAAATTAGATGAAAGAACCAATTTGTTTCAATTTTAAGTAATATATAATTTATTTTTGTATCATACCTTAATAGAATGATTAAAATGACCAATATTAGATAATATAAGGATACACAATATATTTTATCCGTTTAAGTTTAAGTTTTTTGGATTGATATGGTATCAATATATTAATCACTAAACGATCACAAGTTCGAGTTTTACTATTCTCATTCTTCTAATTAAATTAAAAATTTTAACTATAAGATAATATTAACTTAGGCAAGTTTTAAGTGAAAAAAGCTTTTGTTTGAGAGAATGCGTTAAAGAATTAATATAAATATCATTTTTAATATCTCACCTAATATGTTAGATTTTTGAATTAAAATGATTTTTTTAACCATTGTATGCAAAAATTGCCATACATTTGGCAATAGGAAAATTGGAAACCATAAAAAAGAGATAATCTAATATTAGTTTAATATTATTATACAACAGTTGCACAAGGTTACCTATTGATGTCTAATAGGGGCATGCAAAATGATGACACGATAATATATTGTTGTATTTTTATTTTTTTTTACAGTAGGGGATAATTTTAGACTAATTTAATTTGTATATCAATTAAGAATGAATCTTCTTTCAGTGATATATTTATTGTATTAATACGATACATTCTATTAAATAAATTTTTATAGATGCTAGCCTATGTTCTTTGTCGTTTGGTGCAATTTTTGAAAGACAATTCAATAAAAGTTTACCTTTATTTGAAAAGTGCCGTACGTTGGAAAGATTTCGTCTAGCATTAAAAGACCAATGCCAAGAAGTGTTCGTGTTTACCAACGATACCACAGATAGATTCGGTTGGATTGGTGCAATATCAGAAGAAAAAAGTGAACTTAATTAGCAACAATGTTATATGGAAAGTACAATGGATATAAACAAATTAAAATTATAGAATTTTCAATATTTTCTTTTTAAGTTTCCTTAAAAAAAATTCTTGTTAAGGATGTAGCAATAGCTAAATTATAAAATTCTCAAGGAAAATGATGTACATATACATAAATCATATAAAACTTTATAGAATCGGATGTAACAAGTGATAAGTGATGAATTTAAGAACTCAAATTAATTAAATGATTGGTAGATGGTGAAGAAAGAGATTGAAACATTAGTTTGTATGACCTTAGAATCATCCGAAAATTAAGTATACAAAATTTATTTTAAATCTCAAAACACATTCTAATCCACACTACAAACTTAAAAAACGTGGACCCTCCCCTCTCCAGCTTTGTCTTTGTCCCTCTGCTTTCTACATCTAGAAATCCAATTGCAAGAAGAATGAAATTTATATACCATTTCATACAAACCTCGAACCCTAGCGGCTAAATCAAATATAAATTTCTAAAAAATCACTTGAATTTTTTTGTGAAATTGACATCACTTTATGCTAAAAAATGCAAAGCAACGTTGTTTTAAGGTGTTTCGTTGTAGTTAAACATAGTGAAACACCATCATCTTTCAGTTGTTTTTTATGTTAATATTCATACAATTTTTACAATAATTTATTTGTATGAGAGTAATTTTTACGGTGCAGTCACTACTACTAATAGTAGCAGTTAATCCTACATAAATAGAGAGAGAAAATTTTAAACATTAAAGAAAAATTCACATTCGAACTCATCTATATTGTTAATCGAGTATAGTTAATGAATAGTATAATTTTAAATTTTAGTGTGTACGAATATCAATTTTTTTTCTTCTCTTTTTCATATGAGGTCGGCTGTAACTACTCTCAATATACTATACTCACTCGAACTTTACATTTGTATGTATTTGTTAATTAATTAACATAAAACTATTTCATGAAGATCACTATGCAACTTAAATTTTAAGTTGAATTGTTTCTTTAATATTATATCAAAATCTATTTATCCAAAAGATTAAGAGATTTTGAAAATAAACATCTAAATGCCTTATCACTCTATTTAGTATGCTATATTCATACGACTTTTATTTTGACTTTGCTAGAGTGAAAAAGAATCACACATGGAAAAGAAAAAAAGAGATAAAAGCAAGATATTAGTAGAGCACCATAATACCAAGGTAGTTAGCTATTTTGGTATAAACTAATCTAAGAGTAAGATGACTAAGGTGTGGTGCACACTTCCAAGTAAAAAATCTCAGCAAAGAGTCAAAACTTTAAAGTTAAGAATCCAATTCAAAAGGCCTGTTGGACTACGATACAATTTTAGAATTCTTTTTGTATCAGAGCCCAACTCAGAATACATTTTATTAATTGACAGTGAAATCTAAAAGAGAGATACTGGAGCCCAAACAAAACAAAAAAATGGAGGTGCAAGCTTGTGGAGCTCAACCAAAAAAAAGAAAAAAAGAAAAAATCAAAATCTTGTGTACTCACAAAGTGAAAGATGGGTGGAGTCGAGAGAACAATTATACAAGCATAGTTGTATGGTAAAGAGGTAGACCACATCTAAAGATGCAAGTTGAAGAGAGAAAATGCTATGTATCCACGTTACAATTTTTAAAAAGGATGACAACTGCAAGTGAGGAGGAGAGTTGGAGTGAAAAAAATTCCCATGTGAAGAGTAAAGAGTAAGAGAAGGAAGCAAGATATACATAAATTAAAATGTCATAATACCAAAGTAGTTAACTATTTTGGCATGGAGTAATCCAATAGTAAGATGAATAAGAAATAGTGGAGCAAAACCCATCAAAAAATCAAAGCCTAGAAGATGCTAAGCAACCAACTTTACCCCCTTGTGACACAAGTATTTAAATATATTACTTTGCAAATTAGAAAATATTAAAAATCACCCAAACAAATACATCAAAACAAATTTTTCTTTTGGATATTTGAACATTTAGTTTGCTGGTTAACCTATACTTTTAATAAACCTTAAGATACATAGCTCTACACTCATGGGTATTTCAATTTTTTGGGATAATCTTAATGCATGGCTCTCCACATTCATTGCTCTTTATTCTTCTTATGTCCAAAAGAGGGATTTGGAAATTGTTGAACATGAAACGCCATTAATATGATTTAAATTTTCGAAGAAGATTAGAAAACGAATTCCTTTATGTTTATGTGACTAAGTCCAACTAATCTTATTGTCATTCATGGAAAATATATCTCATGCCAGGAAGATATTAGTTCTGCACAATTTATTTTTTATATTCAATATTTTTATGTCCTGAAAAAATTGTCTTTTTTTTTATTTATATATGTCTCAAAATACTTATCTGTTTAAATTTTTTAATACTATATTTTCTTAAAATACTCATATTTTATAATGTAGGATTAAATTAGATAGATTATCTTCTTAAATAAAAAGATTATCTTAGGAAAATGATGTTAAAAAATAATAATATGATTGTGTGAAAAGTTACGAAAAAAATTATTATTTTTGTCTTCTTTTCTATTTATATGTGTCTCAAATTACTTGTGCGGTCAAATTTTTTAATAGTGTATTTTTAAAAAGTACTTATATTTTATAATGCATGATTAAGTTAGATAGATTTTTTTCTTAAACAAAAAAGGTATTTTAGGAAAATGTTGTTAAAAAATACTGATATGATTTTGTGAAAAATTAAAAGAAACTATCACTTTAGGACAAAAAGAGTATTCTAGATGTGTATAAATGAACACATTTGCATATTTCATTTCATCTCATATTCTTTGGATCGAGGGTAGTTCATCTGATGGCACAATCTTTATGCCTCAATATCTAGGCCAAATTCTGTGTCAATTACCCAAGAAAATGCTACCTCCAAGCCATTTTTGTAGCACTGTTTTGAATCAAACCTGTGTAACTTTAACAGGAAAGGTTCATCAATTCTCATTTTTACAAGTATTAGCTCATATTTCCCTCCTAATATCTTCATTCTCATTCTCTAGTTTTAGTGCTGGGGATTGATTTGGTCTGCAACATATTGAGAGCTCACCATGGGATACTTTGATGAGAAACCAGGATGTTATTGGTCTGCAACAAATTGAGAGCTCACCATGGGATTCTTGGATGAGAAACCAGGATGTGATGAGACCGGGGAGCTTGGACTACTAGATCTGTTGACCTTTTGTGCCTTAGTTGTTTAAAAAGTGTTAAATAATAATATAAATTATATGTTAATACTTCACTTAACAATTTAAGTTTTTTGGTGAGATTATCTTTTAATACGATATTAGAGTTTTGATGACCAAACGATCGTGAGTTTTAATCCTACTATCTCACTTTTTCTTTTAATTAATTAAGCACAAGGAAAGGAGAGAGTTATCAAAACGTGAGAATATTTTGTAACTTACTAGTCATAATTACCTGATAAAAACGAATTTAGTGTTGCTAGAACAGATGGAAAGATTAATTAAATATTTCTTTTCTGAATTAAAGATTTTTTTTTTTTTTTGGCCACAATTGAGAGAGTATCCTAATTATATTTGTATACTAA